AATGGGGCCCAGTCAACATGAAAGTCAAAAGCATTGGTGCTACTGTAGATGCCAACAGACTACCAGCAAACACAATGTTTGCAGGACTTCTACAACGAGGATAAAGTGACATAGTCCAGGACCCGAGGGAGGACAGTTTAGCGATGGCGCTACAACACGCTACAGCAGGTCCGTTTGACGAGAAACACTTCTGTTACAGACACTTGTCCTACTTTGTTAAAGCGGTTTACCTGTCCAGCAGAAAGGTTACAGGGTCCAGAAGATCCCGAAGCGTCCCCAATCGTTTTATGTTGACCCGGCTTTTTAGCTCTTGTCCGGTCTACCTCTGTTTTAAGCGCCCGTTATTCCACCAGAGTCTCCGGTATTTACTTTGTTGTATTGCTTGTGTTTTCCGTACTTTCTGGTTGGTTTCTACTGTCTGATGTTGTAGCACGCTAACTTAGTTTGGGAGCAGCGTCTGTCTCACAATCAATCAGGTTAGGGGAGGTGGAGAATGGCTTTTTTGCACTTTGACTACAAAGACAGAACAAAACACAGCGATATTGTTATATTACCAAATGTCATCAATAACTAATAACTATTGACTGATATTTAAAGCTTTTTCGTAAATACACCACAAAAAAAAGATGCTTCTTTAACAGAATCCTGCCTACCCCACCTTTAACCCATCAGTCAAATTTAGTTACAACCATTAGTGAAGTCTTTAATTTCGCCCCATTAGAGACTGAGTGTTACCTGTGTCAGATTGAACAAATGAGGGAGCGGGCAGAAATGGCGGCGGAGGATAACTGTCGCTCTCTTTGAGCTATGGCAGCCTTCCAGTCCGGGGCCTCCTTTGTATTCAGAGAGCACCTCGTTTTTGTGTCAGCGCAGGACAAGAGAAGCACTTAACGTGACATTTAGAGATGCTCGGAGAATCTCTCTGGAGGCCGGAGGGAGGGAGAAAAGGACCAATGATGCTATCGCGGACATGTGTTTTAAATGCCAGGAGGGGTGCTTTACCAGAGAGCTCCGGCCACCAAGATAAGAGAATAACCCCGGCCTCCGGTCCTGCACCTCTTGCACCCGTTCAGGGGGCTCAGGCTAAGCTTTGTGTGAAATGGTTTCATCTCTTTTCTATCTTTTAAGGCTTATAGAACAATCTTCTTAGATTGTACATTAGGGCTGCTGTTATCCTTAGAAGAAATCCACACATGCAGGGTGCATTTTAAATAGTCGGCCGCAGGATAGGACACTCTGAGCTTCGTGAGTGGGCGACACGCGCATTCTGGGATGCTGAATCTGAACCAGATGGCCGTAATACACATCTTAACTGAGGATCAGAGACGTGTTTAAAGACTCCCCCTGAATAATGTCAAAAATCTCCTTTCCATTAATACCAGACTAAATATCTCTTATTGATGTGGGTTTATCCTGAAGGGACCTCCACAACAAGGCAGCATGAATATTTAACAGGTAAGAAAGGTCAGGCTTCTTGTAAAGATGCCAAGATTGAACTAATCAATCATCATTGCTGTGGGAAGTGTGTTCCAATTAAAGCGGACCTGATACCGCCGGATTCGGGGTTTTTCTCCTCATAGATGCTTTGAATATTCCTGAGTAAATTAATCCATAATCCTCCAGATGAGCATTGGAATATTTTGCAATGCAAATGCGCGCCATTCATCCATCTTTTAAAAGCATCCTTCTTCATGCCGTTTATGTAAGCATTTGTATTTGTGCACAAAATGCCGTGCCGTTTGATGCAAGGTCTAGCAACCCTCCCTATAAATCAGGCAGGGAGTTAGATGAATGGAGATAGAGCTGCATAGTGATGAAGCTGCGGCACGGGAGCAGAGTTTAGGAAACAAGGTGAGCTATTCATCACAGAAAAAATCCGACCCAGACAGTCGGAGAACTTCCACAGAGTCATTTTTTCGTGTCTGATACGGCGAATCGTTCTTGTAGTCTGCAGTTTTTTGTGCCTCAGACACCTCGTTGAACAGTTTCCAAGAAAAAAAGCAGGTACTGTAGGAGGAAAGGGACAACAGAGGCGCCACAATGTCACTACCCTCACCGCTAACAGACTGATATTAAAACGGATCAAATCGTGAAAGCCTGCGAGAAAAGTTACGAATTCTGTGTGATCTTCGCCGCTTTAACCGCCGTGCGAACGCTCCCTCGCTCAGTCATGTGCTTATATCCAACGTGTGTTTACTCAAGGAGGAATAATCCATTTGTACGTTCCTCGCCATCCCAGAACCCCTTGAATATTTAAGCCTTTGATGTTTGGTCGTCTAATGCAGTTACCTAAGCAGCTTGCCATAACCGGCCTCCCAGAGATTCCCCCCCCTCGCACGCATCCCCCCCTATTTTCTGCACTGTGTGTGGATTGCAAAAATAAAGTATCCTTTTGAAGCCTCCCCTCGCCGCCTCTCGGGAAGGTGTTTTCTGTAGATAATGACTTATTTCAATTCACACCTCTCCCAAAGAGTGCTGCACAATTTTTTTTTTCCCCCTCTACTTCCAAATCGCAACTCAAGTACCTGCGGATGCCGTGACACGAAATTAATCACAAGCCCTTTGGTGTTAGCACACACGGTAGATTTGGCCACACATTAATTATTTCAAATATGTGGTTAATACAACGGCTGGCATTGATGCAATTCTGAAAAAACGGGAGTAAACAGGGACGACGACTGGGACAGTTTCCAGTCCAGGGGAGCGTGTGCCTTGAATGTGAGATGACCAAACTCTTAAGCAATGTTGCTGTAAATTGGCAGTGAAAGAGTGAACCGAGGAGCGCCAGAGTTATTGGGCACGAGGCCCAGACAGACCCTGACTCAGCTCAGAGGCATGGTTACCCTGGCACAGACGCACACCAGCTGGATGGACCATTAACTGCCATTATTAGACTGAATCCTACCTCGATGTTCTATCATTACTCGCGCGCACGTGTTCGATCTTCAACAGGGATCCGTCGGTTTATTTTCAGGCTCTGATTGCTTCTTCTTCAGACTTGTATCTTCCCACGCTCCGCACTCATAACCTTACACTGATCTTTATTTAAAGTCCCACTCTGATTTTTTTTTTTTTACTCCTTAGTGTTCTCAGTGGACTTTAAATCATGATTTTGAAGTTTTTATCAAAAATCACATTACGTGTGTCATTTTTAAGGGCTTTTCTTCTGCAGAGCTCCAAAAGATCATTAGCAATTTGCCTCTGAGTCGTGGGCGGAGACAGCGCTGCTCTGCACACTCGTCTTCAAACTGCAAGTGTTGTAGAAGTGGCAGGTAACATAGGAGCTAATCAGCTCTAAAAGTTAATATCATAATTAGCTTTCTTACAAGCATTGCAATCCACTAATGCGCACGCTTGTTCCGCGATTGTCCTCTGTATTTCTCCTCTATATGTAGGGGTGTGGCCTGCGTAGCGGGGCTCTGGGGGCGGAGCTTGGATTGGTTACGTATGACTTCTCGCTTAATCAGACTAAGCTCATAATTCATTTTTTTTTTGCCCAGTCGGACTTCTATCCTTGTCCGCGTATACATGCAGCTGAGAAAATCGAGTAATAGATGTGAACGTGTCCTCCTCCCCAAAACTAGGGGGCGATATGGGTCTTTTCAGCGGCGCAGTCAACAACAACAGCAGGTCCGTGACAGACGTCAGAAGTGGCTACAACTGCTGCTGGGCATTTTTGAGCAAGAAGATGGAGCATTGTACGGCGTTGTTTTTGTCGTACATCATGTACGCGTTAACTTTTCTGCAGATGAGATGCACGCTACTCCTCTTCTCTGGTGTTTTCGTTTCAGGGTTGCAGGTTGGTATGATCATACTCCGACTACGCTGGTTATATGGTGGAGAAAATCGAATTCCAATCACATTATCTGGGTGTCTTAATAAGAGTTCTCAAACTCCGATTATAGTCGGACTAAGGTGTTTACATGCACTTCAGTTGAACGGTCTTCATCGGAATGAGGCGATAATTTGGTTTTCTCGAGTGTCACGTAAACGTACTGTTTCTGAACCTGCTGTGTGGGTCTGCCATGTTAGAAGTAACGCAGTTTCGCATTTAGTTTTCTCAAATGTCATGTAGCATCAGAAAAATTCCATATGAACATATAAAAAAAACAAGAAAAACATGATTTTCATCAGAGTGGGTCTTTAAACCTCATCGAAATTATGACACTTTACAGCCTCTGCTTGTGTTTTCCCAGCTTGAGGGTGTTACTACTTGTTTTATCCCCTTAAACCAGTTTGATGCATTAAATATCACAACAAAAACTCATCAATCTTGTTTCTAATGGTCTTGTTTGCTTTTCGTTAACATTTTCAGGTGGTTTCATTAACATCTTAAAACTCCTTACTGGAGCTTTCAGTGCAGATCAGCCTGGAGAAACTGAGTGTTTTTCAAGTGGTTCCTGGTTTGCCAACTGGTCCTTGCACACAGAGTTAATGCCTAACAATAGCCTCAACAATGGTGTTTGCATGACCCCAGGTATTAATGGGTTAATCTTCTGTCCCCCTGCTGTGCTGAGGGGATCAGTGTTGACGCAGTGTGGTAAGTAGATGGATTCAAAGATCCTGGCCTGATGCAGCAGCTTAATTTGTAAAGGTTGAATAACGGTGTCTGAATTCTCCCTCATGTGTGGTCACATAGAACCTCGCTGTAGCCAAGGTTAGGGTTATTTTAACCACTTTCCTGTTTTACATAAGCTAAAAAAGCAATCAGAGCTCTGAAAAAAGAACTGTCACCTTAATCAGTCATGAAAGTAATTGTTAATTGCGGCCTTGCCCCACATATTGATCTTCCAGCAATGCTTTGGCTAATCGATACCTGGAGCTTAGCAACAGAAGTCACCGTGGATCACAACGGAAAAACTTTGAGTGGAGCCGGAAACAGGTTTCTTAGAGTGAGTCACACAGTCTGATATAGTCAGGGTTCACAGTCATTACATTCTCACTGGATTATTGAAAGTATTTGTGCTTCTTGTTCTTCTAGAGGACTTCACTGAAGGTGCGAGGTTGGAGATGTGGTTAGAAGAAGGGAACAAGCCGAAAAGATTATTAAGCTGTACTGTCCTGCATTTTTACTGTGTGGTGGGCTTAAACTCAGGATACCTGTCTTAAAAACTCAATGTACAGAGGGTGAAAGGTGTTTAAATGAGCTGGCTCTGTGGGCTAAGAACGATTTTGAGTGGAATTATGGGAAATGCAGTCCTTATCACTGAGCTTTAAGTTGTCTGGGATCTAAAATTTTTGTCACCTGTTCTTGGAACCAAAGGTTTGGTGTTTCTAACTTGTGGACTGAGGGGAACTAGTGAATGGCATTATGGGAAATGTAGTATTTATTGCTTTTTTGTGTGTGTTCTGGAGACTCTTGCTGCGTCCGAACTGCCCGCTCGGATACTACATGCTACTGCTACGTGCTACTGCTAGATCCTACTCCTACATACTAAAAACGTTGGCCCAATTCGGACACACTAGACGAGCGGTGGGGAAAGACGACCCCCGCAGGCAGAGAGTAGGTACTGCGCCCGTGCAGACAGTGGTAACTGAAGCCCCTCATCTGCGGGCCTGGCTGTAGTACTGCAGCTGTGCAGTTTAATGATGGAATAAGTGAGCTTTACCTCCATGATGTCGCCACTTGCTCATAAAATGATTACTTGGGCAAATATGACACCATGACATGACAAAGAGATACAACCGCACATTTTTTAGGACAGTGTGTGAAGTTACATGAAACTTACATCTGTACTGCTGCGGTCCCGTCTGCTGCTGCTGCTGCTCCGACATGGTGCGCGCTGCTGTGGCCAGCCGGCGTTCGCGACACATTTAAATAGGCAGAGCAGCTGGTGGCGCTAGCATCACATGCGCTTCTACAACTTTTAAGAGGACGAAGAAGAAGCCCGCGGTGCATTTTGGGTCAGTAGCATGCCCGTAGGATGCACCGAGACCAACCTACAATGTGGGCGTGTCTAGCATCTGAAGTAGTATCTGAAGTAGCATGCTACTCGCTCCGGTGGCCAATTCGGACATGCTAGATACTACTTCGACTACTACTTCGACTACTACTTGGCAATTCGGACGCAGCTTTTAACTTTGGATATTTGTCTAGGAAACTCAAGGTAATTATGCTGCGTTTCAGTTGTACTCGGAAGTCGGGATTTCCCAGCTCCAAGTTGGAAATTCATCTGGAACGCCCCCCAGAAGTCAGATTTCTGACTCGGAAAGTCGGACGAGCCTCGCCAACCCCGACTCAACGACAACGTCATTATCCAAGATGGCAGCGCAGCGCATCAACAGTAAAGAGTAACAGTGAAAGCTCTCGTAATGTATTATTTATTAGCATTTCTTTTTTGTTTTTGTGAAATTAAATAAGTGGTATATGTTGTACTGCCCAACATCTAACTGTGAACACGGTGCTATGGTGTTCGTAAGAGTAAAATACCGTTAAGCACTGTTTACCACTGGTATAGCTAACAACAACTGACGACGGCTAGCGACAATTGTAAACAACAGCTAACGACGGCTAACAGTTGGCGTCCATCTTAGTTTTCCGACTTGTTAACTGAAACGCCGTCAACTCGGGTGTAACGTCATGCCCAGCTTCGACATTCGACTCCCGAGGGAACTGGAACGGAGCATTAGTTTTAGATGATTTGAAAGAGACTGTTGAGTGGCATTATGGGAAATGTAGTATACTGAGATTTAGCTCGACATACACAGTTGGAAGTTTTGGACACTGGGTAGTCAGTTCGGGTTTTTCGATAGACAGTTAAGAGGCGTCAAAATTCAGAGTTTAAAAGATTATTGGCATAAGTATGAGTGTTGGAGGGCATTATGGGTAATGTAGTATCTATAGTTTCCACCAATTTGGGAGACGACAGTTTAACTTGATAATGCTGACATGTTAAACATCTTTTAGAGGGGATACCCTTCTTGCTTTTGCGTGGCGTTTGAGGTGACGTGAAATGTGAAAGTATGCTGCAATCACACGTTAATCCTTTTTAAGATAAAAAAAAAAGTGTTTTGGCAAAATTAAGTTCAAAGAGATCAGCTCTTTTTCACAGACCCTCTTTTGGAGTGTTGACCTAATTAGACGTTTTAATCCAGTATTACTCCACCGCTCTGTTGGACATGACAAACAGAAGAGTCAGCGTAGATACAAATATGATATTATATTATTTGCTTTTGCACGTGTCAGTAAACAGATCGTACCTCAGGGTTTTACTTTAAACACATAACAATCAATGAGACGCTTGTTTAAATGAGCTCAGAGGATACTCAGTTATTCCTTTACTCTATTTCCCTCACTTTCCTCTTGCAGCTTCTATCTCATCTCCCACCTTCTTAAATTAGCCTGTTTTATGTTGATTTTAGAGATGTGAGAAACGAATCTTCAATAAATCTTCCTCATTAACAAAGTGGAGCTTTATGTGACTTTGAAATGTGTCAGGGCTGGCAATTCATTAAATCCTGCAGTACCTGAAGGCAGCAGGGAACTGCTATTGATAAATTAGCAGCTCCTGATTGGAGGAGTGCTGTGAAAGAGTGAAGTGTGATTATGCGTGACGTCTGAAACTTTCCTCTTCGTTTTATTACTACAGAGACCCAACATGAATACACAGTGAGCCGAACTCTGTGCAGCATTAGGCTAGTACAAGAGGATATCGGTGCTTGTTTGGTGCGATATTTGGCTCTCAATTGCACCAAAATCTGATATAGAAATTCTGAATTGGTTCCTGTGCAGGAAGAGAAAAAAAAACACAACAATCACGCACAATGTGGTAGTTTACAACCACTTACACCCACATTCTTTTGAGTCACTAATTTAGGTCTTAAATCCGGGAGTGCTGTGAAAATCATTTTAAAAAAACCCAGCCGTGAATAGAAAATTGTGCAAATCATACATGTGTTTTCTCTGGCAAGGAAATTGCACAGCTGCGTCAGAATGATTCAACCGAGCCAGGAAAAGGTGACCCTAATTCTGGGGTACATGCTTGAGCGAAGGTTGATGAGGGAAATTACAGTAATTTTCCCTCTGACATTCATTCGCCGGCGCAGATCAACTTCTGCGGGTGGTGACATGCATGCCCCGTTTTGGAACGGGCAATAAACATCCATCAGCAATGATGGCGAAGACAGGAAGGCTGATTAGGCTGCAGCAGGTCACATCACCATCAGCCGTGTCCCCAAAGCTTCAATTACATGCAAGAAAATGCAGATTGTATCACAGGGCTCTTTTTCAGCATTCTCGTAGGGTTGTGAGTTGTGGAGCAATCTGGGTTACTCTCTGTCGTGCTGCCAAGGTGCTCAGCGTGGGCCAAAAGCTTCCTTTTCATGTGGGACCGAGTGGGGAGGGTGTCCCTTTTGATTAAGCGTTTTGGATGGGGTTGGGATGGGAAGCTCAGTGCAGGCTGGCGTGGTGCCGTCGCTGCACTGCAGACCTGCGAGCGTGCTGGGAGATCCCTGTGGTGGACGGTTCACAGGTCTTCAGTCACCTGCGCCACATGGAGCTGGGGCGAATGGCCAGAGTAGTAAATTCACCAACGCAAAAGAGGCTCCAAAAACAAGATCTACGATCAAAACATTTGAACCAACGACAAGGAAAATGCTTTTCAGCAAAGTCAGATATCAGAAAAAGGGCAAAGAAGGTGAACGTGAGGATAACCTTGAAAAAATAGGGGAGACCGGGGTATCCTGTCACAATTTTGCACATCTTTTTAAAGTTGTGAAGTTTTTTAACTCATTTACTGCCATTGACGGATTTTGACAGATTTTTTGTTTTCCACCAGAGGGCGCTTCTCCCCAACATGCGACTAAGTTTCAGGTCGTTCTGGACTCAGAAAAGCCGACAAAGACGTCATAACCATGTTACAATAAGAAAAACAAGTACTCACCAGTGAGAAGTGTGTCATCAAGTGTGCCAGTTTGCCTCGTTGTTGAGTGCTTTCCCGCTAAGAGGAAAGTAGGAAAATGCCGAAGTCATTAGCTAAGAGCTAACGAACCAGCACATTGGCTCCCGTGGGCACGGTGCTACCGTCTCTGGATCCAGTGGAGATCTTGGTACTGGACCCTCAGATCGTTTGGAGACAATCAATCAGACAATTTTCGGCGTGTCGTTGTGCCGCCGGTGCCGGTACTGGTGAGCGAGACTGAGCTGGAATTCAGCGACAGTCCCGGCAAGGAGGACGAGAGCAGTCCGTGTGGTTTACACAGAGGAGGGAGGACCTTGATGCCACTGGTAAAGTAGTTTGGAGTGAAATGAAATAGACGATCAGAGTTCCGCTTGAAAGTCTCTCACAAGATATTCTGTAGGTCCTGTAAGATAAAGAAATTCCTATTGTGGTCAATGGGTGAAAACTGCATAAATGATCCTGGCACTGAACGAGTTAAGCACTTGAATTTCTTGCATGCAAGACACTTACAAACCTACTCAGACATAGACTCAGTCCTGATGGCGTCACCCATCAGATGTACTCTCAGTGATGCTACCATTTGGCTGCATGATGGCGGCCATATTGGAAAAGCTAACTACAATTAAATCTATATCAAAGAAACTGGCAAAGAGGTGGAGCTGAGACCCTTGCCAGGTAAACTACAACCTTTCCTCACCTGCCAATCAAATTAGCCACACCCATAATTATGCCTATCAATACAGAACTTAAATCCTGGAAGAGAGAGTATTAAAGTTATTATAGTAACTGAAGGTTTCTTCTTGTAAACACAGTAAACTCGACCCCATTCAGAGGTTTTTGTAAATGACAAACTTGCCCTCCTAAGGTTAATCACCAACTGGTGATGTCACAAATTGTGCAAATCTCGCTGAATTCTCATAACTTGTCGAACGAGCCGTTTGTAGAAGCCTGCATCCTCATCGAGGGGTTACTCTGACACACGTCTAACACATAGTTTGAAACTTTGCCAATATTTACCTTAACTAATTAATAGATGTTCAAAACCGCCCCGTTGTCTAATCAGAGCCGATGAACTCCTTTTTGAACCAGGCTGTAAACATGTCTTATTCTACCCACAACATGGATGTTTTAAAATAGCCTCTAACGGAAATTCCTCGTCTGTTAGAGCCAGCCTGAAATGGACTATTTAAAAACGTCAGTTTTTGGCACTTTCCTGTTGGCTTCATTATTAAGCAGCAGAGCCTGACTTGTGCATCATGAACAAAACAAGAACCTTTCATTATCTTTCTCTCTGAAATTCAAAATGAAATCCTGCCACAGACGAAAAACAAGCCGTCTTGGATTCATCTTTTGAACTCGGTTGTTAAATCAGTCCCAAGTACAACAACAACCTGACGTTCTATTTCAGCTGCTGTGAAAGTCCCACAGAACCGAGCCAGCTCACTGTGTACTCCTGATTAATTTATTTTGCCAACCTTACCTGCCTCATTGTCCTTAGCATGATGCCAGGAGTGAGCTGGCATTCACTTCTCTCTTTCTCGGCTTCCTATGAAAAACACATTCATAAAAACTTACAGTCCCATGTGGCAAAAGTAACCAGGCAAACTCTCTCACAACTCAAATCACTGAGGCAAGAAGTTGTTTCTTGGCTGACTTTCTGTCACTGGGACACATTAGCCAATCCTTGTTTAGGTTAAATTAGCTTAAAGCAGAGAATTGTGGGGGGAAAAATCATTATATTCTTTCCTCGGTGGTACATTTTTAATAAATTTTAACAAGGGAACTGTTACAGGCAACACTGATGTAAGTTTAAGCTCTGCAGTTCTTCGAGTGTCCCATAGAGGCAGACTCCAAAAGCAAAGGAACCCCCATTAGAGTGCATATTAAAATGTAAGTTATAAAGAAAGGATTAAACATGTTTACAGCCTGGTGTAAAAAAAGATATTGTCGTTATTTCCTCTCAATACAACGGCTGGTTCCTTGCATCTGTTTTGATTGGATAACGCTAAAACCTCTACATAATTCGGCCGTTTTAGGGGCAGTTCTGTTTTGATTTGCAAGTGAGGGCATTGTAGCTGTTCACTGGGCGTTAGTCTAACCCCCAATTTCCACCGCATCCAGAACGGCTACGAAAAGGCCGATTGTAGCTTATCGTAACCATTCAAGTTAATATGTCAATTTTCACCGGCTTCTTCTTTGTTCTGCTGCGGATCGCCAGACTCCACAGCTGATTGCAAGAGTTCTGTTTTTCTGGACGCTGGAGCATGCAGGAAAAATTTGGCACAGATTAACCCGTGCTGGAAAGGAAGTCGGACACAGACACAAAATAAAACATCCGGCTTCTAAAAGTCTAGATGTGGATTTCCTCTTCTGGAAGGACACAATATGGTTATATGATGAGACAACTCGTCATCGCGTGATTGCACGTGAATCCGCAGGTTCTTGCAAGTTCTCGCGATTCCACCACGAAAATCGCCTCACAGACGGATCCAGTGGCAGCAAAAATTGCTGCCGTTCCAGATCGGAGTCGTGCCGGACGCGGTGGAAATTCGGGGTAACTCTATCCTCTTTGTTGCTGTCTAGGCTGGAGGTTACTTAGAGTCAGTATGTCCGCTCTGGCAACAGCTGTAGTTAGGTTTGGTAATGTTGTTCAACAAACCAGTAGGGAATGGCACTAATTTTCTAAAGCCAAAGTGGTTCTGCCGGAGAAAAATGATTTTTGTATATCTAAGTACGGCTAAAAATGAAAGCACTGATTTATTGTAGTAGTTCAAAAATCAACAAAATTAGTTTACTTTCGTTATTGGATGAGGCCGTTCTTTATTAAATCCCTAAATTGGACCAAATTGGACTCAGCATTGATGCAAGTAAAACAAATGGCCTGAAAATCCCATCCAGAAACTAACATGGCCCCATTATGCGGCAGCATTCACCCAGTACTTCCACCACCTCACAGTTAATGAAACAATTGGGGCCAATAAGCAGACACCGGGCTTACAATCAGCAACAGGTTGCCAGTCAGCTAAACAAACAAATCCGGGCTATGAACCAAAATTAAATAGGGAGCTGCAGCGGCTCCTGACAAACAGCAGCAGGTAAGTCTGGTCATTAAATCCAAGGGAACTAATGAGGTGAGGAGCAGCAGCTGAGCAGTCAGGTGACGTTTATGTGACAGCAGCTAGTGGGCAGGTGAGGCATGACACAAGTCTGTAGGGTGACAGAAAGAGACGGTAAGAAAGCACAGAGGAGCCCGAGGCGGAGGACAGCTGTCACCATGACAGCGACGCCATCTGTAAACGTAGATACTTCAAGGTGTCGTCTACTGGAGCACATCTGCAGGCTCGGGGCTGTACGTTACAAAGCTTTCACCTGTAGATCTGATGGTGATAATAGGAGCAGATGAGGCTGCTGCGGGTTTGTATTTATTGCATCACTTTTATTCTGCGGGCTTTTTAAAAACATCCTGTGATTTATTCTCATTTTTTACACCATATTTTTCTCCTGCGGAGCTGGCAGCAAAAGGCAAATATTTCTTCATGCTAGGAAGCCTGCTTTTGGATAATTTCTCACACACTTCAAAAATGAATCTACGGCAGCAGCTGCAATACCCCAGAGTTGTTTTTTTTTTTTTTTTTGATTAGATTTCCTTCATTTTTCTCACACAGACGCTGTAACTTCCATTTGCCTTCCTTAATAGAGTCTCAGGCTGCTCATTTGCCAGAAACTCTCAGAAATCTCTGCTAACCTGAGCCCCATTACTAGAGTCCCAAAGTGAACTTTCTTAAAGCCTTCCAGCATCCTTAAAAGATCAATACTAATCCGAACAAATACCAAAATACATAAATATATCTGCAGATGCATTAAAACAATCCTCTCTGAGAATGGAAAAGACATCAACAGATAAACAGAAATCCCAAACCGGTGCGATCATAATTTCCAGGAAGCTTCAGTTCCATTATTGCATCCCGCTGAATCAGCACATCCCGAGGTTATTTCTCATAAGGCTTGTGTTGTGAGTGTCAGGGACCTCGTAAATATCCCAGCTGCACAGCCAGAACAGCGCGAGTCTCTCTTTGCAGCACAAAACACTAATGCAGATTCCTCCCCGTCAGGGATTGTGCCTGGATTTTAATCAGGATACTATCGGTGGATCAAGTTTCCGACGCTGAATGAGCTCTGCATTATATCTGTACAGGTGACGAGGACACTGCTGAACACAGAGGCTCTAATACCTCATGTCTGGGGTTTTATTCCTGCATGACCTTTATAAAACAAGACATTTCTTCTGCCACCACAACACAAGAGCTGTTTACCTCTGGGGCCACGCTGAGGGTGGTGTTAGAAATAGAGGAATGCTCCAGGATGCAAATCCCGCATACAGAAATCACAATTTCACCTAATTCATCAGGAACTGTGCAACAATGTCTGGAAACACTACAAACATTCATATTAGCTACACAAAACTGCATTTGTTAGCACTCAACCACTTGCAAGCTACTGGCCTATTAAAGGTGGGGTAGGCAGGACCTGAGGAAGTGTCAGTTTTTGGAGAAATCTTGAATGTAAACACGACCCCTCCCAACCAGTTTTGCTGCGTACTCATATTGTTCCAATTAAGTTCAGATATAATGCAGATAAATACTTCAGATGATTACAAATTGGGCCCAGTCAAGGTGAAAGTCAAAAGCATTGGTGCTACTGTAGATGCCAACAGACTACCAGCAAACACAATGTTTGTAGGACTTCTACAACGAGGATAAAGTGACACAGTCCAGGACCCGAGGTCAACAGTTTGAAAAGAAACACTTCTGTTACAGACACTTGTCTTACTTTGTTAAAGAGGTTTACCTGTCCAGCAGAAAGGTTACAGGGTCCGTAAGATCATGAAGCATCCCCTGTGGTTTTATGTTGACCCAGCTTTTTAGCTCTTGTCCGGTCTACCTCCTTTTTAAGCGCCCGTTATTAAGAATAAGAATAAGAACTTTATTAATCCTCGAAGGGAAATTCAATGGTCTGTCATCTCATTTGTCATGTCTCTAAAAGTTATTTACTATTTACTATTTTACAAGTCTATTAAGTCTATTTACTTTTTATTCGACCAGAGTCTCCGGTATTTACTTCGTTTTCTTGCTGAAGGAGGATTCAGACATTTTTCCGTACTTTCTGGTTGGTTTCAACTGTCCGATATTGTAGCACGCTAACTTTGTTTGAGCTCGTGTACGACTCAGGGGAGCAGTGTCGGCCTCACAACCAATCAGGTCAGGGAGATGGAGAACAGCTTTGTTTATGTGGGAGCAAGTTACAGACAATAGAAATCTAAATCTAGACAGTTGAGCAAAGAAAGTCTAGAGCAGACTTAATTTGCCTAATTTGCAACGTGTTGAAAAACAGGATGCAGGCCACGGCCTGAGAGGTCATGTCGACCTGAACTTGTCACACATGGCTCTGCCAAAATTCAACAGGAAACTTGGCAGAGCCGGCCAGCGAGAAAACTTAGGAAGTCACGTTGTTGGCTATCAGACACCAATGTGAAGTAAACTTACAGGAAGATAACAATTCAGATGACCACTAAAAACCATAACTGACGTCATTGGAGCTCTTGTAAGAAAGATTTCTAATTTGGCTTTTGCTGTCTGTCTGATTGTCATGACTTTGTGGTTGATGCTTTAATAAATCCCACGAGAGGCTGCCAACTGACTCTGTCTTCTGGTGGTTCATTTTTGCACCTTTTTGCATGTATGAAATCTACTATATTTACAGTCAGAAACGTTTGGGCCGCTCAAAAATTTAAAATGTTGGCTATGCAGGCATAAGAGAACACAGTGATATCGTTATATTACCAAACATCATCAATAACTAATGGCTATTGACTGATATTAAAAGCTTTTTTGTATATACACCACAAAAAATATGCTTCTTTAACAGATCCCTGCCTACCCCACCTTTAAAAGACAGTTGATTTTGATAATAGGAGCACCTCTTCCAAGGCGCATACGAAATCATTGTTCAGGGTTTTAGGGTGGCCAACTCACTCTAGGTCATGGCCACCCCCAGCTGCCCCTTGGTTCCGTCCCTGGTAATATGTAGCATGCGCCTGTTGTTGCTGATCTTTCGAATCAGGGTGATATATACAACGTTACAGCAGTGTTTGGAGATCGTAGGGAAACAGACATCATGTATGGATGGTCAGTGGTCCTTCCATGCCGCTCTTCCCACTCACCCACCCTCCACAAAAGGGATGACCACCCTCTAAGAGAGGTGAGCCACCGCAAACTCCACTACAGATTAAGTCAATGTCTGAGCAAAGGGGCAAAGTGCATCCAGTGCCCAAAGAGGATTGAATGGAATACAAGTGCATCGTGGTTAAATCCCTTGATGGAGGGCATTTAAGGCAAAATAACAAAAGCTTTTGATCAGTGGAGGCTTAAAAGAAATCCATTACTGCGGGCTAAAATGCCTTTAGTTCGAGCTCTGTAGTGTCTGTATAGAAACTTCATCTCTGCTGCATCACATGTTGGAGTCTGCAGGGAATGGAAAACCTATGTGGGATGATGACGATATGTCAGGCGCGCACACAGACTCACGCACTCTCTCTCACACAGGATGCCAATTATTGACTTGACATGTTGGAATCTGTCCATGGTGCTGAAATGACTCGCCTGAGGATTTAACTCTTTGCTCTGGGCTGCAGGGTAACTTAATCACAGTGTCAACACTGTGGAGACCTGCTAACAATCATCTCACAAACACAGGCTATATTAAGACACCAAAACAATCCCACCTCTGTTTGCACTCACCACAGACAACATGGAATAAAAGACCTGGACCCTCATTATCAACACATATTAAATTATGCAATATGTTAAAACATTGTCATTGGCTTTTTTCCCTCTGTACAGTAGCTGCATGTGTAATAACCCAGGCTCATATGTAGGCCAGGGAAATTCTAATGTAAAACAAATGATTTCCACTAAATCACTGCTGTAATTTCCGCTTAACTTCCTATACATGTTTCCTATATAATTGGAGCCATTGATTTTCCGCTTGTTCTGGGCCACTGAAATAATGCATGTGTGATTAGGGATGCGGTTGCGTCACCAACTGGGTAGCTGGGACAGATGACTGGCGCAGATGTAAAGTCAAGGTAGACGGATTAAGACCGGAAATTACACTCGGAGTGCTCTTCAAAATAAAAGCAAACCTTGAACAGAGGGGATGGTTGGCTCTTGTGATCATTTGGAAAGTGTTTCATGGCTTGCAATATTTGCACTGGTTATTGTGTACAACATTCAGTCAATTGATAAAACTTATATGAATGAATGTAAAACTAGAAAAATCTGTTAATTGTAAATCAATAAGTATTCTTAAATCAACATTGTTATTTGTTAGAGAAAAAAAATGTGTCATGCTACATTTTTCTATAATACAGTTTGGCTGCTTTTTCAGGACATTATATAAACAGATGCAATTTAATAACATATCATAATATTACTAATAGGTCCCTTTTTCACTTTCTATCCACTGAGAAGGTGCTTTGTTTACACTCAATCCACTGGAGCGGCATCAAGACAGCACTTTGTATACATTTTATTCATGAGAGTAGCATCTGAGGGCACTTTTTTATACATTTAAGCCACTAAAGTGGCATCAAGATAGCACTTTCATTACACTTATTTTAAGAGAATGGCTAAAGAAGGCACTTTATTTACATTTAGTTTACTCAGCAGCATTAAGGGAGCATGTTGTTTACATTAAACTATTGGAATAGCATCAAACTGGTACTTTCTTGTCATTAAACCATAAAGAGCTGCATAAAAAATGCCCTTTGTTTACATTAACCTTTAAGAGGGGCAACAAAAAGGCCCTTTGTTTACATTCAATCCACTGGAGTGGCATCAGGAAGGCCTTTTGTGTACATTTTATTCTTGAGAGTAGCATCTGAGGGCACTTTATTTACATTTAAGCCACTGAAGCGGCATCAAGACAGCGCTTTCATTACACTTAATTTACAAGAATGGCTAAAAAAGGCACTTTATTTACATTTAAGTATACTGGGCAGCATTTTGTTTCCATTTAACTATTGGAGTAGCTTCACACTGGCCCTTTTCTATCATTGAACCATTAAGATAAATACCAATCAAAAATGCCCTTTGTTTATATTAACCTTTAAGAGGCACAACAAAAAGGCCTTTTGTTTAAATTCAATCCACTGGAGTGGCATCAAAGAGGCACTTAGTTTACATTTGGAACCGGAAGGGTATACAGAGTACATTTTCTTATAAAAAAAACAAGAGAGCATTTTGTTTACATTTAAGTGCTGGAGTAGCATCAAACTGGCCCTTTCTTGTCATTAAACTATAAAGAGTTACACAAAATATGCCCTTTGTTTACATTTAATGCACTTGAGTTGCATCAGGAAGGCACTTTGTATACATTTTATTCATGAGAGTAGCATCTGAGGGCACTTTTTTTTACATTTAAGCCACTGAAGCAGCATCAAGATAGCACTTTCATTACACTTAGTTTGTGAGAATGGCTAAAAGAGGCACCTTTTCCACCTTGTTTCCACTGAGAGGGTGCTTTGTTTACATTCAATCCAGTAAAGTGGCATCAAGACAGCACTTTCTTTACACTCTATTAAGGAGAATGGCTAAAGAAGCTTCTTTATTTACATCAAATCTTTAAGAATTGCACCAAAAAGCTCTTTGTCTACATCAAACCTCCCAGAGAACACTTTGTTTAGTGGAGTGTCTGGTATTTGTTTATATAATTTCCACTGTATGTGCACCAGAGATGACATATTAAAGCATTCAAGAAGGTAATAATAACGCTTTTCTGGAAACAAGGACTACAAGGAAGTCTCGAAGCTACTTACACAGGACGTTATAGTGATGTAGTTTATTCTGAAACCGGAAGTGGTACTGTTGAACTGAGTGAACTTGCCGTGTGCGCGCTCAGATCAGATACCCATCAGCAGTTGGCTCTGGCAGGACAGCCGAGCCCGAACGCTCCTCACGTGCGGATGTGCCATCTCGCGCTGACATCTCGAGAGTTTTCATTTCACACCAGTTTGACCACGCAGCGTGGAAGCTTTAAGGGGAAATGGAGAGGAATTTCATGAGGGGAGAACTTGGATATTTACAGCTTTAAGTTTGAAAAGTGGACCTGTCCCCGTGCTGGACGTGGACAGTCAGCTCTGCCCTGTTGGACATGTTCTCACCTGCTCGTGGGACTTTAACTCCTGGTTCTTGACTAACCGGAGCCCCACGTTCCGTCACCTGGAGTGAAGCTGCAGGATGAGACGAGGGGAGGAGGAGGACTCGGACATCACGTTACCGTTTGTGCCGACGGCGTGATTTACAGTTTGATTCCACCATGGAGGAGAAGTTCAACAGACTCATCTTCATCCCCATTGCGGCGGTGCTCTTCTTCATGATTGGCTACCAGTATGTGTGCCCGTCGGACAGCAACACCTGCTACTTCAGAAGTGACGAGAAAGGGCTTTTCCAGCGCTATTCATCCGGGTATGAGCTACTTTACGCAGAGCCGGAGGCGGACGAGGACCTTCCCTCCAAAATCTCGTCCAAATTCAACTTCACGGAGCGGGATCTGGACCGGAACGTGGACTTCAACATCCGAGGGGACGATGTGATGGTGTTTCTCCACATTCAGAAGACCGGCGGGACGACGTTTGGGCGGCACCTGGTCAAGAACATCCAGCTGGAGCAGCCCTGCGACTGCATGCCGGGCCAGAGAAAATGCACCTGTCACCGGCCGGGGAAAGCCGAGTCGTGGCTCTTCTCCAGGTTCTCCACGGGCTGGAGTTGCGGGTTGCACGCGGACTGGACCGAGCTCACGAGCTGTGTGCCCGTGGTGATGAACAAGAGGGACAAGAAGAATGCGCAAAAGAGCAAAAGGTGAGGTGGAGAGCAGGACAGGTGAAGTCTGAGGGGGAAAAAAACAACACTTATTTTCCTGTTCAACAATTCACCCTCTCATTTACTCATTTGTTTCTTCATGAACTCATTAACTCTTGAGTTTCAAGTCTCTCACACCCCCCACTAACTTATTCAGATCACTCTCTCATCCTTTCACTCATACTCATACTTACTCACTCATACATTTACTTCTTAAGCCATTTCCTCACTCATTCATCTAATTTCATCCTTCCTCACTCATTCTCCCTTACATCTTCATTCACCGTCACCCTTTCAATCATTCACTCACTCATTCACATTACAAATATATTCCATAATGTGCTCTCTCATCAATATATTCACTCATTCATACTCTCAGGAATTAACATTTCATTTATTCACATCCTCCTTAACATATTCATTTACTCATCCCTCACCTCAAGACTTATTCAACAACTTGCTTGCACACTCATGCACTCGCTCTTTCATTAACCCATTCACTCACTCACTAACCTTTGCACAGTTATTCGCTCACTCACTCATTCACATCATAACTTAGCAACAATGAACAAAATCATTTACTCATTGACTCTCACTCACTCACAAACCCAGGAGTAAAATCATTCACTCAGTCACTCACTCCCCAGCAACTAAATGACTCACCCACTCACTCATCCATCTATGAACATATACATTTGCTCACTCTTTCACTTGCTAACCCATGAAAAAACACTCACTCACTCATTCGCATCCCTTCACTCACTTTTTCACACCTTCATTAAAATATTTATTCATTCAGTCACCCATAATGTGTTCTCTCATTGATATATTCACTCATTCATACTCACATTCATTTATTTACTTCCTCATAAACATATTCATTTACTCATCCCTCACCTAATAACTTATTCACCAACTTGTTACACACTCATTCACTCACTCTCTCACTAACCCATTCACTCAGTTAGTCACTCAACGGTGAACAGAATTATTCTCTCAATCACTCATTCACATCATAACTGAGCAACAATGAACAAAATCTTTCACTCATTGACTCTCATTCACTCACTCTCTTACTAATCCATTCACTCACTCACCACGTCACTCACCTGTGAACAGAATTATTACTCTCTCACTCATTCACATCATAACGAAGTAACAATGAACGAAATCATCCGCTTATTGACTCTTGATCACTCACTAACTCACTAACCCACAAGTAAAATCCTTCATTCAGTCACTCATCAAGAGACTTAATTACAAACCCACTCACTCATACATCTATAACTATACTCACTCACTCACTCACTCACTCACTCACTCACTCACTCACTCACTCACTCACCCGTATTTGTAGTTAGTTTCTCATTGCTTTAGTTGATCATTTACTCATTCATTCACTCACTAACCCAGAAACTAAATCACTCTCTCTCACTCACTCACTCACTCACTCACTCACTCACTCACTCACTCACTCACTCACTCACTCACTCACTCACTCACTCACTCATCTATCTATGAACATAACCATTTGCTCACTCTCTCACTTGCTAACCCATGAAAAAACACTCACTCACTCACTCACTCACTCACTCACTCACCCATCTCTTTTACTGCTAACCCGTGAAAAAACACTCACTCACTCACTCACTCACTCACTCACTCACTCACTCACTCACTCACTCACTCACTCACTCACTCACAGTGCCCTAGTTAATCAATCACTCATTCATTCATTCACTCATTCATTCACTCACTCACTTACTTATTCACCCGTTCATCTGTTTAATCCACTCTCTCTATATTACACTGTGATTCCATGATAAATCAGGTGTTTTTGGGTCCTTCTCTGTGACCTGGTTTAAACTGAGTACCTGCAGGTTCTTCACAGTTTTAACAATGATATAAAAAAACTTGTTCGACTGATTCGGTCTGCCGCCGAAATATGTGTTACTTACAAACGTCTCTCCAGCCTGCAAAAGCAGCAGGTGGGTTAAGTCATTAGGTTTACTTACCTCAAGGCACTAAGTCAAAGGTAAGAGGATTTCAGAACAATGTAGGTTGTGACACCAATTTCTCCCTGGCTCTCAATTACCTCTCGGTCGAGTCACGCCAAGCGTATGTGCCCTTATTGGCATGTAATGTGGAGCTGTTTAAAGCTGCCGTGTTAACAGCCTCACCACATGGCGTGTCAACACCAGCAGCTGTGTCTTCCAGCACATTGAGATGGACCGCGTCCACGTCTGAGGGTCTGTTTCAATTTCCTGTAATTACAGAACAAAGCTTAAGGAGGTAAATCACTTAAGAAGGCAGGGGTCCTCTGAGGTGTGCCGCCTGTGCGTTGAAGCCAATTTACCTTACAATTTGGTTCAGAGTGCAAATCTCCATATGCTACCCAGAGCGCTAAAGGGGGTCGACTAGGACTGGTGGGGGTGAGGGGTGCCTCCAAGAATCCTTCCAATCCATTTACCGTCCTCTGTGGCAGCCATCAGACTTAATTTAATGCTTTTAAATAATTTTGATGTGGTGCCTCCGAGCCAGATCAGCACTGTGAGTGAATCAACAACACTCCAGTCAACACTTGTCAGCTCAATATAATAGTCAGTGGAAACTCAGCACTCATTAACGTTGGCACTTTGCTGCGTCTTAGACTGGCTGCAGACATAATTTAGCTTAATTTCTTTCAAAGTTGGGACAAAATGTGTGCTGCGCAGCAATTTTCCCACTTCTAAGTGTCAATTTTTACTAATTATTTTGACAGGAAAAGCAATGATTCCCACTAACAGCGCTAATGAGTGGTGAATAAACTCCTGTGGGGGCTGACTTACAGAGATTTCTATTGCAAACCAGAGAATAGCCACGATAACATGATACTGCACCGAGCAATCCTGAAAAGTGCTCGCAGTTAATGTGATACTGGATTGATCCCTGTAGGGAGATACTCTCTGCAGCCCCTCCATAGAGAGTGGGGGGGGGGTCTCACTGTCTTTCTCAAGGACACTGCTGCACAAAAGAAATGCACATTTCTTTAAAGCTCCAGTAAGGAGTTTTTTTTCTGGGTATGAAACAGGATAAAATGACCTCTGAGTGACCTACAACAGCAAACAAGACTGATTATATACTGCAATTCTTACGTTTAAAACCTCTGCTGTGAAGGTGGTAGGTGGTAGGATTTTTTTAGGCTTGGACATTAGCAGAAAGATGAGAAGTATCACTCTGTCCATGTGGGGGCGCCAGAATCAGCACCAACTGAAGGTTCCCAACAGGAGCTTTAACATGAGTATTATCTTTTTTTAATAATCCTAAACATTGTAACACTTTGTTACCGTTTTTCTTTTTGTGTGCTTATGCAGATATAGGCGCTGATAGCAACACTATTATCTAGACTCCAATATTTTTTTTCTGCGAATGCTAACAGCTAAAAGAAACTAAGCTATGCTAGCTTTATAGGGACAAAGGCTGGTACTGTGTGTGTTAGACAGGCCAGCGATAATGATTCTAACTCTGGTATTAAAGACCAATGAAAATCATTTTTTCCATAGATGTTAGGCTGCAAGCTAACTCAAGCAGAAGTGTGCAGAGCAGCGCTGTCTCCGCCCAAAATGACACAAGAAATGTGATTTTTGGTAAAAACTTCATAATCAAAACTTAAAGACCACTGAGAACACTTTCAGTAATTAAAAAAAACAACCGCGGTGGGACTTAAATGTAACATTTGATAGCCGCAACTGCGTTATACTCTATGCTAGCAGCCTACTTTTGTTGTTTACTACTCTGAAAAAGTAGATGTTAATGATTTGAACCCAAACCATAGTTTTCCTGACTTTAAAGCTCCTGCTGCAAATTCGGAGGAGGTCATGGAACAGACAGAAATTAAAGTTTATGTTATTATTTCGTCGTCAAAAAATGCGAATAAGACCATAAACACGAAGTTTGAAGTTTTTTTACAGCAAACATTTCCAGTAAGATAGCAAGAGGGCCTTTTGGCGCGAGTACTACGTCGTTGACATTATCAACATCAAACTTAAAGTTCCTCACAGCAGCTTTAAAAAACAGTTAAATGTGTAGTTGAAAGCATATTTATTGCTACAGTTTTGCTACATTGTGCTGTCATTTAGTTCAGATCTGTGATTGGTAGTTATCGAGTTGAGAGCGCTAACTAATGTCACACTAGGAGCTATTTTCGGGTGTACTTTGCAGTACCATATGGTGGTTATATAGTGGATTTCATCTGTTATTAGCTTCAGAACAACTTTAATTCTAATGCTTCAGCTCCTGCAGGATTTATGATTGAAGTCTTGTTCAGCTGTCAACTCTGACCAGAAGAAGGATATATTTTTCAGAAGCAGGTATCAATTGAAGCCAAATGCACCGTGACTCACAACTCGTTCTATACCTGTGAATTTCGTAGACAAGCTGTGAGTCACAACTCGCTCAACAGCCACAAATCTGTCACAAGAAGTTCTCATTTCCCCGTATAATGCCTGGTTGATTTTCTGTCCACACACATTACTTTCCTCTGGCAATAGACAAACTATTAAGCGAAACCGTCTTGTCGTTTTCGATTAAAACCGCCAGATAAAGTCCTCTGAGCGACTTATTCACCCGATGATGTGTTGCCACGAGGTTTCATGTTGCGATTTTATCAGATCTGAAAGGCTCCTGTCCTGTCACTTTGGGGGATGTTGTCTCGCTGTGATGGACTGTGATGCATGCAGCGATGGCAGCAGAGGGAGTTGAAGTGAGGTGGTGCATGTGTGGGTCAGCTTAACGCGATACTTAACTCTGTCGGATCGCTCTGCTCTGGATTTGTTTGGTTTTCAGCTTTGATCCCTCTGTTTCGAGGAGGAGTTAAGAGAGGTTAAAGAGAATTATCGTTGTTCTCCCAATACACCGTGTACATAATCCTTTTTGCATTTTACTGTACTCCTACCCAAAGTTTAGACATAATCACTGAGAGCATTTTCTAAAAAGCCGAACGATTTCATGCGCTTATAAAACACTCAAATCTTTATTCCCAGTCTGATTGCGAAAGACGGAACAGCATGTTGATATCGAGCGATGACTCTCGTCTTATACAAGTCCCATATAGCAATGGGAATGTAGACAGTCAGGGATCAAACATCATGGGAGTGGATGACGCCCACACCTTTCTTCAGGCTACATCCTGCCGGGTGTGATGTAGTTTGCAGAGAGAGTCTTATCTCAGCCCTCTCAGACTCTGGTTCACTCTTTGAGCAGATTTTATAACTTAGTCCACCAGACAAATCCCTCAACTTTGAGATATTTTAGATTGTAAACTCCTCACCACACTGACCTGGCATGAAAATAAATGTAACTAGAAACAAACAGATGGTGGTGCATTATTAATTCTTCAAAACCCAATATTGTGTGTCCCTATTTCTGCATCTACATTCAAGTTGTTTAGTATGCACCTCACACACAGAGACCATACTCTGTGTTGCTGTGGCCACTGCTACAACCCACAACTGTATGTCTTCCCCATTCTCCACACATCTCTTCAGCTATTCTATCAAACAAAGACAAAAAGGCCCAAAAAAATGGGGCTCGACTTGGGGATATCGGCCTTTGCTGATTATTGGGCTGATAGCTGGTATTTGATCGTTTATCTGCATTGGTCTAAATTCTGATTTTGACAATTTTTCCTGCTGATGGATAATGGGGCCCAAGTATTTGTCTCAGAAACTACTTGTGGTATCAGTACTGGCTATGAAAAACCAATATCAGTCGCCCCCACGGACACAATTTGTGGGGGGGAACAGGGGACACGTTCAACCGTCTGAAAACAATGCTAATTTGCACTATAGCAAACGGATACACGTCAGGCGCTAGGACCAAACAGCCACTCAAGCCGAAAACTGGTTTCCCTTGGTTTGGACCACCCAAAAGGTTGGCAAAAGGTTGGCTCTGGCACAAGGCCACTTTTTGTGTGTGATTGGCTATCCCTGCTGTCAGTCAATCCATGCCCGCCGGACTAGTGTTTTGCAAGTTGCTCTTAGAGTCAGTCCGTGAACATCGCTATTTGCCGATGTAAGTTTACAGGAGGGTGGCGTTCATTTTCCCTCCATAAAAATTGGTCCAGATTATTGGCCTCATGAATTACTTATATTCATTATTAGTATAAACCTCAAAAAAACAATGTTCGTCGCCCCCTATTGATATTGGTCCAGATTATTGGCCTTGTGAACTACTTATCAATCATTAATTGGCATTATTGGTATTAACCTTTTAAAACCAATATTAGTCAACCCCATGAATATTGGTCCAGATTATTGGCCTCAGGAAATACTTATAATCATTTTGGTATTAGCCATTTAACACCGATATTAGTCGCCCATTATGAATATTGGTCCAGATTATTTGCCTCATGAAATACTTATATTCATTATTGGTTTTGTTATTGAAAAACCAATATCAGTCACCCCCTGTGAGTATTTGTCCAGGTTACTGGCCTCATGGACTACTTAAATTGATTATTGGTATTAGGCTTTCAAAACCAATATCAGTTGCCCCCTATGAATATTGGTCACAAATATTGGTCTCATGAACTACTTATATTCATTTTTTTTTTTTTAATTGAAAAACCAATATTAGTCGCCCTCTATGAATATTGGTCCAGATTATTGGCCTCATGATCTACTTTTATTCATTATTGGTATTGTTATTGGAAATCTAATATTAGCCGCCCTCTTTGAATATTGGTCCCAAATATCGGTCTCATGAACTCCTTATACTCAGCATCAGCAGTGGTATCGGCCTTGAAGAACCTATATTGGTCTATCCCTACAAGTATAACTGTAAAACCACTGTTCTTTCTCATAGTTCAGTGCACAGATGCACAGAAACTGCCTCGTTTCTAAATTCATTACACAGCAACACTTAATGAAAACATCCACATTTAGCAACATTTGTTGAGTGCTATCCTGCTGATTCTGAATTAAGAAGCATCTGTCTGCTGCAAACCTTGACGTCACCTCTCTCCTACACAATGCACAGGTGTAAAAAAACAAAGACGAAGAAATTCACATACGAGAGATTGACTTAAATTAACAGGGGGACATTATTATACTTACAAATATATTTTATTTGAAAGGTATGTATTATGTATTACTTTTTCAAGTGTATTCAAAGTGCAGGAAAAGAAACTGATAACTGAGTGGCTCCTTGGTTACCAGAAGAACTTGCATGGCAACTAGTTACAGTTTTGTTCAGGCTCAGCTTGTGCCGAGCTCTGGGACTTGCCGGCATCTTTTTCAAATCGGCAGGGTGAGTTAAATTTAGCTCTCCAACAGACTGGTGGTCATAATTAAGGGAAGCCATAATGAGATTTGTAATTCACCTCATGTTGGTTTTTCCTCTCTTTGCACCTTCCTTTATCCTTTCAAACCTGTCTTAACACACATACGCGCCGCCCGCCCTCCTTATGTCCCTCCTCACGCGCACAAACTTAAGTAAACAGTACGTGGAAGGTTAAAGTTGTTCTTGATAGGCGCACCGCTGGTCAGAGGCTCCTGCAGGAGTTCGCTCGCAGCGTGAGACTAAAGCGTTCACATCGCAGCAGGATGTAAAACTGCTGTAAGGCCAGACGTCAAGCCTGCTTCAATTGCAGGGCTGTCCTGTTCGTCCTCGACAGCCAGCGTCACACTGAGCAGTCAGAGAGTGTAACCTTATTACCGACCTCATTATTTCAGATTAGTGCAGAGAATGCAGTCTGGCCAAAACACAGATCCGCCTGAGTCCAATTAGCCCAGTTCATTTTGGATCCAGTTAAGGTGGTTTTAGCTATTAATTTGGCATCAACACCTAATATGATGAGGATAATGACACCAAGGGCATTCAGATATGCAAAACTATGCAGGAAGTTGACAGGGTTTTGTCGTCAAAACAGGAGGAAACTATTGTGTATGTTTCTTTTATTCCTCTTAAATTTGATTTACTTTAGTGCCTCATATGTGAGGAAACACCCGGTTGCAAGTTTTGACATTAATCTCCCCTTAGAGTAACAGAGAGTCAGTTTAAATCCTCAGCCAAAGTGAGTGCAGAGATTTTAGAGGAGGGTGTATATTGTTGTGGAAATGGGTTTGAGTTTGAAGTTGAGTGTATTTCTCAAATGCTTAAGGCATAATACTGCCCTTTAACTGCCAACGCTGCTTTTGAGTGCACTGTCACTCTCTGCGCTTACACATCAAGTTATTTCAAGCTGCTGACAACCACACATTGTTATGAAAAAAGTGAATGTGACAAAAACGCAGATTGTCAAAAATATGTGACCCTCGGTGGCCGGAAATCATTCAAACGGCTCCCAGTGGATCTGTGATGTCTCAGAGTGAGACTTTTAAGGTAGAAAATAGCACATTCTTGCTCAAACTAATGAGAATTTGAATTGATAAAGCATTAAATGTGCCCTTTATCTATTCAAAACACTCACAGGTTTAGCTGGATTGATCTATAATGAGCAGTGTGGTGGCTAAATGTTAGATTTTGTCAGCAAAGGTTACGTAAACGCCTCTTTGAAAATGTCACTTTTAAGTTAGTTTATCGACTTTGTGAGTATTCTCGACATAAAAGGTGTTCACAGACAAAAACCAATACAGGAAGTGGCCTCTGGAGAAATGGGGAATATGGATGAAGATGTTATAATTATCGTCAGCACATATTTTTGTTTCCCTGAAAATATTATGTATCTTACGTTTTGTTTTAAGGGTCGACTGTTAGCGGCTTTTCACGGTCGATAGTGATGCCAACTATGAGCTGTTCATTAGATCGGTGCTAGGGACCGATATCCATTGACAGTAAAATTAAGGCTATTACAGATATTGATCAAGCTCTACAAATGTTGGTGCCAAATATCAGTCTAATTAACTACATATACTTGGGATCAGTATCAGCCTTGATAAATCAATATCTGTGAAACCTTACAAATATTGGTTCCAAATATCAGTCTCATTAATGACTTATACCCAGTAATGGTTTAAGTATTGGGTTTAAAACCAGTATCAGTCGACCCCTACAAATATTGGTCCCAAATAGTGTCCTTATGAACCACTTATAATCTGTATCAAAAGTGGTATGGCATTAAGAAACCAATATCTGTCAACCCAACAAATATTGGTCCCAAATATCAGTCTAATTGACCACTTATACTTGGAATCAGTGTCATCCTTAAAAAATCAATATCTGTCAAACCTAACATATATTGGTCCCAGATATCAGTTTCAGTAACTATTTATACCCAGTAATTGTTTTAGTACTGGCCTAAAAACCAATATCAGTCGACCCCTACAAATATTGGTCCCAAATAGTGTCCTCATGAACTACTTGTACTCTGTGATTGTTTTAGTATTGACCTTAAAACCAATATTGGTGAACCCAAAAAAGTATTGGTCCCAAATATCAGTCTAATGGACCACTTATACTTGGGATCAGTTTCAGCCTTGAAAAATCAATATCTGTCAAATCTAATTTATGTTGGTCCCAAATATTAGTCTCATTAACTACTTATACCCAGTAATGGTTTAAGTACTGGGTTCAAAACCAATATTAGTCAACCACTACAAATATTGGTCCCAAATAGTGTCTTAGTGCCAATACCAAGTATCGGCCCTGATAATTGGCCATGGTAGATAATCGATTAACTCCTTATTATCCCATTCATTTTTGAAGATTGAGGAGTAGTAGCCAGTTTCTGAATTGGAGATGTAGCATGGTATAGTATCTGCAGATAATACTGTGAAAAGTTCTCTATCAATATTGGCATATATGGCAATTTCTGCTGCGATATCATCAAAACAGCTGTCACAATAAGAGTATTTGGTCAGTTCTATCACAGGAGAGACTTGTTGTTCTGTTCGCTAAAAAAGGATGGGTAAATATCGGTATTGATATCGGTCACAGCCTAAATGAGTATGAAAATATTAGCATGTGCACCACCAATCTGAATCAGTATCAGATAGTAAAAATTAAATATTGGTATCTTGACATATTTTGCTGCAACAGTCCTGTTAGGAAGATACATTCACCTCTTTGATATCACTACCAGCCTAAAAATCACTCAGCTTCACTTTTTAAAAATTTCCAAACAATAAAAGAACCAAAAGTTTCCAAACTTGTGCTGGATTCTGTAAATCTCACACTCACCGCCTCACCACAGAGGAGACAGTTCAAAACTCACTGAAGTCCTGATTCGTCACCTCCGGTGGGTGGTGGACTATACGTACAGTACCTGACACTAGAGTTTTATTTTTGGCAGTGGGTGAATGTGCAGGTCTGCTGGGAGATCCTATGCAGCAGCCTGATGTTGAGATGTGGGCTGATAAAGCAGGAAAATCTCTGCCAGTAATTTTAGTTTCCGGGAGAGCTTCTACCTCGGTGGAGCGGAAGGAGGCGGCGACATCAAATGTTTGGCGTGATTGTAGGTGTAGAAGCAACATGTGCTGCTCTAAGCCTTTCGATGACGTCGGGATGATAATATTAGTGATTACACAGAACAGAGAGCCAATCTACCTCTAAAGTTCACCAGGAGGGAGAACTCACTCTAAGGGAATTTGCTTTAAATGAAATATTGACGTTGATATCAAAATCACTTGAAGCAGCAGGTTTTTATTGATCCTTTAAAATGAGCTTCATCAGTAGATGAAACAATGATACTCGCATAGACATTTTGAGATACTATTGCTGAGCTCGCCAGATTCAACTTAGAAACTGGGTCAAAGAATGAGTAAGTTTCGAGTTAGTTTCAGGTTGGATCGGGGACAGTAGCTTCCTGCATTGTGGGCGTTTCTTGATGAGCAGACATTTATAAATGAGAGGCGGTCATTTTTTTCACATTATCTCAGGCATAAAAAAGAAAGTCCCCCAAACTACTCCCAGACCAATATTTCTCATTTAGTCTCACTTTTACTCTTTTACTTTCTGGTAACATGACATTTCTTGGCTTTAAAAGTGACACCTCTTTCCTCATTAACTTTTACTTTGCACAGAAAGCAGGAAACGGCTTTTTAACTCCAGGAAGCAATTAACACATCCTGCTGCAATAATTTGCATATTGCACTGCACTTACATGCATCACACCCTGGCTGCAGCGGTGGATGAACAGTTGTTATGATTCTTAGTCAAAATACACAGTCAAAGAATAGACTTCAAGCATCGACATATGACAGAATTCATTAACTAAAGTCACTCTTTTCAATAACTTTGGCCGGTTTTAGGCGGAAACAGTAAGACACTGCGCTTTTGAAGACAACTTTTCCCCCTCAACTGTTAAAATCACAGATAAGGCCTCACTGACGTCACCTAATCGTTTCCGAGGAGCTGCCATGAAGCCCCACGACGGTGCTCGCCACCTCAGAAATGATGACTCAGCCTTGACTTTTGATCAATCCAAGCGCAAGCAAAGAGGTGAGCTCGGGTGGATCTTAGAACGCCTGGCAAAAACTCTAATGCGCCCAACTGTCAATCAACTCAGCTACTAAATGTGCAAATTTATGCATAACTCCCATGTCATGTTTCCAGTGTGTGACTGGTGTCTTGATATTCAGAGATGTACAGATTATGTTTCTATTGATGTCAAGACACCTGATCAAAACCTCCATCCATGCTCCTCGGATCAGTGTCAGCAGGGAATGAATTCATCAAAAGGAAAACTCTGGCTCCCAATATTAGGGAAGATATCAAACTCAGTATTAAAGTATCAATATCAGTATCTGTTTGATGCCAAATGAGTTTGAAACAATTAGTGAATTGGAGGGGAGGTGAAAAGGTACATAAACCGTGTTTACTATCAATATTTTTAACACTATCTGTTTCAGTATCAGTGGCATTATCTTTATCAGTATCAGCAACTTAATCAGTATTGGTCTATCAGTATCAGCATCTTTGTCAGTGTGGGTATAAGTATTGTTTTCAGTTTCTCAAACTATATTGTGATTAGTATCCCAATCTATATTGTGATCAGTATATTTATCAGCAGCAGTATCAGTAACAGTAAAAGTATCAGTGCTAGTACCTTAATAAGTAGTTAAAGCATTTATATCAGTATTGATATCAGTATCTGAATCATTTTTGGTATCAGAATCAGTATTTACATGAATATCAGCATTCTTGTCAGTATTGGTATTAGTATTATTATTAGTATCAGTATCTTTAACAGTACTGGTATTGGTAGGGATATCTGTATATTCATCAGTATCTGTACGATTATGGGTATTAGTGTTATTTCCAGTAACAGTATCGGTATATTTTTTATCAGAATCTGTACTGGTATAGGTACCATTATATTTATCAGCATTGGTATTAGTATCTTGAACAGTATTGGTATCAGTATATTTATTAGTACTGATATCAGTATCTTTAACAGTGCTGGTATTGGTGGGGGTATCTGTATATTCATCAGTATCTGTACTAATATGGGTATTAGTGTTATTTCCAGTAACAGCTTCGGTATTTTTTTATCAGTATCTGTACTTGTATTGGTATCAGTATCTTTTACAGTATTGGTATCAGTAGATCTATTAATATTGGTATCAGTATCAGTATCTTTAACAGTACTGGTATTGGTAGGGGTATCTGTTTCTTCATCAGTAGCTGTACTATTATGGGTATCAGTATTGTTTCCAGTAACAGTATCAGTATTTTTTATCAGTATCTGTACTTGTATTGTCATCAGTTTATTTATCAGCATTGGCATTTGTATCTTTAACTGTATTGATATCAGTATATTTATTAGTATTGGCATCACAATTTTTAACAGTTCTGGTTTTAATAGTAGTATCTGTATATCATCGGTATCTGTACTATTTTTGGTATCAGTATTATTTCTAGTAACAGTGTCAGTATTTTTTTATTAGTATCTGTACTTGTATAGGTGTCAGTATATTTATCAGCATTCGTATCAGTATCTGTAACAGTATTGATATCAGTATATCTATTAGTATTGGTATCATTATCTTTAACTGTATTGGTATTGGTAAAAGGTATCTGTATCTTCATCAGTACCTGTACTATTATGGTATCAGAATTTTTTCTAGTATCAGTGTTTTTTTAATGAGTATCTGCACTTGTATAGGTATCAGTATCTTTAACAGCATTGGTATCAGTATCCGTGTGACTTGGTTAGCGTCAGTCGCTGTTTTGGCCTCATTTGATCAAAAAATATCATCATTTTTAAAAGTCCAACACTGTGCACTCTCCATGTTTAATATCACCTTCTAGATATAATAAAACTGTAACTGAAAATATCCTGACAGAAGAAGAAAACTAGCTGTAAAAGTAACCAGATGGGGTGAGAAACAGTCGAGGTGCACCGAATGGGAAATTCTTCACTCAGTTTTTTTAGGCATCAGAGGAAAATCACCAGGATTGAACACCTTGTTCTAACACATCACTGTCATGTTGTCTCTGCGAAATCTCCCCTGAGTGCACGCCCTTTATGACAGCGAGCAGTGTCTTCTATTCTTGTGAGAAATGTGAGATTTTCAGAGGATCTTGGTAATCTCTACACTCCTTAGGGGGATTAGGGACGGTCGAAGACAGGTTTTATTATACTAGGAAGGAGGAAGGAGGGGCGGGGGGATTTAATCTGGAAGTCCGGATTTATTCAGAAACCTGTCGACTGGATTGAAGAATCTGTTTGACGAAACTGTTGATTTTGTCAAGAGAGGGAAAACATCAAGAAGAAAATCATGAAATAATGCTCTTCAGCTGAGTTAAACGTTGATGTATGTTGGATTTTTTTAAAGCAAGACTAGCACATCTGTGTGATCTGGCACTCTGCTCCTTATATTTTAATCCTTTTGTGATTCTCAGAGAGGTAATTTCGGGCTGTGAATCACTCACTCCCTCAAAGGCCGACAAGACAACACTCAAACGCAGAGCATTCACATATCACTGAAAATATATATCCTTTAGAAATGCCTGCGGTTTGTGTGGGTAAATGTGACCTTTGCGGAGTGCAGTCTACGATTCATCCTTTCCATATCTACATGGACCTAGAAGACGGGCTGACACCTCACAAAGCTGCAAAGATTAAGATGTCAAGCAAAGGTTAAGGCTAAGACGCTAAAGCTACTAAAGCCGCGCACGCCAGGTTGTTGTGTGCGTGGATGGCCTTGACGCCTCGCCCATCGTGGGTGTATTCAAAGCCTAAAGGAACTCTTGGAAAACGCGACCGCGTATATACATCGCACTTCCGTTTGAACCCTGAAACGCTCTGCTTAATTTGGTTTGTTTAAGCTGCAGTTTTTCTCACAGTCTGTCACCTACTTTTCAGCTCCACCACTTCTTCACACCCTCGCCTGCCCGAACGACTCGTCTTTTCTGGAAGCGTTCTTGGCTCTCTCGTCTCCACACCACCATCCCTGGGGCTTTTCCTTTATTGCCTAAAATAGCATCTCATATCTGCGACCGATGAAGATCACCGTGCAGCTCCGAGTCTCATCATTTCTCTCCTCTCTCAGTCTGCTCCTCAGTCTCAGTGTGATTTATGGAGCAGTGGAAGCTGCCGATACTCCCTACGACTGTTTTAAAGAGGAGCAGGGCGCCGTGACGGATCATTTAGAGCTGAAAGACAGTGTTGTGGTGTACTTTTTAATATGTGTATGTGCGACTGCTTGTTGGATAGTGATCTTACCAGGCACAGATGGGGACGGGGATCATCTTCCCTGTAATTGGCAGACAAAGATTGAATTAGTACGAGCTAGAGAGAGAGAGAGAGAGAGAATCAAATGAGTGGAAATGGATCCCGCTTGACCCCGTGGTCTGGATACTGATGAGATGAGTCCACCTCAGCTCATCTTGATAACGTCCCCCCCTGCTGTTACTGAGATTTGTGCTTTACTCCTTTAATATCCGACCACATTCCTCTTTTATATTCCATCATTTCGTGTCTAATTTCGCCTTTTGTCATTTGGAGTTGCGCCCCGCTGCTGCAGCTCTTCCCATTTCCTACGCCTGTGCGTCTGTGGTCACCGATTCACCCACTGTCAAGCTGGCCGAAGCTGGAAATTGAACCTCGCCAGCATTTAATCTTGTTTGCCAAATGTAGTGTTTTCAACAAAATCCTTTCTGGCCTAAAGGCCGAATTTCCTCCCTGTGGAGGACGCATTAACTACCGATGACATAGTCTTTTCAAGTCAACTTTGGTTAATTTCCTCTCCTTTAAAGCCTTTTACACATTTTTCTATCATATTTACGATTTATCACAAAAGAAGAAAAATACACTCATAATCTTAGGGGAAAAACATCCACAGTTAAAGCTCCTGTAAGGGACTTTGTTTTGTCAGATATGGCGCCCCCCTGTGGACAAAGCTTACGTTGTTTTCACAGTCAAATATACCTCTACTTTTGCATATCTTGTTGTAGAGGAATAAAAGAAAAGGTTCTTCTTCACTTTGCTTTAAAACATCTCGTCTCACCAACCCCTCACCCAAGTTATCCGCTCCTAAAATTACACTTCCTGTCACCGTGTGAACACAAAACAAAAGGGAGGACCCACCTGCAGAACTTAAAAAGATTTATCAAAGCAAATAATTCGACTCCAACAAAAACTCAAACGGAAAAACACAAGAAGCAAAAAATCAGGAGGGAAGACACAGAGGGAAGGCTACACTGGGTATAAACAGACAGGGTAACGAGTAACGAGAGGCAGGTGAGACACCAGAGCTGCGTCCGAATTGCCAAGTAGTAGTCGAAGTAGTAGTCGAAGTAGTATCTAGCATGTCCGAATTGGCCACCGGAGCGAGTAGCATGCTACTTCAGATACTACTTCAGATGCTAGACACGCCCACATTGTAGGTTGGTCTCGGTGCATCCTACGGGCATGCTACTGACCCAAAATGCACCGCGGGCTTCTTCTTCGTCCTCTTAAAAGTTGTAGAAGCGCATGTGATGCTAGCGCCACCAGCTGCTCTGCCTATTTAAAAGTGTCGCGAACGCCGGCTGGCCACAACAGCGCGCACCATGTCGGAGCAGCAGCAGCAGCAGGCAGGACCGCAGCAGTACAGATGTAAGTTTCATGTAACTTCACACACTGTCCTAAAAAATGTGCGGTTGTATCTCTTTGTCATGTCATGGTGTCATATTTGCCCAAGTAATCATTTTATGAGCAAGTGGCGACATCATGGAGGTAAAGCTCACTTATTCCATCATTAAACTGCACAGCTGCAGTACTACAGCCAGGCCCGCAGATGAGGGGCTTCAGTTACCACTGTCTGCACGGGCGCAGTACCTACTCTCTGCCTGCGGGGGTCGTCTTTCCCCACCGCTCGTCTAGTGTGTCCGAATTGGGCCAACGTTTTTAGTATGTAGGAGTAGGATCTAGCAGTAGTATGTAGCAGTAGCATGTAGTATCCGAGCGGGCAGTTCGGACGCAGCACAGGACACAGGTGGAGACAATCACTGAGGAGGGAAAACACAGGAAGTAAAACTAGACATGACAAACAGAGATCAACTATTACAAAATAAAACAGGAAGTCAAAGAAAACCAGACAGACAAAGGCGAGGAACTTCAAAATAAAACAGGAAAGACTAAAAACTGATTGAAACGGGTTCTAAGACAAACTGAAACAGGATCACAAACACGTCAGAAACACGAGGGAAAATACAAATAAATCACAAATCCAAGAAGAAATTTAATTCATGAGAACATATTCAGGCATTTTAAACATGTAAGAGTTATTGCTAATCATCTGGTTTGCTTATATAAGCCATAAAAAGCATCACTGTTCATTTTAGTCTGTTTCAGAACCAGTTAAAAACTCCTCATTGGAGCTTTATGCTGCGTTCCAGTTACCTCGGAAAGTCGGAGCAGGGAATGACGTTACACCCGAGTTGACGGCGTTCTGATTAACAAGTCAGAAAACCAAGATGGACGCCTACTGTAATCGGTTGTTAACTGTTGTTTACAATTGTCAGCATACCACTTACTTAATTTCATAAAAACAAAACAGAAGTGCGAATAAATAAAACATTACGAGACCTTTCACTGTTACTCTTTCCTGTTGATGCGCTGCGCTGCCATCTTGAATTATTATGTTGTCGTCAAGTCGGGGTTGGTGAGGATCGTCCGATTTTCTGAGTCGGAGATCTGACTGTTAGGGGGGGCGTTCCAGATGAATTTCCGACTTGGAGCTCAGAAATCCCGACTTCCGAGTACAACTGGAACGCAGCATTACTGCTCTAAGGATTAGCTTCCTGAAACTTTGATTTGAATTCGAAGCTCCTCTAATCTAAGGAGTTTTTTTTGTTTGTATTGATTACTCAACTCAACTCAACTCAACACAGCTTTATTTAAGCACTTTAAAACAATCACAGCTGAACAAAGTGCTGTACATAACTAGACAAAAAAAACGACATAAAAACAATCAAAAAACAATTAAAACAATCGATAAAATAAAAGCAGAATTAAAAAGTAAAATATAGTTTCAATGTTTTTAAAAACTAATTTAAAAACATAGAAACAAATAACTAAAAACAAACCATAAAACACTAAAACAGGAGCTGAGTCTCATGCAGGGTTAAAAGCCGATGAATAACTTGGATTCAAAGTGTTTTCTGATTAAAAAACTCATCCTGTTGCTTTTTACAGTCAAATCTTGAACAAATCATAAACACAGGGTTGTTTCTACCCCCTTACAAAGGTTTTAACCACTAAAAATTACGATAAAAAATTAGTCAAACTCTTCGCTGATGGTTTTGTTTACTTTCGGATATCATAAAAAGGAATTTATATTGATTTAAGTTTATTTAATAATAGTAAAAAACTCCTCAGGGGAGCTTTAATAAAATGCTTCTAACAATTGATGCTACTTTGTTTACCTTAGTTTGGTAATGTCCTGCTAGTGTTTTTGCTCCGACCTGAGCCGATCTGAAGTTTCCGACACCCTCTGGATGCAAATGTTATCGTCTACACAGCAGAATTATTCCTAGAAATACAGCACATGTAAAAGCTTTGATCACCAGTCATGGACATTTATTTAATTCAACATCATCAGGATTATAATTAAGGGGTATTTTTACCGCCTTTATTAAAGCCTGACTGTTTCTGTTCGGATGTAAATTTGTGAGACTCGGGCTCTGAAACTTTTGTCCAAACTCATCACAGCTGCGGGGCGTTTGAAGCACTTTCCCGGAGATAAAATTAAAACATTAAAAAAGAGACGGAGACGGCATGAGGGCAGAAAGTTATTCCCCTCGGCGACAGAGGCTGAGAGATCTCTTGTGGGCACAGAAACACCTCTAAAATGGATTTGATTCGACTGTGCGAGTTATCAACACCCCGACTTCAGTGTGAAATCGATGTGCAGTCCTGTGCTTGTTTTCCGGAGTCGCTTCTTCACCCAACTCGGAGGGAAGAAACGACTTTGAAAGCAATACCTCATCCTATCATGAGGTTGACCCGAGGCAGGAAGACGACCCTTCAGGAATAAACGCCGAAAATAAAAGTGGCGTGATGGTTTCACAACTTTAAATATCGGTGTGATTGTGGGTGATGTTTGAACTTAAGACCGGGCGGCTTCTTCGACAGCATAAGTAGCTCCCATCAAGGCTTTTATCACGGGATGACTGTGTCCTTGATGGTAGTGAGTGAATTAACAAGGCAGATATCGATCGCTGGCTGCGAGTTTCCTCTGTAGCTTTTTGATGGTGATTTAGAGAGTGAGCGAGAGACAATCAGAGAGGGAGAGACACACAGAGAGGCCGATCGATAGTGTTTGCAGGTTTGCTGTGTGGAGAAAGGTGACAGGCGGCGAGAAGGGCATGAACGAGGCGTGGGATTGATCCGTTGCAAGGCAGTTGATTTTGCTTTAAAACACACACACACACACAGATAGACACATGTACACACAAAGTGGTGTGTTGTCAGATTTTAGGGGTCGATCAAGAGTTGTGTATATTCGCTCAAATCTTTGTCAGGTTTCAGTTCGATCAAACAGGTTTCTGACGAGGACAAAAAAAAATGTTCCCACTTTGTTCGTCTTCAGACCTGATAGACTTGAAAGCCATTAAGCACATTAGCAAAGAACTCAGGCATCAGCATGGAACAAAGCTAAACGACGGGGATGATGTTGGAGGGAGATGGTTGGTGTTCAGAGGGTTGTTTTACCCTGTGAAAGCCAGAAGGACTAAAGACGAAGGAGAGGAAGAAAAAGGGAAAGATGGTCTCGGCAAGGACAAACGAACAGAAACACGAGATCTCAATCCTGGGAATAAAAGAAAAAAAGGTTTCCTGCACTGGGCGAACAATCCAGATCTCCCTTAAAGGTGGGGTAGGCAGGATTCTGTTAAAGAAGCATTTTTTTTAGTGATGTATAAACAAAAAAGCTTTTAATATCAATCAATAGATATCAGTCATTGATGACATTTGGTAATATAACGATATCGCTGTGTTCTCTCTTCTCTCGTTGTGAGGTGGACCCTGCTCCCTCATGCTGTGAGACACGCTCCACGTCCTTGAATAACATTCACGAGCCCAAACAAAGTTAGCGTGCTACAATATCGGACAGTAGAAACCAACCAGAAAGTACGGGAAAATGTCTGAATCCTCCTTTGGCCACGACTGCCAACACAAGCAAGAAAACGAAGTAAATACAGGAGACTCGGGCCAAATATTGGGCGCTTAAAAAGGAGGTAAACCGGACAAGAGCTAAAAAGCCGGGTCAACATCAGTGGACGCTTCGTGATCTTGCGTAACCTTTCTGCTGGACAGGTAAACCGCTTTGACAACAAAGTGTCTGTAACAGAAGTGTTTCTTGTCAAACGGGACCTGCTGTAGCGTGTTGTAGCTCCATCGCTAAACTGTCCTCCCTCGGGTCCTGGACTATGTCACTTTATCCTCGTTGTAGAAGTCCTGCAAACATTGTGTTTGCTGGTAGTCTGTTGGCATCTACAGTAGCACCAATGCTTTTTACTTTCACCTTGACTGGGCCCCATTTGTAATTATCAGAAGTATTTATCTGCATTATATCTGAATTTATTTGGAACGATACGAGCGAGCAGGAGCGTATGTTTGTGGGCGGGGCTTGATGGAGCAGAGAGGAGGAGCTGAGGGGAAAACTGGTTGGGAGGGGTAGAGTTTACATTCAAGATTTCTTCCAAAATACTGGCACTCCCTCAGATCCTGACGACCCCACCTTTAAAGAGTCTAGAAGTCACATCGATGTCTCCAAATCCAAAAAAATCCAAGCTTTCCTGTCTCTACAATAACCACATAAAATATTCACATTAATGTGTTTGACTGCTAAAGAACATTAGTTTTGCAAACATGACAAGATAAGTAGAGACTGCTTTGTCCACAGAAGGGCGCCGAGGTTGACAAAGAGTTCCTCACTGGGGTTTTTAATCTGCTTTCTAAAGAGGCGAATCTAAAGATTTTTATTGTGTTCAGCAATGTGCGGTTTTCATGCAGGTGTGTAGCCGAAATCATTCAAAATTGTTTTTGGACTTTCTGTGTAGTTTAAGAGGGGTTTTAAAAGGCGGAGGGAAACGCTAGTAGTCGAATTTGAACCTTAAATCTACCATGAGCACAATTTTTTGCTGTTTTGAGGTAATTATTTTGACTCACTCAAACCATCTTTAACCTTTGCCAAAAAGAAGATTAGGCAAATGATTTTAACCTCTATATATGTTGTAAAATAGTCAGAGTGACACTTGGTTCCTCAGCCGTTCACCTGACATGTAATCACCCCTGACCTTCATCATCTGACCCTGGCTCTGTCCCTGATACGAGTAAGAGGAGCGCTTTGACATTTGCTGCTCTTTGTCAATAGGTCACGATGAAAGCACAGACGCACAAAGGCGGGATAGCATGGACATTTATTGATCAGGCTGTCTCGTGGTTAGCTGTACGGATAGATGATAGGCACAGCAGGAGGAAAGAGACGGAGCTCTTCTCCAGGAAGTCGAGCAAAAACCGCTTTAGTGGGCGCTCGTGTGCGTCCATCCATCTCGATGGCAGGGTAATTCACTTAGCCTGCACTGTGAGCGGCCATTATCTGTGGGTGGTGTGCGTCTACGGGTGTGCTCCGCCATGATATCATCATGACACTCACTTAAGGATACATCACAGCTGGTTGATATCAGCCGTCTGACAATAATGGCCAAGTTGTGGACCTTTTAAGGCTGTTTGGCCGAGCACTCTCCGCTCATAACACAACTTCTCTCACAATTAATCAGATTGTTTCAGATAGATTGAAACCATCAGCCGCACCGAGGGCTCACATTGTGAATACTCCGGCTTTGATATGGTTGATATCGCTCATGTTGGAGTGGGCTCAGATGGTGATCAGCGGATTCAGGCACAAAAACAACCGAATTTGAAATAATATTACAACTGAACTGAGACCTTAAATGAGGATTTAGTATCAGATCGGGGCTCAGCTGTTCAGGATGCGCCAGATGTTTTCAGAGTGTGATGAGTCAAATGGACTCTTCTACTACCGAGCCATTTTTGAACTATTTTCAATCAAAACACAGAGTTCAAACTTTCCAACTCGTGTCAAAAATGGCGAAAACTCTGATGACGACTGCTGGACAGAGAGAGGAACTGCATGTTACGATAAATTGCCTTAAAAAGTTATCAAATTAGTGCGCTTTTGCAGTATGCAGAGGACATCTCGAACTTTTTAAAATTATATTAGCTCTGTTGGTTTACTTTTGCGATCAAGTTAACCCTAAGTGATAAATTTAGCATCAATTATCAAACGCCAAGGATTTAAGTCATATACTTGTTGTTTTATAATTAGGTAGTTCTTTCGTTTTTTTTTTTTTTTTTGAAGGGGAAGTCTATGTGAAGGAGGTTTTTGTTCATTTCAAGGGAAAAATCACTTATAAATGCAAATTTGATCACACGTTCGGAAAGTGAGATACTCTGGATGTGATGACTGTTTGACAAAACATGCAAGAAAAAAACCCCAACAAACACATACATCTCATCAGCCACGGCGGAGGTGTGAAGTCAATTGTGACAGCACGCAACCGCGGTTCATTTCTTCTTTGTGCTAATTTTGATCTGATGAAATGATTAAAAAAAGAAAGAAAAAAGTGCAAACAGTGTTAAAGTTTTACAGTGGAAATGAGGAACATTCAGAGAAGACTTTGGTTATTAAAGGAAAACATAAAAGTGAAGGAACATCCTCCCTCTGCCTTTCATTTGTTTTATTATACACTTGGTAACTTATTCAAATAAAAGAAGTGGAAAAAAAGCTAAATAAAGTATGCTACACTTCATTTTTAAAGCCTCTGTGAGGAGTTTTGAGGTGCTCATAAAACAGCCTGAAATTCTCTCTGTGGTTTAAAGAACCAAGAAAGACCATCAGCAACAAGATTGAGAGTTTTTTAAGCTTCTAACCACAAAACAAGTCACAGTCTACACCAAAGGAGACGGTTTTATATGATTCATTCGAAGTGTTCAAGACTCAAGAGTTCAAGTTTTGTCAAAACACATGGTAGGAGTGCAAAGATGAACCAGTCATAATAGTAAGAGGTACCAGTGGTGCCCCCACTGGCTAGAAATTCAACAATGACTTTGAATGTAAAGGTTTCAGTTCAAACAAGGGAAGATAACTTCAAAAACAGACAAGGTTCAAGACACGGCGTGACTATGACCATGACTTTGAAAGAGTGTTGGAACGAGGACAAGGAGTGCAAGGAACTAGTGACGACACTCGATACGTTTACATGACACTCGAAAAAAAACGAATTATCGCCTTACTCCAATTAAGACCGGACAACTGAAGTGCATGTAAACACCTTAGTCCGACTATAATCGGAGTTTGAGAACTCCGATTCAGACACCCAGATAGTGCGATTGGAATTCGATTTTCTCTACCGTGTAACCAGCGCAGTCGTAGTATGATGGACAGTGCATGTGCGTGTGAGCCACGCCCCCATAACTCCAGAACAAAAACACCAGAGAAGAGGAGTAGCGTGCGTCTCACCTGCAGAAAAAGTAGCGCGTCCATCACGTACGACAAAAACAACGCTGTACGATGCTCCAACTTCCCGCTCAAAAATGCCCAGCAGCAGTTGTAGACACTTCTGACGTCTGGCACGGACCTGCTGTTGTTGTTGACTGTTGTATGGGGTCGGAAACAGCGCCACTGAAAAGACCCATATCGCCCCCTAGTTTTGGGGAGGAGAACACGTTCACATCAATAATTCAATTTTCTTAGCTGCATGTATACGCGGACAAGGAGAGAAGTCCAATTCTGCGGAAAAAACAAAAACAAATTATGAGCTTAGTTGGATTAAGTTGTGCATGTAAACGCACTGAGTGAGGAACATGAGGTAAAATACAAGAGGTAACGAGGGTGATGGAAAACAGGTGGGGAGACACAATCAGGATGCAGGTGTGACAGGATGAGGGCGGGGCAGACCAGACCAGACAGGAACAACAAATCTAGAAAACAGAAACAATAGAGGGTTAGAGACCACAAAATAAAACAGTAAAGACATCATGAGTGTGCAAAAAACAAAGGAAACTTAACCAACATGAGGGTAAATCAAGACCAGGACAACAAAAAACACAGAAGCAGGGAAAGACAGAGACTGTACTCACACTGGGAAATGAGTAACGGGTGGGAAAGACAAGACGCAGGTGAGGCTATGACTCATTAAAAAAACTAATAAAGGAAAAACAATGGTAGACGATAAAATGAGTTAGTTGTATTTTATTTATTTATTTGTTTTTTGTTTTTTAGTAGAGTCAAAAAAAAATGTTCACACTTCTTTACGTTTCATTAATTTACACACGGTCCCTTAAAGAGAAAGACGCTGCATATAGAGCTGTTCAGGTCTTTGTGAGTGTACTGTAACAAGGGAGGCCTTAATACAACTTTAGATGTATTTTAATGGCTCGGCCCACCTGTGACACACACTCAAACACACACAGGAGTCCACAAAGGGATCCTATTTTGGGAGCCCATCCAGCTCATCACAGCCTTCTGGGCCAAAATCAGTCCACTGAGACTTTTTTCACAGGTGGAGGAATTCAAATTGATGTAAAAACCGGCGGGGTAACAGGTAGTTTTAGAAAAGAAGCATCAACAAGTCAAGGCGGTATATAGGGGAATAGAAATGGAGACATTTCCAGAGCAGCGAAATGTCCTTGAATGTGGGTTTTTATTTTGAGGTTGAATAAACGGTAAACTGCAGTCCTGTAGAACGAAGGAAATAAAATGTTCTGCTTTTCATCGCTGAATCTTTCCATGACACTGCAGGTCACGGTGATCTTGGCGGCCAAGACGAACGTTTTCAATCCTCCCTTTTATCTCCGTTTTGAAAAACTTTTTAGAAACCGGCTGCTGAAATTCTCCCAGCGCTGACTCCTTCAGTCACCTCCCTGTTCTGCCGGTCATCGCTGAGCTCAATAGATAAGAGCTGAAAGCCGAGTTTGCAAGTTGAAAGCTTTTTTTTCTTTCTTTTTCGTCTTCTTCTTGGTGCTGCTGGGTTACAGCAATATTTTCGAAGTGTCATTCGAGGCAGATCCAGAAACAGGAAGTGTGCTGAAATAAAAAATCTCATTACCAAAGGTAGACAGGAGCAAATCTTTGTAATAAAAACAAAAATAATTTCACATCTGTGGGATATTAAACACTGTACATGCTTCATTTGTGTTGCCGTCTCCGTCATTATTCTCTAACACCCTCAGACACACTTGATGATGGTTTTCATTTAAACCTTAATCACACTTCTCTATATTCTTCCAGCGCAGCAGTTTTTCTTCCGGCTCATATTTCTGTTTTATCAGCAGCAGGAAATGAGAAATTTGATGTAGCCCTAAGTTTCATCACCCTAACTGTGTTGGAAATGTATCATGGGGTGTTTTTTTCTTTTCACGACGCACTTTATCTCAGCCAGGCTCAACCGTCTGCGTTTATGAAACAACTTTGGAGTGAAATAAAAACAATTTAATTATAAACACAGAGAGACGTCGTCAAAACAGAGCCGAGGAAAAGTGTCGAGTAAACTCTCAGGGACAGTGACTCAGCATAATGCTAGCGAGCTAAAATTAAACAAAAGGGTGCAAATGAAAACAACGTAGCGTCTGACTCCATGGTTACAGGTGGCTAAATTGTTTAAAGCTCCTGTAAGGAACTTTTTGTTTGTGTTGACTTTGGCGCCCCCTCTGGACAGTGAAGGATGCTAATCCTGCCCTGCATCCTGTAGCCTGGCCGGGCCATCCTGTTGCGTGAATCACTTGATGTTCCTTCCCACAACAGTCTGGACTTCGGCCCATAGAGAGCGTGTATCCCCGATCAGAAAATAACCGGGCCAATCAGAGACCGTGTTTCCACTGTTACCCGGACAACAGGGAAAGGCAGCCCCTGATTGGTCCATGTGTAGTGGTGACGTCTAACACATGCTGCGGGACTTTTCAAAGCCCCGTTCATTCAGAACGCCGTTAATTCTGCAGTTGACCCTTCAAAGTCGGCAGGAATCGTTTATATACGCTGATATAAACGATTTCTCGGAGCCGTTCCGGACGCGGTGGAAATCCCGGCTTAGTTTCACTCAGTTAAGAACTGTAGCTTTAAAGTCGTTAGCGTAGCATGTCTTTGGACCCGCCCATCTTATGTCTCTCTTTATCTGTCTCCACAGGAACTTCTACTACATCACCATGCTACGGGACCCGGTGTCACGCTACCTCAGCGAGTGGAAACACGTGCAGCGGGGGGCCACCTGGAAAACCGCCCTCCACATGTGCGACGGCCGCCCGCCCACTCAGGACGAGCTCCCCGCCTGCTACAGCGGCGAAGACTGGACCGGCGTGTCCCTCGCCGACTTCATGAGCTGCCCGTCTAACCTCGCCAACAACCGGCAGGTGCGCATGCTCGCCGACCTCAGCTTGGTCGGCTGCTACAACATGTCGTCTGTTAGCGAGCTGGAGCGGGGCAGCATTCTGCTGGCTAGTGCCAAAGCCAACCTACGCAACATGGCGTTCTTCGGCTTGACGGAGTTCCAAAGAAAGACGCAGTATCTGTTCGAGCGGACGTTCGGCCTGCACTTCATCCGGGCCTTCACGCAGATTAACAGCACTCGAGCAGCCAGCGTAGGGATCAGCGAGAAAGTGCGGTGGCGCATCGAGGGCCTCAACGCCCTGGATGTGGAGCTGTACGAATACGCCAAGGAGCTGTTCCTGCGGCGCTACCAGTACAACCGTCAGAAGCAGCACCAGGAGGAGCGTCTGAGGAGGTGGCAGGAAAGGCAGGAGAGGCAGCACAGGCAGCGCATGCATAGGACCTATCTGGCCGCGCTGTGGAGACTAGGAGGAGGAGGAGGAGGGGGCGAGGAGGCGGAGGACGAGGAAGGGGCGAAGGTCCAAGAGGAGATAACCACGACAGAGGACTACAGCAGCCAGGTGGTGCGGTGGTGAGGAGCGCACGGGGACTAAAAAACACACAGGCGCTGACTGACGGCTGGTTGATTCATCGTGCTTTTCTCTCCTCCGTCCGTCCGTCTCCTGCTGTCTCTGTTGTGAATCTGCCAAAAAAGAAAACCTCCTGCCCTCTCAGCCTCATCGCGCTTTGTCGGACTGCCGAACGGTGTCTTAATATTTATGATGGATGTATTCGTCATGGCAACATAAAATATTTTGTATTTATGTTTCTTTCTTATTGCTATTTTTGGCACTGCAGTCGTGAATCGTATTTATTTATCCATTAGCGAGCGCTTTGAATGTTCTCAGAGCGACAAAAACGTTTCCCAAAATTTCGCTCATCATGAATAGAACTGAAAAATAAAAGCGAGGACGGGGGAGCGCTAGTCTGTTTTTAAAAATGGCGACAGACTCGAAGGATCCTCTGTGTCATGTTTGTGATCTAGCGCCGTGTTGATCAGTGAAATCTTGTAGTTACTCTGTGGTGTTTGGCTTCGTAAGAATATCAAAAAGCACAAACTTGGCAATAGTCTGCGGCGTGTTTTCTTATTCGGCTGCTGCAGAAACAGAAACAATCAAGGAAAATGTGTCGAATAAAAAGATGCAGCACCCAGTGATGTAAATGTGTCCTTGGTACGCATGTGTACTTGATCTGCCTTGCTCCCTTTTTTCACAGCATGTTCTCACCATAAAGATCTGAAATCTCCAAGCCCGTGTGCCAACTTCTTCCATACATCCACGCACATGCGACGCAGTGCGGAGCAGACACACTAACGCACACTGATGAGGCAGGATTTTTTTTTTTTTTCTTTTTTCTTTTTTTACCGCTCCCTTCCTCTCGAGGGGGGGGGGAAGAGCTGCGGGCCTGAAAGACAGCCTGTCAGAGCTGTTTTCAGCGCTCTTACATCACAAAAAGAGAGAACATTGGTATTTCCACCATTAGGGCATTGATCACAGGCTCTTCACTTTCAAATTGATCATTTAAAGTTCAATTGAGCATGACGCTGGCGCTGCAGAAAATGGAAGGAACCCGGAGGCTGGCTTTTCTCCCCCCTCCTCCTCCTCTTTATAACCTGACAAACATACAGTCCTCAGCTCCACTGACGTTCAATTTGCACTCCAGAAAGAAAAACAATCTATTTCAACACCTTTCCGCAGACAGCAGGCCTTTGAGATGTTCGGCGCAGGAGTGATTGCTTTATATTAATATCCTGTGGCTGTAATAAGCACTTTTCCGACCACTCGGCGCAGACGTTTTGTTCATGAAGAGGAAAATGAGGATGAGGAGGAGATCAGTGAGGAGGCAGAGAAGGAAATGGCTATGTCCACAGACCGAAATAGCCTCTCCATCCCTTCTCTGCATGTCTATTCGACTTGCGCGGCATGTAGCGGAGAAAGATAAGACTTACGTAGGCCTGTGATAATGAAACGGTGAACACATGCACCTGAAAAACCTGCTTTTAACTCTCTTTCTATCAGAGGAGTCTGGGCGTCTGTGATTTGACACAGCTTTGGAGAGTTTTAGGTTGTGATCTCAGGCAGAAACACACTTTACCCAAGATGAGGGAGTTTGCAGACAATAATGTAAAAGCCTCCTTTATCTACAGAGGATGTTGACAGGGAGGATTTGTTCTTGGGGGGTGAGATGAAGATAAACGAGCGTTTGCCAGGTCTTTGTTCTTGCAGATTTCGCCTTTGTAGAGAGACGTTTTTCCACATTCACGCTCTGTAATGTAGTAAACGCTCTCGTAGAAAGCGCTCAGATCTGATCCTTTGGTTTCCTTTGTTGACAGCTCTCTGTAGATCACCGAGCAGCATGGAGGCTTTTAAATTGAGGAATGTGCAGCCCGGCTTGTTAGCTCATGGGTGAGGTTAGCGCATCGGCACAGAGGACTCAGCCATCGCTCGGAAACAACCTGAGAGTCTTTCACAGATCAGTAGCTGCAGGAGGTGTTGTTGGGCTGTAAAATCATTTTATCACACCGGTGGGGAGACAAATGCAGCATCCAGGATGATTGAGACAGTCTGGTGTTTCTTCAGGAGCTCCGACAGAGGACAAACGAGGAACATGTGAGTTTTCAGTGAGTTGCTGTGTGCGATACACCGACTGGAAGACAAACAAGCAGAGAGCGGTTGATGTGGATTGAAGACAGACTCCGATGAAAATCATGTTTTTCTTGTTTTTTATACGTTCATATGACATTTTTCTGATGCTACAGGACAGATCAAGAGAAAACGAAATGAGAAATATCTTCTCTGAGTGTTTCTTCATTCAAATTGCTGAGAATCTTTGGCAGACCAAACCAGTGTTGCCAACTCCTCAGTAAGGAAAGTCGCTAGTGGCTGTCGTAAAAGTCACTAGATTACTTTAAAGATTAAATTACTAGAAGTCGCTAGATTACGTCATCGCCTAATTTGCATGATTTCTCCGTCAAACCCACTGTCACCACTGACCCCCCACCCCCGAGAGGAGGAGGAGGAGGAGAAGGATTCTACCACTGGGTGTTTAAAGGTCCTTACACACCGGGAACGTCGCAAATATACAACGCGAAATTTTGAAATATTCTGAGGCGAATTTGACGCGCCTGACTATACACACTTAAAGCGCAATGCGATTTTGCGAAAAGACGCGTCAAAAAGAATGACACAACAGCAGACTGAGTGTTTTTCAGTTCTGATTAGACTCTAGTGTTGAGATGTCTGTCTGTCATGATAGCATGTACTGAGTCGGGGCCAGTACCAGATAAGAACGTTAAACTATAATCCATAAACGTAAGGTAACAACAGAGACCTAATGGTGCTGTGACAGTGAAAATACATATGGTATGTTGTATCTGAACAGGTTAGCTTATGAGCTAAAGTTACTTAGCACAGATGAAAGTCAAAACAAAGACGTTTATCAAACTGTTAAAACACACAAACCATCGTCATATGAGAAATCCGACGTTATGACTCTCCACAAGTTGTCCTTCAGGTCCTTATCTTTGTAATGTTTGTGTTTTTCATCAAAAATCACTCTGTTCTCCGACACGTAAACAATCATCCGGTCGGCCATGTTGGATATACTGGTTAATCAGATGTCGCAACAACACGCAATCTGATTGGTCAGAAGTGGAGATACAGTATGCGAAACTTTAGAAAAATCAACCGGAAAAACGTCGTTGATGTGAACGTGTGTATTGACAGGATAAGGGTTAGAAAAAAAATATTGACGTCCGAAATAATCGCACGATAAAAACGGTCTTGGTGTGAAAGGACCTTTAGTGTCTGTGTTTTTGTTGCACACTGGCTACCCGTTGAGAAGAATAACATCTATTCCTGCGTTCTTGTTGGAGTCTCTAAACTCCAGAAAAAGTCGCTAAATTTGTCGCTAGGCGCTTTTTTGAAAATAAGTCACTAGGGGGGTCTGAAAAGTTGTTAAATCTAGAGACAAAGTCGTTAGGTTGGCAACACTGGACCAAACGGCAGGTTCAGAAATAGTGAAATGTCATACGTAACCAATCCAAGCTCCGCCCCTTGAGCCCCGGAATGCAGGCCAGACTATATATAGATATAGAGGAAAAATACAGAGGACAATCGCAGAACAAACGTGTGCATTAGCGGATTACAATGCTAGTAAGAAAGCTAATTATATGATATCATCTTTCATTGTGTCCCTAAAGACATGAGTCGAGAGCTGAATAGCTTCTATGTAACCTGCCGCTTCTACTACACAAGCAATGTTAGGCTACAAGCTAGCATAAAGACGAGTGTGCAGAGCAGCGCTGTCTCCGCCCACGACTCAAAGGTGAATTGCTAATGAGCTACTGGAGCTCTGCAGAGGAAAAATCCTTGAAAATGATAGGTAACGTGATTTTGGCTGAAAACTTCATACCCACAGTTTAAAAGACCACTGAGAACACTTAAAGTAATAAAAAAAACCATTGGAGTGGGACTTAACAGATATTTTTATGGCGAAAACTTAAAAAAGAGAGGATCGCTAAGTATGCAGTCTTAGGAGCTTCAAGGCCACTGTGGATTTACTAACAGGAGAAGTGAGCAAAGAGGTGTTTCAGTCTGGAAATAAACCAGTAGATTTCACAAAACACTCCAATTTCTACATAACATGTATTTATAAAAACAATCATTTTAAAATGGCGAACAACTGCTCGGATTATGTTAGCTCACGATTGGAAAACTGACGAGTCATGCTCGAAAAGAAATTCTATCTAACATTAGCGTGTAAGCTAGCCAGAGTTAGGGATTTCTGTTTTCACTTTTAGGGTTAAATTGAGTCTGGATTAAATTTGATCACGCTTATTTCCAATATGTGATTAAGAAGACTGAATAAAGCATGTTACTAATCCTTACTTTTCAGTATTGTGGCTAACTCCATCATAACTTTTATCAAACAAGACTTCAGATGGATCGCCATCTGCCTTGTTTCACTCTAATCAGCCTGATAGCTTTCTGAATAAACGGCAAATGTGGGTCTAATGATGGCAATTGACAGGAATCCATTTAACATCAGTTTTAATTGAAAACACGCATGTTCAAGTCGCACATAAAGACATGACAGTGGTGCTATTTTCTGCACCAGTTAAACCTTTACAAGCAAAAGAAAGTGGAAACTCCACAACCTGTGGCGTTTCAAAACTCGCTCCATACCTGTAGTTATTTTTGAGGATGCAACAAAGGACTTCATTTTGCTGATCGTAGGGAAAACTGCACTTAAATGAGTTCCAGTCAGAAAAGAACAGCAGGTGAGTACAAAAGTCAACCTTACACTCACAACACGAACCTTTAGAAATTCATGAATACACTTAAGGGGCTGGTATGTGTTTTTTTCCTGTCACGCCGTCTCAAGTGTATTTACAGAGTGATAACAGTGTGACTGTAAGAGACGTGAAAGGAAAGTCAGGTGTTGGGGGGGAGTGAGTCATCCAGCAGGTATGCCACTGTCTCTCTTGCTGATGATGGCCAAATGGACCAGTGACCTGGCTTTGGTAAGCCAGCATTCCCGGTAGAAGATGCTGAGGAAGGCCCGCCGAAATGTATCCCCGGATAACGTGTACAAAACCAGGTTGAAGAAAGTGTTGAGTCCAGCTAAAGGTCTAGAAATGATATATGCAGCGTGTACGACGTGCTCCACCATGCAAGTCACGTCCTCCGAATGTCGTGTTTTTATTCGTAACACTCTCAAGATGTGATACGGGAGGAAACACGCTACAAACACGACAAGGATCAGCACAGTGACGCGCCTAGCTCGCACCCGACAAGGACTGTTTGTGTGGGGCCCATTCGCCAGCTGTTTCACAATACCGATGTAACACATAAACACCACCACTAGGGGGAGCAGGAACCCAAGCGCAGTGAGCAGCCAGACGTACCAGCGTAAGTCAAAGGGTATGGTGCTAGCAAAATCCAAACAGACGGTCTTGTTGTCGCGCTCATCCAAGGATATCATCGTCAGCATGGGAGCAATTTCAGCAACGGCGACGATCCACACGACAGAGCAAGCGATTATCCCGCATAGTTTCCGCTGTACCTGCGCCGCCCTCAAAGGCTTGCTCACCACCACGTAACGGAAAATCGCGAGACAGGTCAAAAACAGGATGCTCCCGTACAAGTTGAAATGAAAACCAAAGCGCACGAAACGGCACATGAAGTCGCCGAGTGTCCAGGACTCCCCGTTGCTGTAGTAGTGGATCAGGAACGGCATGCTGAGGACGTAGAGGAGGTCGGTCAGCGCGAGGTTGACCATGATGATGCTGCTGCTCTTCCACGGACGGAGCTTCGTCATGTAAATGCTTATGGACGTGACGTTACCCACCAGGCCCACAATGAAGATGATTCCGTAGGCGACGGGAAGGTAGTAGCGCTTCATCAACTGGTCGATGTTGGTGCAGTTGTGATCCGCTGACGCCATCGCTGAGCCCTGTTGGGTGGATAAAATGTGAATGTTTGACATGTAAAAAAATGCATTCAGTGGACACAGGTCCTAATCCAAAACAATACGAACTAGAAAAGCACTCGGAGAGCGCAGACCTCCGCCAAGCAGCTCATGTCCCCCCTTATATTGTGATTCACAGCAAAACTTTTACTGTTACGTGTCTTTTATGAACTTTTATTTGTGTTTAAACTGGTATGTTCACTGTTCATAATGTTCCTAAAACAAGAAATGCCCTGACCCGGATTCAAACCCAGGATCTTCTGGTTGTGAGGCGACAGTGCTAATCACTACACCACTGTACCGCCTATCCACACCACTGTGCCGCCCATTGGTTATCTTTCAGCATTGAAAATTCCAACGACACCCTTATTTTTGTGTGTTCTGGATCACAGTATCCAGAATTTTGTCTGGATCACCACCAAAATTTAATGGGATCCTCCTGGGGCTGAGACGCACCTCTGGCGAAAATTTCAGGTCGATCTGTCTGTTACTTTCGCCGTAAAGTTGCTAACAGACAAACAAACAAACAAACCAACGCTACCGAAAACATAACCTCCTTGGCGGAGGTAATTAAGATCTGGATCTGGAGTGAAGGGAAGGTTTTGACTATGTCAGCTTTGACATTAAACAACACCCAAAATAACACGTTAACAGAATTCATTGGCGGGAGAAAAAACAGGCCACCTGCAAATCCTCCCTCTTCAGTTTTGATGTCAGTGTCATTGGCAATTACAGCTCGAGGACAGACAGGGAGGGTCGGGAGGAAAGAATCAAGCAAACTCAGATGAAAAAAGAAGCAAACAAAACTCTCCTCTCTCCTCGTCGTCAGTCAGCTTTCCGGAAGCCTCTCTCAGGATGTAACAGCGCCTATGGTATTCTGGCTTGACAACAGCTTCCTGTAACGCTGTCAGTGCAATCTGCTCTCGTTATGGATGTGAGGAGATGTGCGAGTTGTCATCCACACATGACTTTTGCGCTCACAAGGCAGGAAGTTGTCCTCATTAAAAGCGTTTTTCTTCCACAGAAAACACAAACTATGCGAACGTTCATCACAAAGGTTTAGTTTTAAGAGTTTCTACTTACCTTTTTTAACCGTGTCCTCCTCAGTGCTCCCTTTCCAGCTTCAATTTCATCTCTGCTCCTAAATCAGGTCCTCCCTCATTCCACCCAGAGGGGAAACTCCAGAGTTTTTCTGCGTTTCCTTCAGTCATGTGCGATCACTTCCTTGTGTCATGTTTGTGCTGGAGAGGTTCAAGGGTCGACGGATTTACCCGGAACACGTTTCAGGTGAATTTGTTGTCGAATTAAATCACTGAGTGCACCTTTTGTTCCGGGAAACAAACCAAAGAGGTCTTTGTTATTGTTTCGGGCGGACTTTTGATGATCTCAGAGTGACACGGCTAAATACGGCAGAGAGGCAGACCTTGGTTTAAGATTAAAGTGATGAGGAAGTGAGGAGGAATGTGGGACTCAAAAAAAAACAAGGTCAGTAGTGTCAGGACGAGTATTTTTTTCCCCTTACGCTGTGATTAGTCAAACAGTGAAGTGCTGTTCCCCAATTTAATAAAACTCCAGATAAAGACGCTTAAAGATCTCGGTTTACCTGCTTAAATATGCGTCTCTTCTCCCTCGGCGGCTCTCAAAAGTTCAGTTTCTGTAATGTCACTTTTCAAGAAAAGCGCAGTGAAAAGAAGCAGAGGCTTACAAATGTTTATTATACAAAAGAAAAGCAAGAAACTATGTTAACAGAGCTTCACAGATCAATCCAAATAGTGGCGTCTTTTTTTTTCAATACTATAGGGATGGTGCAGTCTTTGAAGAGACAGCAGAGCCGAGTGTTTATAGTACAGATAGAAATCGTCTGAGTGCAGAGAAAAATTAATGTCAAAGATCAACTCGACACACAGAAATCCGAGTGCAGAGGATGAGACGCCTCGGAGGCAGCTCGCCGGGGAGAAGAGGAGGAGAAGGGAGGGGAGGGAGTCAGGAGGTCTCGTTAGGAGGGTGTGAGAAAGAAAGAAAGACAGAAAGTTGTTTGTCTACAGTTTGGGCATTCTGGCTGCGTTCAGATGCATGGACACGCAGGAGGAGCCGGCAGCGTAACGCATCTCCCTCAGCATGCCGCTCCACTGCTTCTTATCGTCTTCATACCTAACGAGACATAAGAGAAGGTCAGGCCTCAAAACAAACAGCCCGTTGACTACAAAGACCTGCTGGTTCTGGTCCCGTAATGCGAGAAAACTTACTGCCAGACGTCAGTGACCTCTGTGGGAGCCACCTCTTTGTTCTCCGTCTGAACCATGGCGAAGCCGCCCACGGCGTACAGGGAGCCGCCGCTGCTCAGTAAGTTGACGGAGCTCCTCTCCTGAGGGAACTCTGTGAAGGGCTCCCACCTGAGGAGGAGCAGCATTAGGAGAAGGTCAGGTGGAAGACGGAGATCTCAATTTGGAGGACTTTTGCACCTCACATCACACACTTTTGATCAGTATTCAAAAAAAGAAAAGTTTAAGAGTCGTACTTGTTCGTTGTGAAGTCGTACGCCTCGCACGCGTTACTGAGGCCCTCCTCGTTGACTCCGCCGGCCACGATGATCTTGTTGTTGTGGATCACCGCTCCAAACATGGCTCTGGGAGTCTTCATGGCCGCCAGCTCCCTCCACTCTGACTGCTTGTGGTTGTAGGCAAACATCTTATTGAGAGCTTTACTGCGGACACAAAAACAGTCAAATCTTCACATTAGGAACGCTGCATCGTGGTTTTATGATGTCTATTAAAAGCACTTCCTTTAACTAGAAACATGCTGATAAATGGATATCAGAAGAGTTGGTAACACTTGACAATAACCATAACTTTATGACACTTTTATAACACTATTTATGTATCCATTTTATTTATTTCTTCTTCCAGTACCTGATCTTCAGGTACCTGATGAACATTGTATGTTACTGTGTTTGTTACATGACGACCAAAATAAAAAAATCCCTTGAACTTATAAATGGTGAGCACATAGTTTATTAATGTTTAATCATCATTTATAAGTAGCATACAGACCATTAATGAAAAACCTAACCCTAACTTTACAATAACTATCTAGGTAATGTTTATAGATGGTTTATAAATCACTTATTAAACATTTACAAAGTGTTACAAACATCAGTTGCAACTTTATAATTACCATCTAAGTAATGTTTATAGATGGTTTAAAAACCGAATAGTAATCATTTATAAAGTGCTACTGATACACATTTGAATCTAGATGTTTTACAACCAATATTTAAACCCTATATAAACTTTTAATAAATAGTCCATTAATAATTAATGAAAATTATTAATCATAATTTTATTGCTTGTTTACGAAGTTTAGTTTATTTTGATCTGGTCATATCCATTCAATATATACAGTAGATTACAAGAAAAGAAAACCCGACCGAAAAGGCATAGGCTGAAGCAAGAGCTTATTATCGCCTATCCTTCTTACTAAATCAAAATATTCAAAACATCTTATTCCAATGGTTAGATAGAAAACAAAACAAAACACAACAACAAAACCAAAAAAAAAAAAAGACTCAGAAAAAAAAAATAATAATAAGCAAATTAATGGTAAATGGTTAATGGTAAAGCAACGATTAACTTACATTAATAAACTGTTTGCCATTTATAATTGGTCTATATGCTGTTTAAAAATGATGATTTAACGTTAATAAAATATCTATTTACCATTTATAAACTCTGGTTATTGTAAAGTGCTACTGAAGTGTTTCGTCCTTAAACTGGCGCCACATCTCATGATCATTTTCAGCTAATTTTACAAACGGACTGGTGTTGCGTTTCAGCGTGACGCCAACATCAGAGCAGTAATGAGATCTATTTTTTTTAAGGACAACAGCATCCCATTAACAATCAGCAGGAAAACAGATAGACGGAGAAAACATCCAGCTAAAAGTGAATAACCACAGGAGGGGTCATGTCGAGGTGGACGATCAGTGGATGAGTGCATTTCTTTACACGTGTCATGGGTTGTGATTTAACAGCAGTCCTGAAGTCACTGCGTTATGATCTTATCGTTTTCTCAGGCAATTTATGTTTCTGTGTTTTAATGTGTCTTATTAGGAGTCCTTTATTTTGTTGCAGTGTATCTAATATTAAATAATATCGTCTTTATCGTCGACAGAAGACGATCCAAGTCATCAGGGTTGCCTTCAAGGGGAAACTTAGAGATTTGTGCTTATCGTATCGTTTGGTATCATGTTGTACTATATCGTATTAGACTGGATCAGACCGTATCGTATTGTGTTGAATCGTATTGTATCATATCACACCCAGCATTGTGTTGTCTTGTATCTTATCGTACTATATCGTGTCTTACCGTGTCTCATACCATATCCCACTGCTTCTTAGCGTATTATAAATATTGATCCAATTGTGTTGTAGCATGTCAAATTATATCTGGTAGCATCATATCACTTCATAAGACATGTCCTCTTTTTTGAGGGGCTATCCGGCCTTGTCCGGGGGAGTTTATAAAAATCTTCAAATGTCTGAGTTTGTGTGGCGTGGACTTACTGAGTTAAAAGCAGGTAAAAAACACTCAGAAAACCGAAAGAAAAATTTACTATGCGCGACTCTGTGACTCCGCCCTTGCATAATCGTGTCCTCTTTTTTGGGGATTCAGAATACGGTCACTCGAGTATTACCCTAAACTATATATATGAAGCCACTCTGAGAACAGCACCCCCTGGTGATGGGCTGCAGTATAGGTCATAAATCCCGTCCCCTCCAGCAATCCCTATGGGGCTGTGGACAAACTTTAGAAATTTATTACACAGAGTATAAATGTTTCTCCCCCCTACTTTCGATGTTGACATGTAGTTGCCGTAAGACTGGTTGGTGCTCAAGTCCTCTTTTTTCTGTACAGCTCCATTTTTAAAATGTTCATGTTTCCTATGATTGACACCTGATACAACCTATGGGTGTACGAAGATTGCGAAGCTCACCCGGGGGATACGCTGTTTGAGCCGAGCGTCATCACAGCGACTCTTGATGACTCTCCTGCCGAATGTGTACAACGCTACTGCGCAATGTTGGTTTCAGGAAATGGAGGAAAAACGCAGAAATATCGAGAGCTTTTCGGCTTCAAATCCGTAAACTGGCAGAAGGCGGAACCAAGTCGTCCGTAGTAAATACAGTCTATGATTGTTACGTATGTCATTATATTGTAGATTTTATCCCACAACCTCTAAGCTTATTAAAAAATAGTGAATGAATTGTGTTGTTGCATGTCAAATTATATATCTGGTAGCATCATGTCACTCCTATTAAATTACCCCTTTGCTGCATATTGGGTTTTATATTATGTTGTATTTTAACTTTATGCCAATTCTCAATCCATCCCAGATTAGGGCCTTTCATATATTACTGTATCATATCATATCTACCACCTGTATGTAATTAGCGTTTCAGGTTGCGTTGTGTTCATTTGATCCTTTTTTTCCACTCTTTATCTACACTTCTGTCTTTTCGAGATCCTTTAAAAACCCATTAAATCCTCTCCTTAAATTACACACATGTAATTATTTTCGATCTCCCCTTAAAGAAGACTCACTCTGAAGACTCTCGCACCTTTTTTTTCCCCCATTTTCTCAGTTTTTCAGACAGAGCCCTGACTGAAACCGAGTGCAGGAGAAGCTCACCTGTTTCCGCTCTGTGATTGATGTTTGTCTGACAGCTGAAAACACAACCCTGATTGATCCTCCTATTATTAGGTGCTGTATTAAAACCCTGCAGTTTGAGGATGTCTGCAGAAGCAGTTAAGGGCGCAGCATGCGGTCAGTGGTTTGTTTTTGTTCCTGTTAGTGTGAAATGCGGCAGCAAGAGAAGCGCAAATCAGATTACTCTCCATTATCATAACACATTAGCTCTGGACTGTAGCAGTGTAATTGTTGTCCATGACATACTGTGCAGCCCTGCAGACTGACAGAATGATAGACCGTGAGCAGCTGCAGCTCACAGCGTAGTCTCACACACACACACGCACACACACTCTCATTTACTCACTTGTCATCTGTCTTTCCTCCAATGCAGTACACCAGTCCTTTGTGGGAGACGACGGCGTGGCCGTGGATCTTCAGAGGAAGCTTCTTGGTCTCACTCCACTTCATTTTCCTGTAGAATCACCGCCACAGGATTAAATTTAAAGGCATTTGTTTTTATAATTATGTCTCACAGTTGCAGGTGTGATTTCCCACGTGGAAGAGCCGACTGTTTGATTTAAATTACATGTTTAAAAATAAAGCTCCCACATAATGCAGAGCTAACAGGGGTAAGGCAATAATTAATTACATTTAAACACTTAAAAAAGCAATTTCCCCTGTTTTCTGAAGTTAATTATCACCTGAAAAGAGTCAAAAGGTGAGAGAGAGGGTGAGAAAGAAGATAAGATAAGAGGGAGAGGTGGGGGGAAAGGCAAACAGGGGAGTAATATCACTAACTCGACATCGTAGCACATCACGCTGTCAAGAGACTCGTTGGTCTGTAGGTCTTTCCCCGCCACGGCAAACAGCAGGTTCTCGCTCTCGCCGATGTTGAAGAGGCATCTCGGGGAAGGCATGGGCGGCATGGCAACCCATTCTGAGGTGAGCGGGTCCAGCTGTGACAGAAGAAACAACCATTTAGCACCTTGACCAACCCTCCTTGCTACCACGTTATGAAAGTTACTCATATTGAGTTTGATGGACGTATTTACCAAGTAGACGTAACACTGCAGAGGCACGTCTTTGTTGTCCTCGTCCACAAACAGACCCCCGATGATGAAGAGCTGGTTCTTCTTGGACACCAGGCTGACATGGTTACGCGGTACTTGTTCCGCCATGGCCGCCAGGAAGCACTCGTTTTCATTGACATCATACGCCACTGCCGCCGTATCGTTGATCATCATGATGAAATCCCGCCCGTACATGCCGTGTCTGCGGCTGTCGTTCAGAAATCCAGGGAACAGGCTCTCCTCTTCATCTCCCTCCTCCCCTTCCTTCTTCTGGGGTTTCTCTGGAAGTTTCCCCTTAAAAGCGTCCCTGATGACTTGGAGCGTCTTCTGGAGCTCGGGGTCGGCCTTAATGATCTCATCGGTCTCCACTTTCTCTTTGAAGTACTTCTCTGGCAGCAGGCGGAAGCGGACGCAGTTGAAAGCATCCTTCAGGAGCTTGACGCGCTCCTTGTCGTGACGGGCCCAGGCCATGACCGTCTCGAACACCAGCTCCTCCTTCGCCACGTTCAGCGAGTCTCCTCCGATGATTGCGAACAGTTCGTGAGCCGCGAGCTTCAGGAACTCATCGTCCTTATAGAGGAGTTCAAAGCGGTCGGCGATGTAGTTGCGTGCAGCGATAGCGAGTCTGGGACAGCTGAGAACCAGACCCATCCTGAAAATGGCCATACAGTTGTTCAGGGACAGCTTCTTCTGAAGGTAGTTGACACAGACCGTGAAGACAGATGGGATCTGGAATCTGTTGGCCACAGCGATAATATCCTGTACATTGTCATCGTTGAGGTCGATCTCCGCTGAATAGAGGTACTGGATGATCATATCCAGGACTGTGGGGTTGACATCATCCAGAACCACCTCCTTGGTGTTTTCCACCTCCTTCCCATCCTCTGTGAAGAACAGTTCCCTGAAGTAAGGGCTGCAGGCGGCCATGATGAGCCGATGGCAGGGGAAGCTGCGGTCACCCACCTTTATGGTGCAGTCCACGAACTTGTTCTCATTCAGCAGCTCCTTCAGCCCATCCTGGAGCAGGGTGCTCTGAAACAGGCGCAGCTCCTCCTTGATGGCGTTGGGGTCCATGGCTTCTCCGGAGGGGGATACAAATGGTCAACAAGGGGGTTCGTGAAAAGAGGAAGGAGTCGGCGGCCACGGGTCCTTTTGGCAGCGGGTCCTGGCTGGAAAAGACAGGGCAAAGGCAGGGCTGCCACTGTGAAGACCCTGCAATGTAATCCCACCCACCCTCTAAATTTAGCTCCCTCTTCCCCCCTCTGCCTACTGCAGCGCTGGTGGAATCCAACTGAGCCGAATCACAGCGCAGGCCTCGGCTCATGCAGCTGCTGTCACAGACTGAAAGAAGCAACTGGTTGCTCAAGCTGGGGGAACTGCCACCATGATTCAGCTCCCAAAGTGTCATGTGGACCGGCTGGGAGAGGAGACAATGCTGTCAAGACCCAGGAATAGCTCGCCTGGAGATGCACCTATGACTGGGAGGATATTTAGGGCAAACACACTCACGTTCCAGCATAGATTATTCTAGAAGTTAAATAAATCATAGTCTAAAACACAGGAACATGCTTGCTCTTCACATTTAAGATTACAAGATTGAATTTTTACCTAAAAGTGGTGTTGGAGAAAGAAAACGTACCGCTGTCACTGTATAGCAGGATCACTTTTTCTATAAGAGGTGACATGATTAGAAATTTTGGTAATGCTTTCTTTTACGGTAAACTTATTACCAGGTAATTAACAAGTAATTACCTAGTAACAACATGAAATTATCTGGTAATTACATGATAACTACTAAGTCAATACGCTCTAGCTACCAGGTAGGTAACCTTCCATCATACTACAAATTTGAAGCCAAATTGCTCTGGTATTTCCAGGATTTTCTCCGCTTCCTGGAACTACCACTTGTGCAGTAGCGGGTGAGTCGCTGTGATAACGCTCGGCTCAAACAGCGAATCACCACGCAATCTTCGCACACCCATAGGCTGTAACAAGTGTCAGATGTGCAGCCGACAAATCTGCGGCAACTGTGTGATGCCATCATGTCAATATGGACCAAGCTCTCTGAGGAATGCTTCCAGCACCTTGTTGAATCTATGCCACGAAGAATTGAGGCAGTTCTGAAGGCAAAAGGGGGTCCAACTAGCATGGTGTACCTAATAAAGTGGCCGGTGAGTGTATATCCGCGTACAAAAGAGACCTGGGTCGGATTAGAACAAATCTGAATTGCACTGTTCACACTTACATGAAAAAATCAGGTATGTGTCACATATGGTTAAAAAATCGGAATTGACCTGCAGTGTGAACATAGCCTTAGTCTGATTAACTGTAGATATAAAAAACAAAAAAACCCACAAATGTTAGAAATTAAAGGATTTCTTTAATATCCTGTCTGATATTTTAAAATCTGTGTTTATTTTCATTTTAGATAGAAAAATCGACTCACCACTGTGCTCGAAGTGAAGCAGAAAACTCAAGATGTGGCAGCTGTGAGTGGAAACAGGTGAGGGAGTCACGTCCACCAATCAGTGAGCCTCTCCTGTGTCCCTGTGGGGTTCATTATTGTCCCGCTGCTTGTGTGTGTGTCTGTTTAACTCATTTGCGAACGCTTAAACGGACCTGCTCACAGCCGCAGATTTAAGAACGAGACGCTTAAAACTCGCGGCTCACTAATGATGCGTCTCTGCTCAGACTTAAATCTGCGGCCTGGTGAAGTGCGAGGAGTGTGTAGAGTTAGGTAACATCTCTCCAGTGGGCAGCACTAAAGATAGATCAGACTACGCCACTTGTCGAGAGGAGCGTCTAACATGTAATTTAAGCAGGAGGGGCGAGGAGATCCTGCAGTGGAAATCCCTGCCACCTTTAGAGGAAAATTAACGTAGAAGTTTACAGACATCCTCTTTTAAAGGTGTCGTCCTTTTCTGTGGAGAATCAGAACTTCTCTCTTCGGCTTTCCTTTCAACAAAGAAAAAAAACATCAAACCTTTAATTTTCACAATTTTTGAGAAAATAAATCTTTTGCACATGTTGTAAAAGTTCATAACCGTTTTTATTTCAAATGTTTTGCAGTGTTACCAACAGTAGAGTATAGTTGAAACAGTCCTGGTGCGACAATAGAAGTCTCACTGACATCGATGTGTCACCCAGCAGAGGGCAGTGTGTGTATGTGTGTGTCCGTCCATCAGCGCTTGAACAAATGGAGACACTTAGTGGTGATAATAAACAATGTAAACACAGAAGAACATCACATTTCCATGAAGAGGAACAAACATATTTTTAAAAAAAAGCACACAATAGATCAATGATGTTACAGAGCATCGGTCATTTAACATAAAAACACAAACTGTTATAATGTTTGATCGGTATAAGTGATGAGAGGCTTCATTTCAGCCGAGTGATCGCGCCGATACACCCTGAAGTGAAGAAATGAAGAGCTACACTGTGTCTTTACCGCGTATTGATTGATTCAGCGGCTTTGTGAGTGTGACGTTGACGAGGCGCGAGAGTTATTGGTGGACATGTGGAGGAAGTAATTTTTCTTTTTTCACAATCTGTGCAGCACTCGCTGTGACCGTGCATGCAAAGAGGGGTCCCGGAGGTGCTGGGAGTCCCCCCCTGAGAGCTTCACGCACACAGTGAGAATATAGATAAGTATTCCTGAGTATAAGTGATGGAGGGTTTCCTGTGTTAGACAACAATGATGGAGGCGTGGATTTAAACTGTAAATGAAGGATTATTTTTCCGTAAGTGCTACAGGAGGAGACCGACTGAGTGTCGCTGCGATAAAGAACATCAGTGTTAGTGTTTATGCCTGAGAATTATGCAGAAATTTGACATAACCCTGCGATAAAATTGGCCGGTATTAGCTGCCCCTCCTTGATATATCTACAGCAGATGTACGGCAGATGCTTTCTCTCAGCCCCCTGGATAAAAAAAAAGAGAAAAACAAGACCGAGTCAATACGTGAAATCATTTGGGACCAGTCAAACCGTCATGGTCCTTTTTTTCTAACAGAAGATGTGGAACGTGTGTCTTAAAGGTCCCCTATTATGAAAAATCCACTTTTAGGTGGTTTTCGACCAATAATATGCCTCCCCTCGAAGCTGACAATCCCTCCCCTGGACATGAAAAATTTATTTCTGTCCGTCTCTTGCTTTGAAAACATGAGCAAACGGGCAAATGGAAAAAGCTGTGCGGTTATGACGATATAACCGCACGAGCTCCCTCCTATCCTATCATTCCATTCGTCTTTTTGCATGAAGTGGGGGACCTAGTGGACGGACGTCAAACAGCGTTAGTCACGAGAGATAACTATATCATTCCACTTTCCAAAATATCGAGTATTCACCAAAAGAGCTCCAAATAATGGCGAGACAGCTGAGACGTAGCCGTCAGATAAGCTAATAAACACTTATTTGTAAAATGGATATAGGCGTCAGAGGGGTCAGACTTTGGGTCAAATTGGTGGAGCTGAACCGCAGCGCTTGTATGAGCCATCACACTGCACAGGCTGTAAACATTAGCGCACAGGTGTCAAACTCAAGGCCCCGGGGCTGAATCTGGCCCACGAAATCATATCATGTTTGTATTATTATTGGCCCACCAGTATGAAGTCTGCAGATTTCCTCCAGGATGATAATGTAAACTTTAGCACCATTATTTAAAATATCCTTAATAAACCATGAAAATCTGGGAAAGTAAAGACTAAGGAAGATTTGATAAATAGTCGAGAATGTGTTTTATCCATGTTTCCAATTTTGCATCTCAAGATTACAAGTCAAACATGATTTGAACTCAGTATTTAGATTTATGTCATTTTAATCCTTTAGATTCCGATTTTAAGTCGTATTTTGACTTTAAACTCTCGATTTCAAAATGATCTCATATTTTGACATTTCAAACGTATGATTTCAACGTTCTCCTCATGTATTTGCTATTATATTTTTCTATTTTTAATAGAGTGTTCTGATCAGTTGAACTAATCAATTTGATTTTTTTTTATCTCAGATTGCCTTTAAATGTATCTTTTTTACTTTTTGAATTGAAGTTTATAATCATCGCTGATTTTGTGATATATTTTGAAAAGGAGGCTGACAGTTTGGGTTAAACGTTAAACTCAGTTTAGACTTAAATCCAGATTATGACCCTTGCTGTGGTTGAGTTTGACACCCCTGCATGAGCGCATGGTATCGGAGCAAAGCCGCAGCCCCTTCCAGAGAGGGGCGTGGTTACACACAGCTCATTATCATTTAAAGGTACAGGCGCAGAATCAGCCCGTTCTCAGTGGAGCTCAAAAAGAGGAGGGGTACAGGCTGATATCCACAAATAAACAGGTGTTTCAGACAACAACTTTTTAACTTGATGAACAATGCCATAATAGGGGACCTTTAAAAATGAGCACATTTTTCACCAACTGTATTGCTAATGTAAATATACTAATTGCGCATATACGTTTTTGCACATATTTGTTTTTACCTGTGGATCTGGGGATCACACACGTCCTCTTGCACTCCTCCTCGGTGTCGAACCTGTTCCTGTTGCCGTTGCAGCCTCCGTACCAGAACTGGGCGCAGGCGTTGGCCTGCTTGTCGTAGTACCAGTTGATCTTGTATTCCCGACATGTTCCCTGGTCCAGGACCAAGGCACAGCGAGGATCTAAGGGTACTGTTTCTGCAGAAAAATAAAAGTCTTATGATGGAAAAATAAGGTCAGATCAGCAAAACGATTCACCTTCTCTCTTCCTCTCATGACCTGGCCACCTAATCCCACCTCAAAGCTAACACCTCCTGAAGCAACATCTGTTTCTTCTCCCTGCAGATTCTATGAAATCGTCCCCACTGCATCAAAAATAATTGGCCTCCCTGCTCTTCACCTGCATGACCTCATTATCCGGCTTGTCAATCACAGGGCACTTATCATAACCCTGCAGGGAGGCCACCGCTGCTTCGAACTTCTCCGCTGTGGTGGCTGCAGAGGGAGGAAATGTTTTTACGCTTCTTCTTTTTATATAAAGGTTATGTTCAAGGATAGATGAGTCTCCTTAAACACATGTTGTCTAAACACACTGACTGGAGCTTTATGTGTTGAGACTCTGATTGGTTTTAGGCTGCGATATAGGGGCTAATCTTTTTTTCCTTTTTACATGTTGAACGCTAGATTTAGCGGAAGACTAGTAGGTAATCAAATATGAAATCTTTTAGCTGACATCCAAAGATCTCCAGTCTGGGTTCAGAAAAAACAACATTACAGTCACTAATGTGGTTTAAAAAAAAACAAAAAAAATAGAGGTCAATGTGTTAAAACTGAGGGTTTGAATTCTAGTTCTTTGAAAATGCCAAATGGTGTTCCACAAGGCTCTATTCTGGGTCCTTTTTTAATTATCATTTACATCAATTACTCATGTAATAATTATGTGAATGCAAAGTTTTATTTATATGCTGAAGATTTGATAATATGCACTTTGTTGTTTTCCCTTCTGAGTGCAATCCATGACTTACAAGCTGCTTTTAATGCTGTCCACGTAAATCTTTTTGAATTAAGACTAAAAATAAATGCCAGTAAGACTGAAATGATGTCCTTCTTACCCGGGATTTCCACCGCATCCAGAGCCGCTCTGATCCGGAGCGGCAGCGGTTTTGGCTGTATGCCAATTCCGACCGGATCAGTTTGTGAGACGAATTTCATGGCGTATTACTGACAGCAGTAATCGTAAGAACTCACAAGAACCCGCAGATTCACGTGCAATCGCGCGATAACGAGTTATCTCTTCGCCACAGAGGCTAAACATATAAGAAGTAGATTGTGTCCTTCCAGAGGAGGAAATCTACTTCTACACTTCTAGAATCAGCATCTCCTCATCCATGGTGTCATCGGGGTGAAATGCTGTCTGTAAACCTTTTCACTTGTTCGTCTCACTTGTTCGTTGAAATATGATCCGCCTGAAACACAGAGTGTTTTATTTTGAAAAGAAGCCGGATGTTTTATTTTGTGTCTGTGCCCGACTCCCTTTCCACGGACTAATCTGTGCTGAATTTATCCGGCATGCTCCGGCGTCTGTTAAAAATAGAACTCTCACGATCAGCTGCGGAGTCTGGCGATCCGCAGCGGAACGGACACATTAACTTGAATGGTTACGATCAGCTACGATCGACGGATACAGCCTTTTCGTAGCTGTTCTGGATGCAGTGGATATTGGGGGTTAAGGTCAAAAGGACAGTGATGGTCAGATTTTTAGAGGTGACTGAATGTGTCTTAACTTACAAGTACCCAGGTTTTATCCTGGAAGAAATTCCTTCTTTCAATCTAAACAACTAAAGGAGAAACTGAGCTCCTTAAACACTAACAGAAGTTGTTTTTCTTTTGTAAAACTTTTACAGCTGATCCACAGACTTTGTGTTTCAGAGGGAATATTCATAACAAAATAAAAAATGTAAAAATGGACAAGACAATGAAAAAATAAAGCAACTATTGTTTTAGTTCACTGTACAGACACATGTTCAGAAATTCTCCTCTGAGGAGGACTTTGGTCCGACAAATGTTGCGTGGTCAGGAACATTTAGTCGCAAACAAAGAGGCCTAGGAAATCAGCCTTTGAAAAAAAAACATGTTTATGTGGATGAAGCTTTGTTTTAAGGCTGAAAAGTTGGTTGACTAAAAGCTTTGTTTTGATGGTAACACCTGCCAGCCTGTTGCACCAAATGAGAGAAGGAAGCGAGGACAAAGGCTGGCCCGTAAATTGTGAAATGTGAGACAGCTCTGGAAGCCATTCGAGGACAAACTGATGAGTCAGCATGAACCCCAACACCTGTTACAAACATGATTGACCCTTTGCAGAGTTTTCCCGGTTTAAAGTTATGAGAGTGAAAGTCTAAGTGTGAACAAAAATGCCCAATTTAGTATTAAAAAAACGTAATTTACTTTGAAGTCTTTGCAGTGTCGTTCTATATGACAACAGCTGCACAACAGACGAATTCCAGTGTCTATTTTTAGTCTGAGTGTTTGTTTCATAGAAACCGCGCTCCAAGTCTTATTTTGTGAAAGCAGCTGCTCACTGCTGTGAGAACGTTCACAGGTTTTGTTAAACAGCCTGAATATAATAAATTCCTCATGAAACGCCGCTGAATCACTTTCTTCTCTTATAAAATGTAAATGAACTTAATTTGTTTCACATTTCGTTGAGCAACTTCATCACTAACTGCCAAGGGGGAGAAAATAATGCAACTACCGGAGCGGAATGTAATGTTTATTTAGTCAAGCAACTCTATTTACGCTTTTAATTACCATTAACGTACATTTCATTCATCTATTTAACACATGCATTAAATTTTAGTACAGTCAGCAGTAAAAACCTCGTCTCTTTGTGGTGTCTGTTGGTGCTGAAGTGGTTTCCTGCAGCTGGTTCACAATAAAACTACAGATGCAACTCAGCGTCCAAAAGCATGTGTGTTTGATATCAAGCTTTTTTCACGGCTGAGATAATGAGTCAAGGTCTCATAAGACGAAAAATATTGACTCAGAAGTCTTGTGTGCATGAATCTAAGTGATCATAAAGAGTGCCTGGAGAGCAATACAGATGCCTCAGTTCAGAAACAGCTGAAAATGAAAATGCTATTTATTTTAAGCAGGGGCGTATCCAGAGAGTTGGCCAGGGGTGGCATGAGCCCCTTGGAAACAACTGGCCACCCTTTAGCCCACAAAAAAATCCTGATCTGTGGTTGGCAATCTGCCTTTTCAGAGGTACAAAGAATTAGGGCCTGTGTCCATTGTTAGCAGATCAGATGACAAGTGGAAAAATGTCATCTGTGTCATTGGTATGACTTTGCTGCTGCACTCTTGGCACATAAAGAGTGTCTAGAGAGCAATAGAGATGCCTCAGTTCAGAAACAGCTGAAAATGAAAATGCTAATTTTTTTTTTTTTTTTTTTTTTTTTTAGCAGGGGCGTATCCAGAGAGTTGGCCAGGGGTGGCATGAGCCCCTTAGAAATAACTGGCCACCCTTCAGCCAACAACAAAATCCTGAATTGTGATTGGTTACCTGCCTTTCTAGAGGTAAGAATTATGGAAATGTATGTTGTTTTTCTTTGATGTGACATTTTTAACCACATAAAACTGTGACTAGTGCTAGATCTATGAAGAATTAGGGCCTGTGTCCACTGTCAGCAGATCAGTTAACAAGTGGAAAAATGTCATCAGTGTCACTGGTATGGCTTTGCTGCTGCACTCTTGACACATAAAGAGTGCCTGGAGAGCAATACAGATGCCTCAGTTCAGAAACAGCTGAAAATTATTTATTTACGCAGGGGCGTATCCAGAGAGTTGGCCAGGGGTGGCATGAGCCCCTTGGAGATAATCAGCCACCCTTATGCCAAAAACAAAATCCTGAATCGTGATTGGCTATCTGCCTTTTCAGAGGTGGGAATTGTGAAAACGTATGTTGTTATTTTTTTACGTGACATTTTTAACCACACAGAATTGTGACTTGAGCGAGAGCTACGAAGAATTAGGGCCTGTTTCCACTGACAGTAGGTCAAGTGGGAAAATGTCATCTGTGTCATTGGTATGGCTTTGTTGCTGCATTCTTAGCACATAAATATATAAGGTAAACTTTGAGTAAGTGCAGGTGAGAAGAGCTGTCAAATTTTGGAAACGTGCAACAAATACAGTAAATGGAAACAGGCCCTTAAGGTTGTTGCTGCTAAAGATGTGAAATGTGAAAGTTTTAAAGTCCATACCTTTAGGGAGAGGTGGCCTCTGCCCAGATGTGCTGGTGTTTGTAAAAGAAAAGGTTGAGGATGAAGAAGAGGAAGATGAGGATGAAGAGGAGCCTCTGCTACTGGAGGAGTCCTCTCTGGAAGAGACCGTATCTGGGGTGTATCGGTTAAAAGTGTCCCCACGCTCAGTTCCCCAGGACGTCGTCACACGCCCTCCTTCTCCTCCTCCTCCTCCTCCTCCTCCGCCCTGATTGTGATAAAACAAAAACACAGACAGTGTAAATATTTAAATTTGCATTCGGTGATATAAATATATAATATAATATAAAGTGAGTGATTTTTCTCCGTACAGTTGCCGTGAAGGATCCTTTGCTGCCCTGTTGGCTGGTATCAACTCTGCCTCCTCCTCCGCCCTGAGTGCTGACTCCAGTGTTGATGCCGACCTGACGCCCGTTGGTTCCTCGTTGCTCGGTTACAGGTCTGTACCCATAGCCGCCGACGGCATAGTTCCCATTGCCGTTGTTACCATTGTAACCGTTGTAACCATTAGTTATCCTGTTGTATATCAGGGCTCCGTTCTCGTCCTCGCAAAACTGGCTCACTAACTTGGATTCCAGAGCTGAGAGGGACAGAAAAGATGTCGCCTTTAGAGACTGGAGAACAACTGTGGGAATTTTTTTTTTAGTCTTGTTACTGGAGCGACACGACTCTGAGGACAGAAATGTTGGTCTGCTCATTTAACATTTTTGTCCCAACAGATACTAGACAGCGACAGAACCCATGGCCTAACAACCCATGGCCATGGCCTGTACTGAGTAATCTTTATCAAAAATACGATTAATATTAAAAACTGTTGATAGTGATGGTTCCCTGTTGGACACTTATTATTGTAATATTAGATATTTTCATTTCCAAAGAGAAGACCCCTCAAACGCCAATAATTAGACACAAAAATTTTGGGTGGCCACTGGAGTAGGGGGCTGTGGCCACTTTCAGGAACCTTCTGCACATGTCCCTGCTTGACAATTACTTTAAAGGGATATTCCGGCGTAAAATTAATTAAGGGTCAAACACACCGTAACACCAAGTTAGACACCCCCTCCAGAGATGAATGTTGCCGACTGCTTGCTTCTCTAGTTATACCAACTTTAGTAACGACCGCAGAATAGCAATATACAGTAGTCTACGGATCCACACACAAACCTCAACCAAAACGCCACTCTATAGCCACAAATAATGCTCAGAACAGCACCTAACTTCATCAACAGGACATATAGGGTCACAGACATAGTACTAGCCACTAAACATCTTTTTAACTTTGCCTAATTTCTTTAGCAAAGAGACTAAACACAACTCACCTACTCTCTTCCAGCAGCTGCTTGTTTGTAGCGAGACCTCGGGCCAGTCCATTATGGACTACAGCGGGGTGCCGCAGCTCAAGGAAGAACATTAATGATCATTTCTTCATGGAAATACAATCAGACCAAGACACAAAGACAGAAGAACTACTGCGTCTGCAGAGCAAAATGATTAATATGATGATTATTACTTCAAGGAAATTATAAAGTGATGATCATAAATGTTCTTCCTTGAGCTGCGAAACTCCACAACAGTTTGTAATAGACTGGCCCGAGGTCTCGCTACAAACAAGCGTCTGCTGGAAGAGAGTAGGTGAGTTGTGTTTAGTCTCTTTGCTGAAGAAATGAGTCAAAGTTAAAAAGATGTTTGGTGGCTAGTACTATGGCTGGGACCCTATATGTCCTGTTGATGAAGTTAGGTGCTGTTCTGAGCATTATTTGTGGCTATAGAGTGCCGTTTTGGTTGATCATGTGGATCTCTGTATTGCTATCATGCAGCCTTTATTAAAGTTGGTATAACTAGAGAAGCAAGCGGTCGACAACATCCATCTCTCAAGGGGGTGTTTAACTCGAGTTACGGTGTGTTTGACCCTAAATTAATTTTACGTTGGAATATCCCTTTAATACTTGAAAGCAAAATGGGAAGAACAAGAAACAACAGAAAAGTGAGTATCAACATAATTTGTTCACTTTTATAGTTTTAAGAGCATCTCTCTCTCCTGCAGTGTTGGTCTGACCTGGCAGGGTGTTGAAGTCATCGATGAGGAACATGTGCTCGGTGTCCGGGTCCGATGCGATCAGGTTCAGCTCTCTCATGAACTCGGCCTGCGTTGGGTCGGAGGTGTTCACTATCCCCAGGGCGAACATCTCAATATTAGCAGCATGAGCCTCTCTTACGGCTATATCCAGCTTCACCGGCTCTCGTTTATCCGTCTGTCCGTCTGTGATAACAATGGCGACTTTGCTGACCCCGATACGGGAGCTGTAAAACGCCTCCTGTGTTGCTTTGCGTATGGCTGTACCCGTGTACGTCCCCTCTCCCATGTAGGGGATGTTCCTGATGGCCTGTTTTATGTCCTGCTTGGTGACGTAGCGTGCCAAGTTGAACACCAGCTTCACCTCCAGGCTGTACAACACCAGGCCGATGCGGGTGGCGTTGCGGCCCACGGTGACCCGGTCCACCAGGGCGTTCACAAAGTCCTTGATGATCTCAAAGTTCTCCGGGCCCACGCTCTCGGAGCTGTCGATGACAAACACCAGCTCCATCGGCCTCTCCTTACACTTGATGCCGCATCCTGGAATCACATCACAGCGACACATGAGATCACGGCTGAAATGTCACTTTCTGTGGAATCTGATCTGATTATCCGCAGATAACAGCAGACAGGGGGCCAAGATCCAGAAACTAAACCGTCTCTTGAGCAGCCCGAGTGGTGAATAAATATTGCAAAAGATCAGAAGATACTTTACCGCAGATCTCTTTGATCATTCGGATGATATCCTCCCTCTGAAAGGACGATACAAAGACAGAGTGAGCGTGGACTGAGATGAGGAGTCAGGGTGGACGCAGTTTCAGATCATTTACTTTCATCAGACTGTAAAATCACTCCATAACTGAAAACTGACGTTACATGTGTATGCATTAGTGCTTCACCTTCGGTTCATACTCTGTCCATTTTGAGGACATTTGTCATTTTCTTCATCTTCATTTTGAGCTGAGAGTCACATTTCTTCATATTAAATTCACCTACTAAACATCATTAGAAATGAATGAAACTTTCCATGCTATTAGATATGGATGTCTAAGAGTGGGATATGTGTGTAAGGAAAAGTTTGTGTGCTCCTGCGTGTGTGCAGGGGTGCGAATCTGTGTCCATGTTTATAAACGGGCATGCCATGAGCGGAGTTTGACGTCCAAGTTCAAGAGAGGGGGACATTTGGACAATTTCAACTTTGCCCTTACTTTGGAGCAAGTGGATGGACATGCATGAGGATGCACAGGTCCTTAGGATAATTAGGTGAGAAGATATCACATCTCAAATATGCAGTTATTGTCTATATGCTCGCAATCAGCGTAATCGCGGTCATATTTTGGTTAGAGGTGGATAACCACTTGTAAATGATTACTATCTTACATATATCTTCAGATTTTTTATGCCAATATATAAAAATAGTTTATTATGAACAAAGAACTTGATCGCATTTGATTTGGTAGAGAACGAGGCTCGAGGAAAGGAGATGAAAATGGCGCATTTTTCCGTTCCAATACACTCAGCTGTTTAGAACGAACACTTTATCAATAAATATGACATAACACACAAAAAGTGGCATAAAAAGGGTAAAAAATAAAAAGGGTAAGAAGTTGTTTAGGAGATATGAGTCAAAGGAAGTAAGAAAAATGTAAAAAAATGATTATTTTATGAGTACTTATCTACATGTCCGTTTCAGGGACAAAATTGGCTGGATGGAGCTTCAAATACGAAAAATTGGCACTACAAAAAAAATTTAGATGCATCAAAATTAGTTTTACTTGTCATCATTGACATGACCCGGACTCTTTTTATCAAAAAAAAAAAAGAACATTTAATCTCGGTCATTCTATATGGGAAATATCGCGATTTTGTGTTTTTTACCGTTAAAAATAGCAGTGACATGGTGCACAAAAAATGGCATAAAAAGGGTAATACATTGAATTTTCTATTTACTTTTCTTTAATGATCAGGGCTGAAGTTGTTTAGGAGATATGAGTCAAAAGAAGTAAGAAAGTGTTAAAAAATGATTATTTTATGAGTACTTATCTACATGTCCGTTTCAGGGACAAAATGAACAGGAACTGAGGGTTAAATAGAGCAGAAGAGACTTACAGTGAGGCCTGCTTCACCTTTAACCCCAGCTCGACCCTAGAACAAGAACACAAATGATGAGAGCTGTAGTTTCTTCATTTCTTCACCATCAACATCTCCAGAGTCACTCACAGGTAGCCCTGATTGTCCAGGATCTCCCATCTCTCCTTTGATCCCCTTCGTCCCCCGTTCGCCTGCTGAGCCACGATCCCCCTGACACCCGAAGAATCGGCATATTAACACAAGACCAGAGAATCACATTCAAGTCAAAGTCCTGAACATGCTGGTGACTCACTTTAGCTCCAGGAAAGCCTTCACCTGGTAGTCCCCTCGGCCCTGTCACACCCTGAGATCCTTGCTCACCCTGAAACAAACACAAGAGTTAGAAAACTTGTTCTGGAGGTGGAGTTTTCACTTTTGACTTCTTACAGCTCACCTTTGGTCCTTGTATTCCCTGTCCTTGTGGTCCGGTTGGCCCTGTAGGACCAGGCCGCCCTGGGTTACCCTGCAGCACAGAGGATACAGTTAGAAGAAGGTCCCAATCTAATCTAATTATCAGTAATAAAATGTTAGTTAATAAACCTCAACATTCTTGGTTTCTAACAGCTCTTCATTTCTTCTTTTCTTAGATTTAAGGTCCATCTGCGCTCAAAAATGGTCTGACCCCTCTCACATCCCACTCTAAGTACGAGCTCTCACCATCTGGAGGATGATGCAGAATTCCCCGATGCAAACACAACCGCTTCAAAAACTCATGTTGGCCGACCTCAAACACAATCTGGAATAGATTCTTTTTCATAAAGCCATGTGAGTCTGCCGCAGAATCACTGTACCCCGGTGTTTTTTCACTTATTGACGTCGTGTTTCATGCAGAAAATATGCAGTATACTCTGTTTATGGCTTATACAGTGTGTTTTAAGTCTGACTATGTCATCTTATTATATCTTTTGTATCGTCTTACATCATATTAATTTTCAGCGTATTCTTTTTTTAGGTTGCGTTTGATGAAATACGAGTTTAAGACCACTAATTATCTTGGATTAAATAAAGATATAGTAGGTAACTTTTTAATGTTTAAAAGTTATGACATTAAAGGAATCCATATGAGCCCAATGTGGTTTCATTGACTGAAATTGAACATATGGTAAAGGGATATGGTGCATATATGTTCCCACTAATGAATCTGTGAAGATGAAATCACAGTCGGAGGAAAAATAAAAAGGTTTACGTTGACGATTTCCCCTTTTTATGATCCTGATTCATGAATTTCCTTCAACGTGATCCGCTCTCTCATTGCCTCCCCTTTGGCAGCTATAATTGCGCCCTCATTTAAATCCCGTCAGAGACACGGCTCTGAAGCCAGCGGGGAGTGTGGATGTGAAATCCGAGGGCATGTGGGTGCTGGGTGTTGTTTTAGTTAGGCGTGTTGGGCCAAGTTCTTCTCATCAGACACATATGTCTGCAGAGATTCACACTCTGATGTGTCAGAGAGCTGCGAGGGGAATAAAGATAAACAGCCTCGGCTACTAACTGGCAGTTTTTTAATGTAAAGGCCACGGCGGTGGGCATGTTAGCGCACAAGATGAAAGACTGAAACTCTGTCGACAACAAAGACGTCATTCTTCAAAAAAGTGTGACTCAATCCCACCATCTGGTTTCTTTGTCGAATGAAATCACAGCACGCTTTCTGCAAATACAAACATCACAGAGACGTCCTTGACTCTAGTTCAGAGGAGCAGGATGTGATTTTGTTTTGTTTCAGCGACAAACAAACGGAGGTAAGTGGAGGAAATTTGATATGCAGGTGATGTAAAATAAGAAATGAAGTACCGGAGGTCCTTGGAGGCCTTCACCTGGAGGTCCTGGTAAACCGGGCAGCCCTCGGAAACCAACTTCCCCCTGCGGAGAGAAAAACACAATTAAGAAATGTGAACAATAATGACGCAGCATATGAACAATTTATCTTAATTGGTGACTTTATTCTTGTAAATCCACGACAACATTTTAGCAAATTGACATCTCTACTCTTGCTAATTTGTGGCTTTATTTCTGTAAATTCACTACTTTTTTGACTTTTTGTAAATCCAGGGTTAGATTTTTAAACATTTTCATCTTGAATTTCACAATTATGGTCTCAAATAAGATGGCCGTAAAACATGCAAACAGCAAATGATAACAGTGATTCTTTAGGATGGCAGGACTTTAGATTCCACTGATTACAGAGAATATACCTACAGATGATGAAAAACAACGGCAGCACTGTTAAACCTCTCCTCACTGCCGCCATCGTCACACTTTTTACAAACATTTTTATTAATCTGACGGATACGAGTTCTCACCTTTGGTCCTTGGATGCCCAGGCCTTCAAGTCCGGGTTCACCTGGAAGTCCAGGAAGACCAGGAGGACCCTACATCACAGAGGGGGAATACTTCAGATGGAGAGTTCGCAATAACAGAAAGTTTCTCATATGTAGCTATCAAGTTAACAATATATGAATTAAATCAAATATGTAAATAAAGCTTAAATAATCAAATTAGCTGTTGTTATTACACTGTTGTCAATAAAATAACTCCACAGATAAAATACTTACCAAGGCTTAGCTTACCACCTCTTCAGCACAGTTAAAGATACATAAATAATAAGGCTGTCTGCGTAAACCTGTCTGTATCGGTGCGATTAAAGTCAAAATTAATGCGCTAACTTTGTTCAATCCCTTTTTGTAAACCAGTTTAACCTCCTCTTACACAAAAATAAATACAGCTAAGAAACATAACTAAGAAGAGAAACATTATTTAACATATTAAAGATATGATTAATTGCAACTAGTGATTGAAACTCTGCGATTAATCATGATTAATTGCGATTAATCATGATTAATCGCAATTAATCTCAGAATTTGATTAAATATTTTGATTCATTGAAAAAGACTGATCCCTTAACAGTTAGTATACGAGCAAAGTTTTGAATTTTCCCCTTACATCTCGGATAAGTGAAGACATAGTAGCCCCCCTGGTCTCCCAACTGTCTCTCTTATGATGGTTTTATTTCAGAGAAACATCCTGAGGATGTATCAAAGCTCCAGTTTCTGTATCTGGTGGTTATAAATGTCTCAATGACGGATAAACCTCTGGAACTGATGTGTAGAGTAAGGACGGAGAGATAGATGACTGAATGAAATGTGGAGATGAAAGGTATGAAACAGCAGATTTATGTGTGGACAGATGTGTAGGTCAGTGTCTAAATCAGTTCCTCACCGCCGGGCCGGGGTAGCCGTCTCCTTTGGGACCGAATGGACCGGAGGGACCTGTTTCTCCGCGGTCCCCCTACAGCAGACCAATACTCAGAAGTTAAAAAGTCATTCATACAAAGGATACAAAGTGTTTTAGAGAGAGGTGATCAAAGCTAACCGAAGAGGAATGTAGGTTTAAACGGACACATGTGCTCTCTGCTCCCTCGCGTGCTTCTGTATCGTACGCACCGAGCGATACATCAAAACAGGGGCAGGAGAAACTACAACACATACTGTTTGCATTTTATGAATGGAGACCCAGTTGGAGCAGACAAGATCGTGAGCAGATTTGTACTTCCCAACACGTTTTCTGACATCTTTCCTGCTTTCAATGGAAACTGGGAAGTGATTTTCATGATATATAAACACATGCTGCCAGATCTGCCTCTCATTGAAGACGTCAGACTGTAAAACTACGGCAGCATGCCTGAGAGTTTGTGTAAGGCCAGACATCTAGGGGGAAAACTTCCAGAGAACTTGGTCAAAGGTTCATACTGAGTGTTACCTTAGGACCAGGAAGTCCGTAGCCAGTCTCCCCGATTGGCCCAGGAGGACCACTTGGACCAGGATCACCCTAAAACACATGGTAGCATCAGTTCTCATAGTGCAGTGCCCTGTCTATTCCTCAGACAGGGCCGTATTTACCCTGTTAGTGGCTCCAGGGCAAAAAATGCATCACGGGCCCCTTCGAAGGACACCCCACCTCCTCCTTTGCCACCTTATTTCCAAAGTTACCCTAATGAAAACTTGATAAACTTGATATTGGCGTTACTGGCAAACCAGAAATCATAACTGGTCTTGCCTAGAAACCTTGTGGCAGTGACATTATCGTACAAATTTTTACAGGTTTGAAGTGTTACGACTGTAGATCGGGGTCTTTACCTTGGGTCCGGCGACAAAACGACCTGCTGGACCAGGCAAACCCAGCCTGCCTTGTGACCCTGGTTCTCCCTGGTGAGGAGTAAATCGAACAAAGTGGATTTAGATCTCAACCTCTAGAATTATGATTATTTATCATCTTATCATGGCTTGGTGGCTCCTCACCTTTGGACCTGAGGGTCCAGCGATCCCAGGAGGACCAGTCAAGCCCCTAATCCCTCTTTGGCCTTGGTCTCCCTTTTGAATCACATTTTGGATAAACATTAGTTATAAATCTGTGATCGGATTCTTGAAATAGAGGGAGAGAAAAGCAGGACGTGTCAGTTTTACGTCACCTTTTCACCCTGGGTGCCGATTCCAGGTGACCCCTCTGCCCCCCTGAGACCTACAGCTCCCGGCTCACCCTAAACACACACAAATAAAGAGACGTTTTTACTGTTATGGACTTAAAACTGTTGTATTAGGAATAAACATGGATAAAGTAAAGGGTACGTGAGGCTACCTTCTGTCCAGGAGCTCCATCTTCACCTGGCAGACCTGGCAAACCGGACAACCCTGTAGATCCTGGCTCACCCTGTCGACACATTGATATGTCTGTGTGAGTGTGTGGATTGAAAATTTAAGCATTTTAAAACAACAAAAAAATAAACACATGATGGTGGCGCCACCTTCTCTCCAGGTTCTCCAGCTCCTCTCTCTCCTGGGGCGCCAACCTCTCCTGGCAAACCTTGGTCCCCCTGAGCACAGTGACACATAAAAACGTCATTTTAGTGAGACTTAGGCTTTGTGTCCTTTTCTACGATAATCGTCAAAAAGTGTGATCGTATGTACAAACCTTGGGCCCAGGTAAGCCCTCTCCTGGTTGACCTCGGCCCCCTGGTGGTCCTCTTGGTCCCTCCATACCCTGAAAATAAAAATTAGTGCAGTTAAAGAAGAAATACACATATAATTTTAAAAAATGAGTGAAAAAACAAATAATTTCTTTAAAAGGTGATTCAGATAAATAAGTTTTGAAATTAATATTTATATTAAAAAGTAAAACATTTTGGTTCCGCCTTTTGCCAGTATATGGATTTGAAGCCAAAAAGCTCTCGGTAATTCCAAGTTTTTTTCTCCATTTCCCGAAACCAACATTGCGCAGTAGCGTTGTAACTATTCGGCGGGAGAGTCGCTGTGATGACACTCGGCTCAAACAGCTTATCGCCCTGGTGAGCTACAAAATCTTCGTACGCCCATAGGCTGTATCAGGTGTCAATCAAAGAAAACATGAACCCCCTAATATCAAAAAGAGGACTTGAGCACAAAACAGTCTTACAATAACTACATGTCAACATCGCAAGCAGGGGGAGAAAACAATTATATTCTGTGTATTTAATTAAACTAAAGTTTGTCCACAGCTCCATTGGGATTGCTGGAGGAGGCGGGATTTATGACCTATACTGCCGCCTGCCAACAGAGGGTGCTGTTCTCGGAGTGGCTTCACCCAGAGAGGAGGAAGTCGGCGTCCATTCTATATACAGGCTATGGTTAAAAGCCATCTGACTTTCACTTTAACCTCACAAAATCATTCCATTCAGATGTAAACGCTTCGAGATTAAAGTACGTCGTCTTCATAACTTTACTTCATAAGTTATTCATGGATGCGTGTTTTGTGCCAATATACATTTTTTTAGAGGAAGTTGAAGGAAGAGCACAGATGTTACGCCCTCTTCCTTGTCTGTTATTTTAAGTACAATCCCCAAAACAGAATGGTACACTTTAATACTATAATACACTAAAGGAACAACATGCAAACTCTCCTTTTATGACACGTTTAAACCATGTTATTTCACTTCTTACCTTCTCGCCTTGTATGCCAACTCCTGGGGGGCCGAGGGGCCCTGGAAGGCCTGGTGGGCCGAAATCCCCCTACAGGTGTTCGGATAAGAATGAAGTTTTATGATGATAGTCAAATGTAAATGTAGCTGGTATTACACGGCGTATTACATGATTTATAGCCGGTGGAAAGCACCCAAATGTATGCGATTCACTGCCAAGATGGCGTGTTTTCTCATGGCTCAGTGGAGGTTACGCTCTGTGAGAAAGTTCGTGTTGTAAAATATTTTAATATGTAACTTAAGGACATACACCTTTCGGTTTTGGGTGTTTTCGTCCGTCAACGGGAACATTAGCATCCCAAACATGTGATGTTAATGTATAGAAAAGCCCGTAGGCCACAGTTTGACATAACTGTGTGAAAACATTGTAATTATCTGTGATTACCTTCACCACACGGCTTCAGTAAAACTGTCAGCACATGACGGTGTAAAAATCTTTATGCCTTAAAGATGTTTTTTTATGTGGTCTGCAGGAAACTCTGTCAGTCGTTCCTGCAGGTAAACGTCATTTTCAAATGACATAAGATGAATTATGCAACTTTCAAACAAACCTAAAGTCCTCGTTTTTGGGAGCTCATAGATTGCCAGATGGCTGCAGAGATCTGGAGAGTTGGAGAGAATCTCGTTCTGTGACTGCGAGCGCAGAGCGAGCTTTTCCCACACTCATCAGCCTTAAACTGAGAGGCCGCTCTCCTCCTACACCAGCCAGGCTTCAGCCTTGATTCATCACCTGCTCAGTGTGACCTCCTATATAACACCCAGCTGAATGCATTCACTGGTGGCTCTGCTGACTGGCGGCCTTCTTAGCAACAGGGCTCTGGCTTTATGTTCATGCTTGTGTGAAGGTATTTCAGCTGGGCGCCTTATTTACTGCCTCGCTTGATGGTTACCTTGTCTCCTTTGATTCCTGCGCCCGGCTGTCCTCTCGGCCCCCGCGGTCCCTCCAAACCTCGCTCTCCCTGAGGAGACGGAGAAGAAAAAACTTCATATAATACAAAAAAAATGACAACAGCGCACCTGCAGAAAAAAGGGAAGAGAAACAGAAAATCATCTTTTCATAAAGGGAGACAGCTAGACTGAAGGACTCACTTTGACTGCACTCAGAGCTCCCTTTTTATGATGATGTCTACATTTCGAAGCTTTCTCTGATGTTGATGTACAACAGTGTTTACAGACACAGCACCCAGACAAAAGACTTTTTACTGTCAGACACTTCTGGCACCCAGAGTGGATTGTTATGGCAGATTGCTACCACAGAAACCAACACAACGGCCTTCAAAGTCACTCTGAGTTATTACAAGCATCAAATCTTAGTTTAAAGACTCTTTCCCCCTCACTATTTCTCCTCTGGTTTTTAGCCTCAACTTGAAGGTTTGACATACAAGACAGGCGACAAACTGATGTAAGCGTCGAAAGCATGTGAAAGAGGAGGGATGGATTTTAGAGTTGAGAGGCTTTAGTTACATTAACCCCATTTATGACGACAAAAATCCTTTTACCGTAACGAAGACAAAGCGAAGTCAAGCTCACGCATCATTGTTAACAAACACTCTGTCAAATGTAGGTTTAGTTTCCGTTAACGATGCGGAACTAGTTCATCTGGACCGTTGGGCACTTTACCGTTTGCCGTGTTTTGGCGCAACAACCGTTAGCCGTTCCGTGTCCAACATCGTTTGTTTTAATAGACGTTAGACGTAAGAACAAGTTAAGTCAGAGGTTTTATTGAAATTCAAGCCTAAACTTTAAATCACTGAAACTGAGAACGCAGCTGAGAGAGCAGTGAAGTGAGTGTCTAAGTGTTCCTTGGGTTGTGTTCACACCAAAATGTCACCAAAAGGTCCGTTTTAAAGGGGACCTGCCATAAAAATGTAATTTTGGGTTTTTTTGTGTCATATAAGGTCCATATTATGTTCGTCTTATGTTGTACATGTGAAAACAAACCGTTACGTCGTTTGCATTCTGTAAAGGTTTAAAATCAAGGAACGAGTAAACCAGGCCAATTGAAAAAGCCCGTCGGTGTTACGTTGCGCCGACCTTGCTCATCATTATTCACGAGCGCGTCCTCGGTGAGCCGCGCCCACTCTCTCGTTCTCGTACTCAGTCACATCCAGAGCGAGACCCAGCTACCGCTGTCTCCGCTATGGGTCTCTTCCAAACGACCGGTGTTTCCTTCGGTTCACTGCCGGGAAAATGAACTTAAAGCCGGGCAGAATGAATGAGAAAACACCGCTGGAGATCTCCGGCTTCTTCCTCAACTTCCACCTCCTCTTCGGACTCGGGGTCTAAAATATATGGTTTAATACCTGCCGTTTTTAGCCTTTAGCATAAGGTGACCAGACGTCCCCGATTTCCGGGGACAGTCCCCGTATTGGATGATCTGTCCCCGGCAAAAGCTGTCCCCGAAAATGTCCCCGATTTAAGCGTTTCATTAATGAGAGCAAAAATGTTGCGTGTGGGCTCGAACAACGGTTATTACAGTAGCCGAATTTAGTTAGCAGTCCTGAACAACAGTTCTTACGGGGGTTATTACAAGGGGCATGCGCTGCTACTAAATAGTACCGAGTCTGTGATCACGCAGCCCCTGCAGCCCCTGCACCACCGCCGCCGCCGCACCGAATATCCCCGGATATCATTACAGACATCTGGGCACCTTACTTTAGCACACATTAGCATATGCTATTAGCATTAGCATAATAACAGTTAAACCGAAATCCGAACCTCCACTGCTGAGCCAATCAGAGCACAGCAGGCTTCACAGCAGCGATCCAATCAGAGCAAAGCTCATTACCATAAATGTTAATGAGCCAAAACCAGTTGGTTTTCCTGTAAGGTTTTCTAGGCATACTAAAACAAACCATCAAATAACTTTTCAGCTAAAATTATGTTGCAAACATGATCAGAGGACATCAAGGATTATGAAAAAATGATAAAAATGGGTATGAAATTTTGGTGGCAGGTCCCCTTTAAGAAACGAGCCAAAGCGAGGATGATATATTGTTGCAATTTCTCAACTGGTCCGATTCACCGAACTCAAACAGTCCAAAAATTGTCACGTGGCAACAAAAGCCGTTTGGTGATTGCTTATACAGTTTAGGCGGGTAGACAACAAATCCCCTGCAACTTTTTACTCTACATCGTGGAGCATCGGCTCCTAATTTTTATGTTGGTGCTGATCTGGACTGCATATCAGCAGACCTTAACGGACCGCGCTTATGAATGGCTGGGAAGACTGCGGCAATTAAATAATGTATTAATACACCGTGTCGCTCTGCAATCGGACGGTCATATCACAGAAGACGACAGGCAATAATTCGTTACACCATGTTTTTCCCCTGCCAGACATTAGCCGCACTTTGATAACTTTGCCTTCCGTTTCCTGTGATTGGTGCGGATGGGGTTCACACCAGATGTAAACCGCTATAGAGTTCATTTGATAGCGGTCCAAGACCACCCCTACCCTAGAGAGCAGTCGACTGGTCCGCACCAGAGTTCAAGGCCAGCGTTCACACCAACCTAAACGAACCGCACCATGGAGGTAAACGCTCCAGGATTCAGTTCAACTGGACTAAACAAGGCTGGTGTGAACACGACCTTAGACTCGGGATGTCAGGGGCTGAGCCTGGACGCCACCATCCCCACCCCACAAAAACAAAGGTAGTCCAAGAAAACAAATAGTGACCACAGACAAAGACTTGAGGTAAATGTGCGTTTAAGTAAACCCTAGATGGGACTACAGGAGGCTCTGAATGGCTTGTTCCAAAAGTCACGCGAGAATTCAGCGAGGTCAAGACGAGATTTGCTCAAATTCTGACATCACCAAAGAGTGGATCTCCTTAAAAGGGCAAATTTGTCATTATTTAAGAAGCAACATTGCAGATTTTAACGGTCGCACAACCTTGATTGAAGACAGAAAACACCCTGATAAACAGTAATGACCGAAATATTTTGACTTTTTTAACTATTTGGGAAAAAATGACTCAAATGTGATGAAAAGTAAGAGTCACTGGCTCTTCCACCATTAAACTCAGAGGCTTTTCTAAGAGCCCATAAATGCCCAACTCAAAGTAGATGTAATGTCCTCTGTAAATGCAGGTTGTCATGGCGCATCATTTTGAAGGATGTGATAATTTGGAGGATGAGGAGAAGCAGATAGTTCTCCAGCTGTTTTGTAGGGGATAACGCACGGGGAACAGGTAGTTATGGAAATTAAAATCCGAAGGGGTGAGACCAAGCGGCAACCTCTGGTCTTGAGGCGTGAAGCCAATAAAGAAGTGTGAAAAACTGCCGAGTACTCGCTTGAGGCTAGCTGTAGGTGCACTGAAAACCATGAACATACTAATTACGAGGGCAAAATAATGCATTATTAAATTCTGCTTAAGTATCACAGACAGATGTTCAGTTTAAAAGCCGAAAAAATCCCATTTCAGTCAAAAAAAACAAACGTAGGGCGTATAACAGCAATTGAAATCTGTAAGGGAAAGCCGGAATAGAAACCAAATGAGGGATAAGACGAGTTATTCAAGTCGACAGTGTGTGAAGTGAAGAGTGCAGCTTACCGTCTTGTTATGTATGACTCTACAAGTCTTTTTTTCAATGGATTGACCTTGTAACGCAAGGTAATTCAAGGTCAGTAAAAATGCAGTGTAGACGCAGAAGTATACCAGAGGTCTGCTACGTCAGCATGAAAAAGTTCAGATTTGTTGTCTCGACTCTGTGATTCCTCATTTCGGCACAAGAGCCAAAGTGCTAATGATGTGGAAAAAGAGGTAATATAGCCGCTGAGATGCTGTGAATCTGGAGCTTGTTCAGACACGTGAAGAACGATTCTTTGGAGCAAGAACGCCATCTGCGAGTCCGCGGCCAATTTGTGCACAGAATCACCCCGAGGCCAATCTGTAATGTTGGGAGATACACCTCCTCCTGTTCAGAGGCGGATTCAGCTGTTACCACCGGAGAGGAGAGGTTCCAGAGAAGTGGAAAAATCAGGATTTTCTCCCGAACTACTGTCGCCCTGCCTCGACATGTTGATCTCTCTCGATTGTGGTCCACATTTGTCATCTTAAACAGACTTAATTGCACTTGATACAATCATTCAGATCCATCAAACAGAACAGGAGACTGGTGAAATTACACTGCTGTGATTTCAAAGCCTAAGTTTAACAAAGCGACATTTCTACGTTCATTCATTATAATTTTTTTTGCAATTTCTCCCGTCAAGTTCGTAGGATTGATTCGGAGCGCTCTTTGATCACATGTAGTGCTGATTTTGCTCGGAGGCAGAGTTAATTGACTAAATTAAAATGGATGAAAGGCGCTCTGATGGAGGTCCACAATGGTGCCAACACAACGCAACACACCTTTAAAGGGATATTCCGGCGTAAAATTAATCTCGGGTCAAACACACCATAACACCGAGTTAGACACCCCCTCGAGAGATGAATGTTGCCGACTGCTTACTTCTATAGTTATACCAACTTTAGAACAACCGTACGATAGCAATACAGAGACGCCACTCCATAGCCACAAATAATGCTCAGAACAGCACCTAACTTCATCAACAGGACATATAGGGTCACAGACATAGTACTAGCCAACAAACATCTTTTTAACTTAAGGGACTAAACACAACTTACCCACTCTCTTCCAGCAGCCGCTTGTTTGTAGCGAGACCTCGGGCCAGTCCATTACAGACTGCAGGGGGGTGACGCAGCTCAAGGAAAAACATTTATGATCATTTCTTTATCATTTCCTTGAAGTAATAATCTTCATATTGATCATTTTGCACTGCAGACACAGTAGTTCTTCTGCCTTAGTGTCTCGGTCTGATTGTATTTCCATGAAGTAATGATCATAAATGTTCTTCCTTGAGCTGCGAAACTCCGCTACAAACAAGCGGCTGCTGGAAGAGAGTAGGTGAGTTGTGTTTAGTCTCTTTGCTAAAGAATTTGGCAAAGTTAAAAAGATGTTTGGTGTCTAGTACTATGGCTAGGACCCTATATGTCCTGTTGATGAAGTTAGGTGCTGTTCTGAGCATTATTTGTTGCTCCTCAGACCGCTGTGTATTGCTATTGTGCGGTCGTTACTAAAGTTGGTATAACTAGAGAAGTAGGCGGTCGGCAACATTCATCTCTCGAGGGGGTGTCTAACTCGGTGTTACGGTGTGTTTGACCCTTAATTAATTTTAGCCGGAATATCCCTTTAAGGTGATGTACTTGTGTGCATGTACAGCCTGTTTAAACCACGCAAAATGGTTTCACGCCACTTTCTAATCAGACATGAAAAGAAAGAGGTGTAAACTGCTTGTCAATCATATTTTCTAGGCCGACTTTAAAGATGCGGGTTAAGTCATAAAAAAGGTCACAAACGGGATCAGCTGTGTAAATTTTTTGGATTCTCCGCCTCTGCGCACCTGTGTGAGTCCATTGGCGTGTCTTTACGCACACATGTGTCTGTATGACCTGAGAGGAGACAGATGCAGCAGCACGCTCATTTTTTCCTCCCTTCATGACTCACCCACTCTGTCATGTCTCCTGCCTTGTTTCCTGTGTTAGCGCCTCGTCTCCTGCTCCTGGCCTTCGACAGGGACCGTCACAGGTGCGAATCTTGCGATGAGGTCATAAAATCCATACTGCACTGTTTTTTGTACGTTTACTGAACCTCTGCGTCGTGTTATCGTCTCGCCTAACCAAACACGTTGTCAATATCCTGTCATTACGCCTGAGGATCTGGAGCCCAGACGTTCCTCTGAGCAGGTCCGTGAGTAGGTGGGTGAATTGAAGATGAAGGCATGAAATGGGGTCACTAGGGTTCAAAGCTTTTAACTGGCTTTAGTGCATTAACCTCTAAGAAAAGCTGTGAGCCCCGAAAGCCAGAGACGTAAAAGACACTAACTCACCTTCGGTCCGGGCAGACCCTCTCCTAATGGTCCTCTCTCTCCTTGGACTCCCTGTGGCCCTTGAGGCCCCTAAACAAAACACAACAATGGAAGTGACCACAGGTGAAACATAAAAACTGACCCCTTTAGCGGCTGATGGTGCACTAAACCGCCTCCTTTGAATAGCTTTGGTTCAGTAAGAGCTTAGCAACCTTCACTTGGCACAGCAGGTGTGTAAACTCTCGGCCGTAGTGTGAGCAACAAAAAAGGATCTCGACTTCTGCGTTTTATTAAAAATATTCAAAAATGGTTCTCAAGAGAGGCTGAGTTCATCAGGAGGACAGAAAGAGAGAGATTTCACATTTTGTAAGTGACTGCGAGAGCAAATAGTTCAACGCTTTTTGTTCCTCGAATAAAATCGCCAAGAGCTTTGAAAGATAATAAATATCATTAAAAGATTCAGAGAATCTGGAGACATTTCTTTACAAAAGGGTCAAGACTTATGCTGCGTTCCAGTTGTACTCAGAAGTCTGGATTTCTGACTCGGAAAGTCGGACGATGTTTACCAACCCGACTTGACGACAACATCATGACCCAAGATGTCAGCGCAGTGCATCAACAGTAAAGAGTAAAGAGTGAGAGCTCTCGTAATGTTTTATTTATTAGCGCTTCTGTTTTGTTTTTGTGAAATTAAATAAGTGGTTTATGTCGTACTGCCCAACATCTAACTGTGAACACGCTGCTGTGGTGTTCGTAAGAGTAAAATACTGTATTATGCGTGGTTTACGACTGGTATCGCTAACAACCACTAACAACCGCTGAGAACGGCTAACGACAGCTGACAATTGTAACTGTAGGCGTCCATCTTGGATTTCCAACTTGTTAACAGGAACGCAGTCAACTCGGGTGTAGCGTCATTCCCAGCTCTGACGTCCGACTTCTGAGGTAACCGGAATGCAGCATGAGAACTAATACTGGATGACTGCGGTCATGACTCTGTTGTAGAATTCACTGTGTCGGCTCGAATCACTTTGCAGAAAGAATCAAAATTTGACATCCCTTTTGGAAGTCTTGGACACCTTCCACCCACACTTATAAATAAATAATCCCCCACAGCATGGGTAGCTTGCACATGCGTTACAGTACATGCTAGGGTGTCCTAGCAACATCTGCCATCCAGACAGAGCCCTCAGGATGTCACATATCTTAGCAGGACATTGCCAACAGGTTCCAGGTCCAGGTGCCAAACTTAACTAGCAGTCCTAAATCGTCACCCATCGAATAAATTTGACGCATCATGACACAAAAACTCAACAAAGGACACCCTGAATAACAAACCGTGCTACGGTAAGAAGTTTGACAAGCAGTATGGACTTGGTAAAGGATCAATTAATGCAGCACAGACACCACTTGTGTGTGCGCACTGGCTTGTTACTCACCGGAGGCCCAGACTCGCCAACTCCCATAGGACCAGGAGGCCCTGGTTGCCCTTGGAAACCAACATCACCCTGCAGAATGCGAGTGGAGAGAAGCGCACAGAGTGAGACACAGGTAGATTATTCTGTTTTTATGAGTTTGGGAACAATGGGGTGGCAGGTTTTACCTTAGGTCCCTGAAGGCCGATGCCTGTTTCCCCTTGGATTCCAGGTGGCCCAGGAAGTCCCCTTTCCCCCTATAAAAAGAGAGGGAGTGAGAGATATGTGGGAGTACAAACACAAACACACAGACAAAGACACACAAACACAGATTTTGGTATGATTGGGTACAAGAAGAGCTGTCCAGGATTTCCAACATTGCCGCTCTCCGGAGGTTTAGGCATGAACCTTGGGGTACTTTCATTCTTCAGTCAAGACTTTATCGGAGAAGAATGCAATTATTCACTCAAAAGCTGTAAATCAAGAAGGGCGGTGTTCAGCAGGAGGGCTGAGAAGTGGGCGTGAAAGAGGCGTGGAAATCTCAGTGGGTGCATACCGGCACTTTCCCCCCTCTTCCCTCTGCCCTTTCAGGCAAGTCAGGACAGCGTTTAAAGCTAGACATTAGTCTGCCATTCAGGTGATATAGGATGACAGCCAGACAATCAACATGAACATTCTTCCAAAATAATTAAGGAGGGAACACTTGGCGGGGAGTGTGGGGCTCATGGCGGAATTGGCAGCTATAACACGGAGAGGAGAGGCGAGGGGGGATAAGAAGTAGGAACAGACAAATAGTTTGACAAGGTAATAACAGACGGGGCGTTTTAGAAGAGGGGGTTCAGATGTTCCACCGGTGATGGATCATAACTCACAAATAAACCCTCAAAAGCGTGGTCACATGACCGCCGTTATCAGCACGCAGGGCTACTTGACATTTGTGATGTTATTTACACGCGCTGTGAATTGATTCGAATCCAAACGTATTTTTAAATGTCAGCTCGGTGAGTGCACCCCGAGAAGATCTTAGCGTTTTCTTTTTCACATCTGCCGCTCCGAAGGTAACAACATTATTCATTATCCAGGTTCTGATCATGGACCCCCCCCCCTTTCAAACAAGTTCTGAAAGAGGCCTAATTCAATCCAGACTGGAAAAGAAATATGCCCCCCAACCAAAAAACCCAGATACTTAAGATATGCATCTGGTTTTGGTGAAGGGCAGTCTTTGGTTTGGAAGGAAAAAAAGAGAGAATTCACTGAAATGTAAAAGAAAGGACCAGTCAGCGGAGAAGGACAAAGTTTGATTTACAGCTTACTAACTTCTTCATAATCCCACATTTTCCAGATCTCACAGGTTCAGTTCAAACTTGTCAGGTAAGTTCAAAGCTGAGGGGTGCTTACTTTTTTACCCATGGGGCCCTCAGCTCCGATATCACCCAGCGGACCAGGTACACCCTGAAATGTGGATAAATTTAAGGGGTTAGCGCTTATTTTACTTAAAAGCAAACAGTTAGCTAACTTCAACCTTAAACTAGCACAGCACATCAAAAATACATCTCAGTCAAATTAAAATGGGAATTTTTCATGGTATGTATTTTAAATAATCTTGGTTAATTAGGATAGGATCAGTTTAATTTACCTGAAGTCCACGATTTCCCTTTGGACCAACAGAACCTTCAGGGCCCTAGAAGAAAAGTTAAACGAGAAAAATGTCTCAAAGTGTCATAATCTGTGATAATTATGAAAAATACTGTTTATGGAGCGACATTAAGAATAGAAAAGGTTAGGTTTTAGGGGATTAAGTGTCATTAATACTAATACAGGGAAGCAGTTTCACAAAAAAAGAGGAGAAGTCTAAAATATGAAGTAAAAGTGATAATTTTACAAGAAAATCAGACTTTTTGAAATAATTACTTGTAGATAAACAGGAAAAAAGTCCAAAAATTCCGAGAATAAACTTGCAAATTAGCAAATCGTTTGATATTCTGTTTACCAGGAAAAAAAATTAAAATCAAACTTATGTGAATAAATTTGTCCATCAACCAAATTAAGTCTTTAATAATGAGAAAAAAGTTGAACATTTATGACAATATACCTTTAAAGTGAGGAAATTGAAGGAGAAATACATTTATTAGAACAAACTTTTTAAATTAATAAGTTCGTAGTCATAATTAGAGACAAATTAGGTCATAATTTAATGATATAGAAGTCCCAATTACAGGCTATTTGAATATATAAATAAAATCTGTGTGGTCAGCTGTTTACATTTGACTGAAATCAGGTCAGTGTTTGATATAGAGAAGCAGTTTCGCAAAAAAGGGGAGAAGAAGTTTAAAATATCAAGTAAAAGTGATAATTTTAAAAGAAAATCAGACTTTTCAAAGGAATAAGTCATAGATTGACAGGAAAAAAAGTCAATAATTTCAGAGAATAAACTTGTAAATTAGCAAATTGTTTGAAAATTTGTGAGTCAAACAAATTAGGACAAGAAAAAAGTTATAAATTTATGATGATATACCTTTAAAGAACGAAAATTAAAGGAGAAATAAATGTATGGGAACAAACTTTTAAATGAATAAGTTCTTAGTTGTAAATGTACAAGAATAAAATCATAATTCTAGATAAATAATTTAATGATATAAAAGTCCCAGTTACAGGCTATTTGAATATATCAATAAAATCTGTGAGGTCAGCTGTTTATATTTGACTGAAATCAGGTGAGTGTTTGCAGATTTCATCGACTTCATCTTTAAAGCATGAAGAAAAAATCGACATACTCTATCTCCCTTTATTCCAGGTGTGCCACACTCGCCTCTTTCTCCCTGTGAGAGAATAAAAAACAGTCAAGTCACGTCAGAAGCATGTCGTCGTTTCACATTGAAGGGACATTTCATGGTTTTACCACAAGAACAAATCTGAAAAATGAGTTTAATATCCGAGCAAAGAGCGGTTTGTTAAACTAATCTGAAGTAAAAGACCTGACATCAAACAAGACTGAGAACAACATTTCCTGATACTCCCAAAGTCTCCTCTCTCTCTCTCTCTATGGTGCTGCTTTCAAGGCACTTCATCAGGTCTGGAAAACATAATTCTCAGATCTCACAGCAGATTTTCTGTGGGAACCCGATACTTTGACAAACCTGAGGGGAGGGGAGGAGGCATATCGAATCCATACATTACCTTCTCTCCTTTGTACCCTGGTTTCCCCTGTGTGTACAAAACAGTCCGGTTAAGGTCTGTCAAAGAAAACCAAATCCTGTCCAAAATAAAACGCAGATTATCTCTTTAGCTTACCTCGCCTCCTTCTCGACCCGGAAGTCCACTGAGCCCGCCCTCACCCTGAGAGAAACAGAGATTTTACTTGTACTGTTGAGTGAAATCTAGAGATGGAGGCATCTTCACTTAGAAATGAAAGTAAAAGACAAAAACCTTCTGCCCTTTTGGACCAGGACTCCCATCTTCTCCTGGACGACCCTTCTTACCCTGGAGAGAGACAATGCATGATAGTATCTCATATGGCTTCCAGGGATGAACGATATCATCTGTTAGATATCACAAACAATGAGAACAATAGTCCTCTTTCTAATTTACTGTCTTTTGTTCTCTTATATGAGCGTCTTCACGCCTCACAGAGGAATCACTTGGCGTTCGTGTTGGGCTACGGCCAGTGGGTCTGGGCGCAGATGAGTCAGAGGGGACTTCAAGTCGTCTGCATGTGTGCGAGAGGAGCAGACTAACAACGGTCTGGCTCTTCTCTCTGTTCTCATGCATGTGTGTGAAAGTTCTTATCTTTTTAAGTGCCTCCCTGTTTTCATGCCTGTATCTCCGCAAGCCGCTTCCTTCAGCTGCCGCCGTGATGTGAAACAGCTTTTGTTCGGGGCATTAGGTTTAAAGGGGGGTAATTACTCTGTTCCCATCCTGTTAAAATACATCAAAGCCAAACCGCTACTTCTAATTGCGGTTGAACTTCTTTGTGTAATAAGAGGCATGTTCGCATCCAGACACGGTCCCTAGAAGCGGACATTCGACATCATCTCCGCAGAGACCAAACGCTGCGGCTGGCCTCTTTTGACAGACAGGATTTCTCTGATTTTTCATGTAAATATGCGCCGTCTATAGGCCTGTTCGCAATAAACAAGAGGAATGTAAGGTATTTTCTCGACTCTCACTGCTGCGGGGAAACTGAGCATCTCAAAAAACCGCACCAAACCCCCTGCAATTATGTAGCCTGTTAGCATCAAGGGTCTCTTTGTCAGCTGTTGAATCCTCTACAGCGCTTCAAAGACGACAGTTTGGGGGTAATTGACGTTGAGGGGCTGCTGAAGAATACATGTGGTTTTGGAGAAGAGAAATTTGAGCCTTTTTTTATGCAGCTGAGGGAAAAGACCCCCAGAGTACTGAGTGAAAATGTCGTAAATAAGCAGGGAAATTGTGTATAAAGCTAAAATAAGTCTTGGTACCATTTCTATAGATTTTTTTTAGCTGAAATGTGATACTCACAGCGGGGCCAATGGGTCCCCTCTCACCCTTATCGCACGCACACTTGCTCAGAGCCAGAGGACACTGGGAAGAAAATGAAAAGAGAGTCAGACAAGCCGTTACAGGGTCATAAATAATGTGCAGCAGGACCACAGTTTGGACTTACCCCTTCATCCGCCACCGACGTCTGTGGAGCAGAAAACACAAAAACGTCAGGATGTTGTCAAATTTGCTCCATATGGTTCATACAAAACACACCAGCAGACATTTATAGACTGAGAGCTAAAGTAAGAGTCTTTCACTTTGAGAGCTGAGGTTTAAATTCCGGTCTTTACATCGTAGGATCAGACTGGAGCTGGAGAAAGGTCACTGACGGCCTTCAATCAAGTTATTTTCTAAATGTACGAACATGAGCGACTTCCTCCTGAAGGAGATACTTTGATCCGGGGCCCCTTTCGAACAACCCCTGGTTTCCTCTTCAAAGCTGACCACACTTGGTACACAAAGGGGGATGGTCAAAACTCCACCAGGACTCAGAAAAAAATAATCTTGCTCAGCATCCCGACGACGGCCTGATGATGGACGATCCCGTCTTTGAGGATGAAGTCAAACAAAGATGTGTGCTTCTGCAAAGTGTTGAAGGATATGACTATATAGCTAACCGGCTAACATGCTAGGAGACAGGAAATGGTCAAATTCCACTTAGCTGGGATCCAAACCACATGCAGTGATCAGTAAAACCGCCTAGCTGAGAATCCGAGCGATGTTTCAGAAGTAGTAAGGGGCGTCTGAAGACTGTCTGTCCGTTTTTAGACGTACAATACAGGGACCGAGGATGAAAGACGGTTTCTCAGCTGAGACAAAGGCACATGCTTATGACATACAGATGCTGCCTGTTCAAGGCAATGAGATGAAAGTCCGTCTGTGGACTTGCATGCGAGCAGAACGCAAGCTGTCGGGTTCAATGCCCTCAAAGTCTCGTCGAAGTTCTCTACACAGTTTCACCTTATCGTATCTGGATCTGTACCACCTGTGTCAACAGTAACCTCTTAGTTTGAGGTTGGAGGAGACGCTTAAACGATGTAGCGTGCATCCAGGTTCTTGCAGAGTTCCTCCTCTTTGTGCACCCGCTTTTCCCACAAAGAGGTTTAATTCAGAGCATATGTCTGCGAACACAGCCACAGGATGTTGCTGTGCCGCACATGTTCTAATTATCTCAGTGGAAATGTATCGTCAGCTCAGGGAAGTAACACCAATCACCCCAGCCAAGGTAAACAGTTTGGAATATGGATGAATGATGACTGGATGATCTTCCAACACATGCGTTTGTGGCAAGAGATGAATCCAGAGCTCCGTTTTTCCACCAATCTGCGAATTTTCAGAGAGGATGTCGTAATAAGAGGAGCATCAGTCTGCAAAGCTAATTTAGGTGATGGAGCAGACCTGTTACTATGGCAGCAGAAAACAGGTAGCAGGTGTACATCAGTGCTGCCAAGAAAACAGTGGGTGGTAGTAGCAGGACGGCACTTAGAAGTAGTACATGCTGACATGAAATCACTTGGCAAAAGACCGCCTGCGTAATGGCTTTTTGTGGCTTCAACTGTTCGTAAATGACTGGCCCTGCAGGGGAGCGCGGAATTATGAAACATACAAGAACCTTCATGCGTGTTCAGGAATGTCTGCACCAGCGAGCTGCGGTTCATGACATTTGAAAACAGACCAAATTTTGTTTTACTCACGATCTCCTTGATGACTTTCTCCACGATGCCTCTGTCCTGCAGGTTGTGAAGGTAACGAGAAGCCGGAGAGTTAGCGATGAGGCGTAGCTGTGCGATGTTCGCCGGCTCGTTGGCCTCGGGGGTGATTCCTATCGTGAAGAAGCGGACGCCCTGGTTCTTGGCATCAGCCACGGCCGAGAATATGTCCGGGTTCCTCGGGTGGGAGATGCCGTCGAAGAGCAGTACGGCCACCTTGATGCTGACGGTTGGCGACTCCTCCAGGTAGATGCGGGTGAGGTTGGTGATGGCGTAGGTGGTGTAGGTGCCGTGGCCGATGTACACGATGGGGGCGATCCTGGCCTTGAAATCGTCAGGACCTCTCCACTGTTTGAAGGTCTGCTCTATGATGACATGACTGCTGTACTGAAGAAGAGCGGCGCGGGAGCTGAGGCCTCTGCCGGTCTGGAGCCGGAGGCCTTGAAGTCGGTCCATCACGTCCATGGCGAAGCGCTTCTCCTGGGCATGGTTGTCCTTGGCGCTCTCCGAGCTGTCAATCAAAAAGGCGATCTCCAAACCGCAGTCCTCATCAACGAGAGCTGAAAGACGGGAAATCTAGTCAGTACGAGCCAGGTGTAGATCTGGACCAACCCAGCAGCGGCAGGAGTCTGGTCCTGCTCAAGGTTTCTGCCTGTTAAAAGGAAGTTTTTTCTTGTTTCTCATGTTCGATGAGATGAGCCAAAACCCATCTTAGGTTGGTTCTTGATAATTCATCAAACAATGAGCGTGGTCTAGACCTGCTCTTGTTCTTTGAAAAGCGTCTTGGGATGACGACTGTTGTGAATTGGCGCTATATAAATAAAAATTGATTTGAATTTGATTGATTGATCAGTGTCATATCTTTGCGTTAATTTTAAACCTTTTCCTCTTGTCAAAAGCTCATGTTCAACATCTTCAGAGGAACATTTTTTGGCTTCTTTACAAACTCAGGAGTTAGAAGGACTTTGATTTCGTTGGTTTTCCTGGTCTTTCCATTCAGGATGTCCTCGATAACATCTTTCATACACATTCCAACATAAAGACTGAATTAATCACGGCCAATAGGATTTAACAAGTTAGGACGAATGTCTGCCTGTAGAGACCTCTGGTTGATTTATCTTCTGTTTAGACTCAGTAGCTTGATGCTCGCTCAGGAAGAGTGTTAAAGGTTTAAAAATGTGACATATAATTTGGAAGAGGAAATAAAACATCGCCATTTTTCTGCACTAACCTTTAGCAATGGGGAGAGGTCACAGATCTAATATTTGCTCGGGGATAAATCACATAAATCTTCGCAGGAGTGTGTCACGGGGAGAATGTGCCCGGGGAAACTGGATTCTGAGCGAATAAAACATTTGGGTAACAGAGAGCGCTGAGCGGGCTCGCAGGAGATGGATGGTTCTGAGAAAGCTCAGAGATACGATCAATCCAAGAGGATTGCATCCTCCAGCGATGTCCTTGTTGAGGATCATGTTCTATTTTTTTCTCCTGCTGCTGCAGTTTTTCCCAAAAATGTGCCACCTGCTCGGATCTGAACCACTTTTCAAAGTAAAACTACCTCAGCTGAAGAAGAGACAACTCCAGACTTACCTTTTCCATTTTTTGGTATGGCATTGGGAGAAAACTCTTTGCTCTTCCTTTTGGGAATTACCACCTCATCTTCATAGTCCTCTTCATAGTCCTGCGCCAAGAGACCTTGAAGCCCCCACAATAGCAGGAGCCAGTGCAGTGAGGGGACCATGACTTCCCTGAGGAGGAAAGAGGAGACAGAGATGAATAAAAAAAGAATCTAGACATGTCCTCAGATTTTAATACCACCATAAAATGTTGCAGACACTCAGAGAACAAGCTTTAACAAGCGCTGAGTGCAACACTCAGGCGTCAGGCATGCAAAACTCACAATGCTGCTGCTGACTTAGGTCTCCAATGGGTTCACCTTTACAAAGCTGCCCTCCAAGTGAAGTAATTCAGGTGAAAGTGCAAAAAAAAAGTGAGAAATTCTTCATTAAGGTTCAGTTTAAATCCATGCCCTGAGCATCAATTTAGGATCCCGTTCTGCTGGATTTTAGCCGGGGATCTGCAGGTCAAGAAGTCACCTTGTCGCCACAGCAGCAGGAGTGCGTTGCCAAAAGTTTAGACTGTACACTGGCTCTCATGAGACTCAATTTCAAGCCATTCAAAGCGTGCAGTAAGTGAAGGCAGGTCCAGCCCTTTCTGAAACTCCCATTTTTTTTGGAGGGGGAAAGAGGGAGGGCTGTCTGGGGAGACAGAGTAATTCCCCCTTTTTTTAAGAGAGTGTCACTTTTACTTTGTTTGCCATGCTATAAAAAATGTTTGCAACTTGTTCTGGAGTAACCGCCAGCTTATTAGCTCGATGTCTTCTGTTTGCAGGTGGATTGCATGTTTTTTTTTATTGAATTCTTTTAAACCTCCATTATTGATTGAAAAACATTCATTATGTTTTCTTTAATTGTCCCGTCACAAACCTCGCCCTCCGGATAATCCAAATAAGTGGAAAACTTTGAGTAAGGGATTCGTACCCTAAGGCAGCACACCTTGCAGGAGCAGCGTGCCACGGTTCACCTGTGAAAACACTTGAAGCAGGCGTTTGTTTTGTCTCCGTCTCAGCGGGGTTCGCTTTAATTTTCCACGTTAAAAGCGAAACAGTTATTTCCTTCTGTGCTGCACATTATTTATTCTTTACATCTGAAATAGAAGGTGGGTTCCTTCAAAGGCGGATGTAAAACGGCTATAACAGCCCTTTTCTTCTCCAGAATCAGTCCACCTTTTTATTAAAACCGGGTGTGTGTCCTTTTCAACACCAAAGTGAGCTCTCACAGCTCTAATCTTATTATGATTCCTATGTAGTCCTGGATCAGAGGAGTCTTAACATCCCACGAGACTGTCTGCAACCATAAAAGCTCGAACAGGAATCACATAACTCTGCAACAGGGATGACGGCGTGTGTTTTTATTACCTACTGTATTACAGAAAAGCAAGGAAAGGTGAGCTGTCACTCAGGAATGCACAATCTGAAAGATGGAGATGAATCTGGTTTGGCTGTCTTTGCTCGGTGTGGAGAGCTGATTTAGCAAAAAACACGATTTTCACTGCAAAGCTACACAACCAAAGTCCAATATAAGCTCTCAGTAAAAGGTGTGTGGTAAAAAGAGAGGATGTAACTCTTTCTTTTATGGCACAAGGGAAGCCACCACTTATCGCTTTGATTCCCACGAACCCCTCCAGGTTTCTTTCCTGTGACATTTGTTTAACCACTGCTGTTAAAAGTTAATGCCGATCCTTCAACGAGTATTTACAACGTGACTGACATCACTGTCTGTTTATTTCTACAGTGTAAATAACAAATCATATGTAGGGTTGTGAGGTAGGTAGATGACAGACGCAGCGAAGACGTTATTGCATAGCTGCCGTGGCGTACCACAGGGGTCTGTTACTGGCTTCCCTCTACTTTAACGTAGCGTTTTATAAGCTGCAAAAAACAAACAAACAAAAAAAACTGATGTGTACTTTAGTTAGCTGTCATTTCTTTGTATCTTAAAGACAAGCTTTCTGAAGCGACCGTGTTAGCAGCTATGCTAGGCTACTTAGCCAAAGTGGTTGGGCGAAGTGTTGAAACCAGCAAGCTAAGACACTCAGACACTGAATTAGCGCACTGGTTTATTATGCCCACTATGTTCGCTTAGCGTGTTAACAAACCTGCTAATTAACTGGTATATTAAAGGTGGGGTAGGCAGGAATCCGTTTAAGAAGCTTTTTTTGTGTGTTTGAACAACAAAGCTTCTAATACCAGTCAATAGCTATTAGTTATTAGTAATATAATAATATCGCCGTGTTTTCTTATGTCTGTGTAGTCGACATTTTACATTTTTTGAGTGCTCCGCTCTTTCTGACTGTAAACAAAACTCTTCTCCACCTCCCCAACCTGATTGGTTGTGAGGCGGACGCTGCTCCTTAGTGCTGATTGGTTGTGAGGCAGACGCTGCTCCCCCATGTTGTTCACGAGCCCAAACAAAGTTAGCGTGCTACAAAATCGGACAGTAGAAACCAACCAGAAAGTACAGAAAATTGTCTGAATCCTCCTTTGGCCACGACTGCCGACACAAGCAAGAAAACAAAGTAAATACAGGAGACTCTGCTGGAATAACGACATTTAAAAAGGAGGTAGACCGGACAAGAGCTAAAAAGCCGGGTCAACACAAAATGATGGGGGACGCTTTGTCTCCTAAGAAATGGCACTTCCTCAAATCCTAACTACCTCACCTTTAACTAGCTTAATGATTATCTATCTCAGAGTTAGCTCTAAACGCAAGAATTTTAAAAAAATGGAGAATGGCTAACCATCAAAATGAGTCACAAATTACAATATATGCAATCAGTCGTTAGCGTTAGCATGCTAACTCACTGATAACATATCCCAACATGTTGTCATTCAATGTTTTAAATATTTACCATGAAGTTTGGCTGTTTAGGAACTGTTAGCTAAATTACCGAAAGAACCAAATTCTTATCTTGCTAGCATTAGGGATGTGCATGTTTAGTTAAAACAAGTCATGGTTGTCACACTAGCTTATTGACACTAGAATTACTATTTAGTTAAACAAATTATCCATATCTCAATTACAGCTTCAGTAGGGAATTTTTTTGACAATTACGCTTTAAGACTAAAACTGATATCATTATTTTATATTGTAAACAAAAACAAACAAGACCAGCGGTGACAAAACTGACGATTTCTGCGTTCTAACTTTTATTGCTTGAAATAATTGCGAGGGGTCAACCCTGTTTTTTCATTATTCACTTAAAATAGGGATTCATCACTACAGCTGAGCATGAGAACACTAGCTATTACTCAAAAGTTACCTAGGGGGGCTTTAAATTCCAGCACTGAATCCAATGTAAATGTTCGACATGTGTCCGCATTTGATTAAAAATGATGAAAGGATCAGGTAAGATGTAACAACCCATCCTGAGGGAGACATGCATTTCTGCGCCAATTTCATGGCACATCTCATTCCCCTCCAGGGATGATTTAAGTACAAACTTTCATGACTGTAAATGTAATTATGTTTCAAAGATATCAGAGCCAAGAATTGCTCGAGGTCATGCTGCTAACCAACAAAACCTAACAAACACTGTTTTTCGATTAACCATGTGGAGCTCTCTCTCATTAGCTTCGAGGTTTTTGCTGAGAAGTCTTGATTCCCCCCCCCCCCCTCACATGTATTGCATGGAGCATGTCTGTTGAAGGTCAAAGGCCGCCTGCTGTCAAACTGTCAGAGGCATGACCAAGGGGGACCATGCGAAACCTGACAGAGACAATGCGCAGGTCAGGCGTGGCAGTTTGATAGGAAACATTCGCAGGAGTTTGAATGAAGGTTACCGTCGTGTAGTCACAGATTCCACCGATCATCCCTCTTGTGGATTTGAACCTTTCTAATGACAGATGAAGCTGAAGCTGATTTAAAGCTGTAAACACATTGGCATCTGCTGCATTTGATCCTGCTGAGGAACATGTCCATTCATGCGCCACACTGATGGGAGCACATTGAGGTCGATCACTGTAGCTACAGTAACTGCAACACAAGCACAATCTTTCTAAACACACGGAAACTTTCTGAGGAAACTTTGCCAAGTGACCTTAAAGTTGCTCCGTTAACTACAAGGCGACTTCATAAAAAATATATAGTCCAGTTTTGACATTAAGTTACATTAAGAGTGATGACATTCTGTGTCAACTCTTGCATTAGCCTGTAATAGTCCAACAACAGACCACAAAAGCCTGGCAACACAAAGTGCTCTCAGACGTCGCTCATCAGACGGTACTTAAGGGCACGCTCAGAGTGCTTAATGCAAATATGTGGTGTTTTCACAGACAAATACAGACTAGCAGAGATGCAAAAACGCCTGCAGAGAGGCATGTGGTCAGGAGGAGGTTCAGTCACTTACTGTATAATCAGAAATACCTCAAGGTTGAATCTAAAAACAATCAGATAGGAATACAAAGGCTGTGGCTGAAACTTTTTGATTTGTACCCTAAATAACAGCTTTACTCCAGCGGGCTACATCTGAGTAACTCAAAAATAAAGATCATTTCTGACACTTCTGCATTTCATTAAAGCTTGACAGTCAAACTTGCTCTCAAGGAAAGAAAAATCTCTAAAGGACGTGTATCAATGTTGGACGAACATCCTTAATTTCCAGATTTGCATTAATGTAAATACAAATAGGTGCAATATGATGCTTTAAACTAATGCAAATAGATGATTGGAGTGTCTGTTAAAAAGAAACACATGCATGTACCTGCACAACACCACCAGCCAGACCGGTCATGTCTCTATTGGAACACTAGCGCCCTCTCGTGGAGATATACTGGAATTACTTATCTAGGCTCACAATGAACACAAGTGCTATAACTGAAGTGTGACATAATGTGCATCAATTGTTGACATCATGTCCTCTGTATCAGTCTCCACAGGAAAGTGTTTTTCCACTCATTTTATCCCTATACTTACTTGTAAAAAGTGCAAAAACAGCAAAATAAATACTGAAATATTTGATTACTTTACAAAAACAGGCATATTTTAACTTTGATACAAGAACATATTTCAATAAAATTGGGACAAAACCCTGAAAAATGCAAAAAGAATCAACAAGAAGATCTTCTTCCGACTAATCAGCGGAATTTGCAACAGGTTAGCAGCATAACTGGATGTACAAAAGGTGTCCATGAGCAGCAGTTCTTAACTGGTCTCACTCTGGGACCCACTTTTTCAAATGGTCCTTAAGTCGCGACCCACTTTTATAAAATTCAAACCAAGCAAATTAATTTTTGTTGATAAAAATAACCTTTAAAACTCTAATCTTTAACATAAATACACCCATTTTATTGAGTAAAGTGCATTTCTGAGCGCATGAACCGAGGACGACAACCACTGAAGTTGCATATACAGAAAATATCTGGTATCGAATTGCACAAAATAAAGACCAAAAAAGAAAACCAATGTGTTTTTACTACATTCAGACCAAATTAATAAGAAACCAATGAGGTCCACGACATAACGTGTGCCTTTCAAAATTAACTATTTAAAAAAAAAAAAAAAAAAAAAAAGACATGTCAAACATCAGATGTGCATGAAATATTTACTTTTTTGACCAGCTGAAAATCCAGAACGTGTCCACGACCTACTTTTGGGTCAGGACCCACCAGTTGAGAACCACTGTCCCAGAGAGGCTGAGTCTATTGGAAGTACACATAATTAAGAGATTTCATTATCTACAGTACATGGTGTTATTTTAAGCTGCATTAAAAACAGACATGACTCTGTAGTGGAAATCTCTGCACAAGCTTAAAAATCACTGTCTGTGAACACTGTTTGTTGCTGCATTTAAAAAAACAGGTTATAACTGGACTTTACAAAGAGGAAACCACATGTTGACATGATCCAGAAACACTGATGAATGCTCAGGACCTGAGATCAGCTTTCATAAGGACACAAATGCAGTAATTTTAGCTCATGAATTCATCATTTGAAGTTAGTGTTGTGTCGTTCATGAACGATTCATTCATAAGAACCAAAACTTTTAAGTGAACGTACCGAACCAAATCACTTCCTCGAGTGATTTCTTCGTTTCACACTTCAGGTTGAGCTGAAGTGAGAATCAGCATTGCCAGGCCAACGAGGGACCACATGCACTGACGCCTGAATCACGCATTGAACTACACCCTCTGGAATCATTTTTGTCTGACAAAACTAGCTTTTTTTTCACTGCTAAATTGCCACCACAACAGTTTGCATACAATAGGACACAGCATGTAACAAGTAGTGCATTAAACCTGCAGCATCCTATCATTACAACAGTTTGTGAGGAAACGGTGCATGTTCACGAAAAATCACTCACTGACCCCAATTTGACCTGGTAAATAGCATACCACAGGACAGTACACTTAACACACCATGACTTATATACAAACTCCTTTTCTACAAACCTGTTTGTCAAAACAACACAGACAAACACTCGTCTCCTGGTCCCAGAAGCTTTGAATTGAACTGAATCCTGAACCGTTCATCTGTGTATCCGTTCAGGGGGTCGTAGTCGCAGGCTCCTCCCGCTGAAAGATTTGGTGATTTGTTGAATGAATCTTTTTAGTGAACTGATTCTAGTGATTCAGTACATGTAAAAGAACTGCAGTGCCCATCACCATTTGAAGTGTAATCAACTGCACTTTAAAAAACAAGAGGGAGATAATGGATCCAAACTCAACCCTGCATTCATGTTGACATATGAACCACAGCCGATTCAAACACCCCAAATTTCATCTTTCCTGGGAATAAAGGTTGACAGGTAAAGCAGGCACTTAAGGACTCAGGTTTTGCACTCAAAGTTTCTGGGTTACACTGGAAAACTTGACCCCCTTCACCTGGGACATTGTGTCCAAACGGGTCAGTGTCCCAGCAGGGGCGTCTGAACCATCTGTTTCCGTGTCAGTGTAAAATAACTAAAGTCCTGGTTTCAGTGGAGGGTTATACTCTGTGTTACCTTCTGTTAAGACTGCCATTACACCGTCACATTTGCTCCCAAACAGGCCAACTCTGGAGGGCAGACTCATGGCAGAAAGTCAGCTGAAACTATCCCCATCTACGCATGCTCAGTTACGTTTCGCGCCTGCGCACTCCCCCGTCCGCGGCCATTCATTATAAAGCCGCAGGTTTCTCCGTCTCTTTCCACCTTCAGCCATTTTGACAATGTTAGGAGCTGTGGGACGCTGCTGCACCGGGGCTCTGCAGGCTCTCAAGCCTGGGGTCCAGCCCCTGAAGGCCCTTGTAGGATCCCCAGCTGTCCTTTCACGTGAGTTTTAAACGCTTTTTTGCTCTTGTGTGTGAAACTGTTTGGAGAAATGAGGAGTTTAAGCGCCTGTCAGGGAAGGGCAGGGAGGATGCTAACGTTAGCAACACGCTGGCTGCGCCGCTGCTGCAGGCCGTAACATATAAATGTCACATTTAAAACCTTTAAAAGCTTTCTAAAACATTCATATTGATATATTTGTGTGTATATGCTGTTAATAACAGATGTCATATAGTAGATAGAGGCTGTGTTGTGTAGTTGTCGTGCTGGCAGGAATGACCTTTCTAATGACATGAGGTGTGGAGGACTGTGCACAGGCTGCTAGGTTAGCATTACAAGCTGCGTTTGAGTCATGCCAGCCTATCAGATCGGGAAGGTCATGTGTTTTTATGCAAAACGTGTTAAAATGCATTAAAATCACGGTAATGTTAAAAGCTTGAAGATGCAAACTTGTCTGCCATTGAACGTCCTGTCTTTAGCATTAGCATTAGCTCAAAGTCAGCTCCATTCAAACTCCAAGTGGAAAAGACGCGATTAAAAGTGATTTATATTCCACATAAACACGTTTTTAGACCTTTAACATCACTGTGGTTGTTATTATACTTTAGTTTTTGTGCTAATTTTTCTCTGTGACCATAAATTCTTCGTGACATTGAGGTTTGGCGTCAGCTGTCCTGCAGCTTTATCCGCTATTTTCAGCTTACTTTGTAGACTTTAAACACTCTGAGTTTATTCCTGCTGCACCATGAAGTGACTCTGACTCTAATGCATGCTGTGTGCGTGTGTCTGTTTTGGATCCACAGGTAGAGACTATGTCGCACCTGCCGCAGCAGCCGCCACCGCCACCGGCCGCATTGTGGCCGTCATCGGTGCCGTCGTCGACGTCCAGTTCGATGAAGGCCTCCCTCCCATCCTCAACGCCCTGGAGGTGACCGGCCGCGATTCCAGGCTAGTCCTGGAGGTGGCCCAGCATCTTGGTAAGCAGCTGAGGTCATATCTGATCTGAAACCCAACATAATTCTGGATTTATCCAAGTGTTTGTACAACAACATGAGTCCAAAACAGTGATATTCTGTCTTGTTTTTAGGGGAGAACACAGTGCGTACCATTGCTATGGATGGTACCGAGGGTCTGGTCCGTGGGCAGGGGGTTCTGGACACTGGCGCCCCCATCAGAATCCCAGTGGGCCCCGAGACCCTGGGCAGGATTATGAATGTCATCGGCGAGCCCATCGATGAGAGGGGTCCCATCTCCACCAAGCAGTGAGTAATCGTTGACATTAACGTTGATGTATAGGTTCAGTTATGACTTCATGACTGATAATGAGTTCCTTCTTTTTACTCAGGACCGCCCCCATCCACGCTGAGGCCCCTGAATTCACTGACATGAGTGTAGAGCAGGAGATTCTGGTCACTGGTATCAAGGTTGTGGACCTGCTGGCCCCCTACGCCAAGGGAGGAAAGATCGGTATGTGTGTGAGCGTAAATATCTCTGCTGTAACATCAGATGACGTCCCCCTTTTTTAATTAATCTCGCTCGTGCTTTCAGGTCTGTTCGGTGGTGCTGGTGTGGGCAAGACTGTGTTGATCATGGAGCTGATCAACAACGTGGCTAAGGCCCATGGTGGTTACTCTGTGTTTGCCGGTGTGGGCGAGCGTACCCGTGAGGGAAACGACTTGTACCATGAAATGATTGAGTCTGGTGTCATCAACCTGAAGGACACCACCTCCAAGGTGAGGACATGTCCAACTTGAAGACACTTCTAACTTAAGCAAACCATGGAAATGTCTCTCCTTGCATCCTGGACTTACATCACTTCTTGATCTTGCTAGGTGGCGCTGGTGTACGGACAGATGAACGAGCCCCCAGGTGCTCGTGCCAGAGTCGCTCTGACCGGACTGACCGTGGCCGAGTACTTCCGTGACCAGGAGGGTCAGGATGTGCTTCTCTTCATCGACAACATCTTCCGCTTCACACAGGCTGGCTCTGAGGTCAGTAACTCGTCATCATCATGTCCATAAAGCGACGTCACAGGGGCTCGGATATATTTGTAAACAAACATGACACTTGTTCTCAAATATACTCTTTTAGGTGTCTGCCCTGCTGGGTCGTATCCCCTCTGCTGTGGGTTATCAGCCCACTCTGGCCACTGACATGGGTACCATGCAGGAGAGAATCACCACCACAAAGAAGGGTTCAATCACATCTGTGCAGGTAAACAAACACCAAGGATTTAAGCTGCTTTGGGCTGAATGTCAATACTGGCAACAGTGGACAGGGCTTCTAGAGTATGTCAAGTTGACTAAACTAACCAGGTAATTTCTCCTCTAGGCCATCTATGTGCCCGCTGACGATTTGACTGACCCTGCTCCCGCCACCACCTTCGCTCACTTGGACGCCACCACTGTGCTGTCCCGTGCTATTGCTGAGCTGGGTATCTACCCCGCCGTCGACCCCCTGGATTCCACCTCCCGTATCATGGACCCCAACATCGTGGGATCAGAGCACTACGACGTCGCCCGTGGCGTGCAGAAAATCCTCCAGGTTTGGACTTTGAAGTTTTTATGTTTTTAAAATCTTCTTCTTTTTGGACATAAAGGCTGATCAGTTTCCTCTTCTTCTCCAGGACTACAAATCCCTGCAGGATATCATTGCCATCTTGGGTATGGATGAGTTGTCTGAGGAGGATAAACTGACCGTGGCCCGCGCCCGTAAGATCCAGCGTTTCCTGTCCCAGCCCTTCCAGGTGGCTGAGGTCTTCACAGGCCACTTGGGCAAGCTGGTGCCCCTCAAAGAGACCATCAAAGGTTTCCAGTCCATCCTGGGTGGTAAGTTTGTTTAAACCTGTGGCTCATCTTTTTCCCCGTTCCTCTTCTCAGAGCTGATTTAACCCCTCGCTTCTCTTTTCGCCCTGCAGGTGAGTACGATGCTCTCCCCGAACAGGCCTTCTACATGGTGGGCCCCATCGAGGAGGTCGTCCAGAAGGCCGAGAAGCTCGCCGAGGAGCACTCAGGCTAAACAATCTAACTGTGGGGAGAAACGGAGAAGGGGTTCTGTGGTTAGGAGCACTTGGTTTGTAAAACATGTCAAAAAATTCAAAATGTACCTGTCTCGTCATCCTGAAAGAAAGTTCTATTTAATGTTTCCAATGGAAGATGGAATAAAACACTGTCTTTACACCAAACAGCTTGTCAACTGTATATTTCCTGTAGGCCTTTAAATAGCTGTAGAGCCTTTTTCCTGATGGGAGGGGGGGGACTCATGATAATGGCTGTCCTCATCTACTTTGACCACAAGGTGGCAGTGCTGAGCCGTGTAAGCTTTAATACTGTGTTGCAGCTTGTAACATGCTGAAATAAAACAGTGGACAAACAACTGGATGAGTGTTTGTTTCAACATACAAAGGTTTAGAAATATAATACAGGTCTGTGTGTAGAAGAACATGGAGACAGTGAAGGAAAGGAAGGTTATTAAACATGACTTGATATCCTTTAAAGTATCAATACGATGAAGGTCAAAGGTTCTTTTAAATAATAATTATACATTTTATTTGTACAGCGCTTTTTACAGGAGCTCAAAGACACGGTACAGAAAGTAAAAAACAAAAGTACAATGAGGCAAAGATTAATTCTTAGATGTGAGGGGTGGGATAATGGTGAGTTGGGGGGGTCATGTAATAAAAGCGAGTGTGAAAAAGTGGGTTTTGAGGGCAGATTTGAAGCCGCTGAGGTCCGTGCATTCATGGATGTATTTAGGGAGAGAGTTCCAGAGGGTGGGGATGGAGACACTGAAGGCCCGGTACCCCAGAGTACAGTGCTTGGTTTTGGTTCGGGGTGAGAGGAGGTTTGCGTCAGCTGAGCGGAGGGGGCGGTTCAGTGAGGTCAGACAGGTAGGCGGGGGCCAGGTCATGGAGGGACTTAAAGGTGAGGAGGAGGATCTTGAATTGAATTTGGTGGGCAACAGGAAGCTAGTGAAATTGACAGAGGACGGGAATGATGTGGTTGTATGGGCGGGTGCGGGTGAGAAGTCTAGTGGAGGGGAGACCGTAGAAGAGGCTATTGCAGTAGTCCAGTCTGGTGGTGATGAAAGAGTGTATTATACTCAACTCAACTCAACTCAACTTTATTTGTAGAGCACTTTAAAACAACCACAGCTGAACAAAGTGCTGTACATAACTAGACAAAACAACAAGATAAAAAACAATCAAGAAACAATTAAAACAATGGATAAAATAAAAGCAGAATTAAAAGTAAAATATAGTTTCAATGTTTTTAAAAACAAATTTAAAAACAGAAACAAATAACTAAAAACAAACAAAGTTTCTAAGATTAGGAAACTGGGGAGAAATCTCTGTATTAAGAGGGACGTGGCTGGACATCAATCATAGGTGGCTTATATTCCAACTTTGGCATGACTAAATTAAAAACAGACTAATCTTTGTAATGGAGGTCATTCCAATTAGCTCAAAATCCCGTCTAAAAACCACCTGTGAATGACCCAGAAATGCTTCCTATGGCCTGATCCCATCAATTTACACATCTAAATTTAACATATCATGTGCATTTGAGTCCCCACATCTTAAAAAAGTAGGGACCACCAGGATAGTTACTCGTATAGAGTTCAAAAGTTAGCATCAGTAATGGTATAAGGGTGTTGTGCTTCACACTTAAAACACATGGGACAAGAAAAACAGTCATCTTGTCGTTTTATATGTGTTAATTTTCAGCATTTGATAAAAATAAACCACTGAGTTTTAAGACATTTTTTAGATTATAGAGGAAAAAACGAGGGATTTGATGTTGATGATGATGATGATGATGTTGCGATAATGATATGTAAAGCTGTTAATCATCTAATTTGTGCTCATGAGTGATGTGTGAGAGAAGAAGTGTGTACACATGGAAGAGTCGTGGTCTGAAAATAGAGCCGAAGAAAACCCAGCATGAGTCATTCACTAAATCTGAGACGAATGTTCTGTTGGGCTGAGTAGGTCCAGGTTTCTAAGGTTCAGATCCCTAGAAACCGTCTCTTTGGTCCCACAAAACAAAAACACTTTGTCTTGAAAACCGACTTAGAATTGGGGCGAAACACTCGTTTGACAAAGTCCAGTCTGGATCGAGTTTATCACTTTACCTTTCACACACTGCTCTCCTCATGGCCGAGAACAGATTGAGCCTGCGGATAAGATTAGCTGAAAAAGAGCCACGATTTACCCGTTTATTTAGAGAGGGGACACAAACAGACTTCTTCAAACAAACTGTTTTTAATGTTGGTTACAAAAGTGTAAAACTCCGCTGTGATGGCGTTTGTTTTACTGCATCAAATCAGCGCGCTTCGATTCATGAATCTACTGTCGTGGTTTGGCGATAGGTATGGCCTCTTTGCCCATGAGGTAATCACTGACGCAGGACGGCATGTACGAGAGCGGCAGCCAGAAGAGCTTGGCGTCCCAGCCCGGAGAGTAACGAGTGCGTGGTCGGACGGCGGACACGGCGTGCTCCATACAGCTCACCACCTTCATCAGGTCTCCATCGCTGATCTTGGCGACTTTGTTGGATATAACGTCTAATGCTGGAAGCAAAATAAGGACATTTAGATGCGTTGACGTGCAGATGAAGTGAATCAAACCCAAAATAAAGCGAATAAATGTTTGAGTCTTACATTTTTGCAGATATTCAGGCCCGTAGTCGTCTTTGACCTCCTGGGGCAGTTTCTCCCACAGACTTTTGACGTTGTTGCTCAGGATGCCGACGTCCGTCACGTTAGTTTTGAAGAACCCCGGCTCGATGCAGAGGACTCTCACGCCAAACGGCTCCATATTTAACCTAAGTCCCAATTGTTTTATCACTGTTTGAGTGCAAAGTGCAAAACCTTCACATACTAACAAATAATTAATTTTCTGGGTTAATGTTTTACCTCAGACTGTCGTTGAAAGCCTCCACGCCATACTTGGAGACGGTGTATGGACCCCCTACTACGCTGATCCTCCCGAACACGCTGGCGACGTTCACCACCCGTCCCCTGGCCTTCTTGATGAGAGGAAGGACGCTCAGGGTCACGGCGATCACTCCGTTCAGGTTCACATCCAGCATGTATTTGAAGTCGTCGATGGTGAGCCAGTCGTTGGGGGCGGAGGGGACGGACACGCCGGCGTTGTTCACCACAGCCCACAAACCTTAGAGGGAACATGGAGGGTATCCAGTTAGCCAAACAAGCCGACACTAAAGCAGCACTTTGACCCTGATACTAGAGTCCAGTTTGGAGGTTAGTAGGTTCAAAATCAGACATTTGGCACACAGAGAGGTAACTCAACTTCTTGAACTTCATCTTCAGTGATCTACTGAAATCTTGTGATCATCATCCCTGAAGTTTAAGTCAGATTTAAAGTCCACAACTCACCCCGTTCCCCAACTTTGTCCTTGATCATCCCTGCGACTTTGGCGATGCTTTCCTTCGACCTGACATCCAAGTGCGTCGTCGTCAAGTTGCTGGAGCAGGATTTCTTCAGATCCTCTTCCCCTTTCTCGGTGAAACAAGCAGCGATGACTCTGAACCCCTGCTTGTCCAGATGGCGGGCCAGGAGGTTCCCGAAGCCGCTGTCGCAGCCCGTGATGTAAACATGCTTGCTGCCCTTGTCCGGGACCCTGGGCAGCTCCTTGACCCAGCGGTACAGGTAGTAGAAGACAACCAACCCCAGGAGGTACAGATACATGACTGCAGGAACAGAGGGGGAACTTTTACCTCCTCTCAGCACGGAGTTAAAGCCGCACTGAGCTGGGAGAGCCGCTGTGAGGCAATCCTGTGTTGTGTAAGGGGAAGATAAACTGATTGAGTACAGAGTGCAAATACTTTCCCTCACAGCTGTGAGAGAAATAAAGCTGCAACACAACTTCTCCTTGTCTCCCTCTGCCGGGTCTCAACTTAAAACCACACGGTGCCAACTCAGATCACTTACAATGGTGTTGATTAAATCTGGTTTATACTGAAACAGAACATGCGAACCCAACAGGACGTTATAAACTGCCTTACCTGTCGTGCAGAAGTTGTATAACTCACAGACTAAACAAAGAGAAGAGCTGCATGACCCCTTAGGTGTAGACGAGTATCACCTCTCTGCAGAGTAAAGAGTAACTGCTGCTGTCAGGAGTTTGGTTAAGGTGCCAAACCAGTAACTTAAAAGCTTCCTAGAATGAATGTTTCTTCAAACTTGATAAACTTTCTTTAAAAAGTCCAGATAAAGCAAATCCAGCAGCAGATTTATGATTAAAAAAACATGCTGTGAGAAAACAAACGAGTGTGTACTCACTGGTGTAGAAGACGGCGACTCTTTCCTCCTGAGAAAACTAGGTCACATATTTTCTTACATTTACATGCTTTAAAAAACCTCCTCTGACCCTTCAAACAGAAGCGAGCAGAGGTGGCTGTTTCCTTTTGTACTCGGTGTGCAGAGTCGAACTTGGACCTCCCGTTTCCATGAAGTGAAAGCAGCTGTGAACTCTTTTTTTTTTGTTGGAGATGGGAAACATGGAAAATTTCTGGACAGCTGCCTAAAACCAGCATAAGCAGAGCTAATGATAGACGGGAAACAGGCCGCTTCCTTCGTCCTCTTGTTATCTAAATGATAATGATGGTTTTAATCAGGATGAGGAACTCCTTAAGTCTGATTTTCTCTCACCTATTTCCAGTTTTGTCAGATATTTGGCGTCTCTATGGCTCTCCTGATCTGTTTATACCAGTATGAAAATGTCCAAATACCGGTATCAAGGCGTGAGCGAAGGGTCATCCTGCTTTTCTTCATTTTGTCACAAGATGGCAGCATTGTTGTTTGACAAATAAACCTCCGACTCACCAGGTTCTGCCTTTGACCGCTCCTTCAGGGACGTTTTTCAACAGTAATAATGTGATAAACGCCAAATAAAGGAGAAATCCTTGTATTGGATGCAGTAGAGGGCAGTAACACCACAGACTGAGTCACTAAATCATCCAAATATGCAGTTAAATAAACTCTAACTCAATCTAAAGTAATAAAAAATACACTTTTAAAGCATATAGTAGTACTGTTTCACATGTTAAAAGATAATTCTTCACCTAGTTTGTGTTTAAAAGACTCGGAAATTACAACAATTTTAACAAACTGTCTTTTCCTTCAAAGTGTTTGAAATTCCTGACCGCACTTGAACGCATCAGTGCATGACCTCCAGTTCATCGCCACCACCGAGCAGCCTGTTGTTTTCATGTGTGATCCAGTTGGCCAAATCGTCCGTATAATGGGACGAGAGGGTCAGATTAGAGGGCCGAACTGAGACTGAAGGCTCATTAATGAAACGGCTAATTGAACTTAAATGTGGGTCTGATTCACTCGAACTTTAAGAGTTAAAAACAGTCAAAACTGGGTATGATCTTTGGGTAAATAGGGGCTCTCATGATCCAAACAAACAGGCCATATTTCAGTTTTAATATTCTCAGACAGTCAGTGATGTTTTTTCAACGTCTCCCTGTGTTAATTGAGGTCTGCTGGCATTTAAATTTACAGAGAGAGAGAGAAAAAAAAGCACTTAGTTTTCCGATTAAAAATGATGGTGGAGGGAAAAATAATCACAATCTTAAAGCTGTTTGCCTCGAGGGGAAGAAGAAGAAGACGGTCCTAAATGAGTTTGCTTCGAGGTAAAGGAGGAGGCTGGAGCGTGGAGCCTGTTAAAGCTGACCGGGAAGCTGGAGAAGAAGGGCAACAACCTCGAGGACAAAACGCTCAGATGTCAACACACTGTCTCCACTCACGCTTCAATACAGAGCAGAAAAAAACAGTGAATTCTGCAGCGAGATGGCACTCCTGATGAAGAGGTGGTTATTTCAGGATACTGTTGAATAATCAGACAAAATGGAGCAGAAGGAAAAGTGGGTAAGGGTCAGGAGGTTAAAAGTAAAACTGCTGCCAATGGCTGCTAAGCAACAGCGTTTCATAGAGTTAAAAATTAAAGCAGATAAAGGATCCGAGAGTGACACTGCAGAGAAGCACCAAGCATAACAAACACTTGTCCTGTACTTCACATAAACACTGAGAGTGGTTCGTTTTTTAAAAGGAAGCTGCTAATGTGAGTTAAAGGGATATTCAGGCGTAAAACTAATTCAGGGTCAAACACATTTCTTCATTTCTTCATGGAAACACCATCATGGTGAGTTGTGTTTAGTCTCTTTGCTAAAGAAATTAGTCAAAGTTAAAAAGATGTTTGGTGGCTAGTACTATGGCTGGGACCCTATATGTCCTGTTGATGAAGTTAGGTGCTGTTCTGAGCATTATTTGTGGCTATAAAGTGGCGTTTTGGTTGAGGTTTGTTTACGGCTCCTCAGACTGCTGTGTTTTGCTATTGTGCGGTCGTTACTAAAGTTGGTATAAGTAGAAAAGCAAGCGGTCGGCAACATTCATCTCTTTCTCTCTTTTTTTTAGCTTTTCTGAGCATTTTGCAGCGTACAGGTGAAGCTTGTTGTTGATCCAAACCAGCTCTATTTGGCTTTCATATCAAGTCGGAGTTTGAGCAGGAGAATGAGTCAGAAGATACTCGAAGGACAGTGTAGCAATCAAGACAACCCTGGGTGTGAATCTCACACATTCCTCACAGGAAAGTTTCCTTATCTGGTCCCAGGAAACAGGATATAAATCTTTCCAGACTTGTTTACACTTTCAGGTTAAATAAGTGACCCAGCCTGAGGTTGACTAAACCTCTGACTCTTCACGATTGGTCAATTCGGAGAACAGAGACAGAGTTTATATTACCTTTTAAACTGACTCCATTACTGACCATCTAAATAAACATTAACGTCTCAACCCAGATCTCCCATTTGAGATTTACCACGTTAAAGTGTGTGAACATACGGACCCCAGGAAAAGGGGGGGGGGACACTGACCTCCAGACCTCGGTCGTAAAACCCTGCTCGACCATACACTGATAAAGACTGCATTCCTTTGGTGAAAGAATACAAATGACTGATCATGACATCTTATGCATTCAGCAATGTACTAATCTGTCTAATCATGAAATTTGTGTTAAAATGAGATGTTTCCCCTTTTTCTATGTGCTTCAGAAGCCAAATTATCACTCCCGATATCTTTAGACCAACAGCTTTTCAGACTGTTTCATGAACTTTTAAGAGTTAAATTTATTGACTCTGAATCAAAACTTTACTCTATGAACACAGAAATAGTTTAGAAATGTTTGGTTTATATTTTAGTTGTTTATTTAGTATTTTTAACTATTAGGTGGTTATGATGTCATTGAATAACCTTAATGTGAGTGTTTAGAATCCATTATTAATCATGATGAAGTTCATTCACATGTGTTTACTCTTTTGTTGTTCACAGTTTCCATGTGTTACTATCTGTTTCATTTCAGAGTAATTTAGCATGTTCAATGTGATACTTAAAACATAATGAGAATGTTTGATGTGATCCTACACTTCATTCATATGTGTTTAGTATCAAATTATTTATCATGAAACCAAACATTCAATGATATTAATCATAGTGAGTGAGTATCAGATCGGACTCTTTTACCAGCCAAAAGAATAAGTTAGATCAAATAATCAGAGATCCGAGTTCATCTCTGCTTGGAGATCACACGACCCTCCTCCTCCTTCTCCTCACACACACATGCCGGAGACACTCCCAGTGTGAGAAGATAAAATCAGTGAAGTGGGGTTGCTCACGCTCTTGTGTGCTGACTCTTCTCCCCTTTTTCTCTTCTGCTGACGCTCTTGTCCATCGCTTCCTTCCTCTCTTGTACCCTCTCTTCTGCCCACACCCTTCTGTGGTGCGTTTCTTTATTTTCTCTTAGAACTTTTTCTTAGTCTTCTAAGTTTTACGCCACGTGTTGATTCACGTTGATTTTTCTTTAACATCGTCTTAGTTCAAGTTTTGAAACTTCAACTTTTTGTGCGCATAGCGATTCAAGATTAAGCCTTTGATTGATTTTTCTTTAATTTCGCGAAGCCATTTTTGAAAGTTTTCTCTGCTCGAGTCTCGGTTTTCTGAGTTAGCTGCGTGATTTTCAAAGTCACCTCTGAACGCAACCCAGCAGGCCCAGGTCATCCTCTGTGCCAGAGTTTTTTTGAGTGAGACCAAAGAAGTACCCAAACGAGCATCCACAGGATCCACAGGCGCTGGCTTTGCTTCGGGCCCGAGTGCTGCAACTCCTGGCCCACCCTTCGGCTGACTTCAGTCGTCTTCTGAGCTGAACCGCTCGAACCGCCAGTAGCCTCGGACCTTCGGAACCTGCTCCATCTTCTCCAAGGACCAGTCTCACTTAAGTATGCAAACCTCCAGAGCTCTAAAGAGGGCTGGTGCTGTCTCATGCGTTCATAACTCAGATATCCTCTTATTCTGGTAATCTTAGATTCCTCCAAATCCACGTCCGAGTTTATCTCGACACCAAAGTTAGTGTAGGTTAATATGTTAGCGCATATTCACTTTATTATCTTTATTTATTCACCTATTATTATTTATCCTCATTATCTTATCATCATTTATTGCATGTGTGTTGTACCATCATTTATCCTGTAATAAACAGATCATTATTTTTCTAAGTTCTTGTCTGTTAGTGTTCTTCCAGAAGTGGAGTCCCTGAAATTAGAATTTCGACTTAAGATATGAGACTGATTAATTAAAACTGACTTGATGTTTGATTTCTGAATTAAACTTTAGTTTCCTTTATTTTCCCACCATTAAGGGTGGGAAAAAAAGGGTTCAACGAGTGCATAAATGTCCTAATTTGAGATTATTAATCTTCAGACATTTATTATAAATTCCAATCGCTACAGTATTATTTTGGTGCGGCCTTGTGAGGCTCATTTCGAATGGCTACAACAGAGAAATCGACACGAAAAGCATAAAAGTATTATTTTCTTTCTTCGAAATGCGGCTTTATTGACAATAGAGGGGAAAAAACTTGATGACCTTCAGTACTTTGCATTGCATGTACTTTATATTGTGACCAGCCGATCGACACACGCTGATGTATTAATGAGAAGAAAAACTCATAACTCTGAACTAGAATTGAAATAAAAACAGGGTTCTAACTCTGTGTTACGGTGTGTTTGACCCTTAATTAATTTTACGCTGGAATATCCCTTTAACTCTTTTAAAACTGTCCTTTTGTCTAACTCATAGTAGTATTACACCCTGACTTATTCAACACGCTGGTTTTATAATACATTTAAAAGCATATGAGATTTAAGAACCATGAAGTCACTTTTAACTCGAAGTGTGACATTACGCTCGGTATAAACAGAGACACCACACGGCGATTCGGCCTACTTTATCCTGGAATTCTATCCATACATACTTAATCTCAAGATTTTGTTGATATTTTCACCCTTTCTTTGCTATTATCTGATAACGGCGTTGACACAGCGGGGATCTGACACACTTAAATAACACTTTCATTCTCATTACGGCGCCTGCCATGTTTGGCCTTGAAGACGTTTCTTGTGATACAGCGGGAACGTTGTGTAAAAGTCCCAGATGTGATTGAAGCGGTTAAGTCAAATGTGCAAAAAGCCTCTCTTTGGAGTCGAGCCATTGTTATGAGTTGTTGGTCCTTGAAAGCCTGCCTGAGGAACAGCTTGTTCTATCTAAAGCTTTTCAGCAGCACTTAAATCATAATAATCCCCCCAGATCAGACTCGGTGAAAGAAGTCCTGTCTTTAGCGGGAACACTTAGTCTTTATCAGCAGATTCGTTTTTCGCTTTTTCCTTTTATGCAAACTCTGAATGTTGGAGTTAGCTTTTATTTTGAAGGTTTTAGAGAAGATACAAATAATTTATTTTAGAGTTAAATTTTGGAAAAAGTTTTAAACTGGTTTCTCAAAGTTTTACATTAACAAAAATCCCTCTTAGTTGAGACCTTGTGCTCTTGAACCTGCAGCCTTTGTTGCCATAGACCACAAAGTTTGATTAAACGGATAGAGAAGAGGTTTCTAAAACTGACTTAAAATTGTTAAAATATTATCTACATCTCTTATTTTTGAACTGTAAAGTCTGGCGTCCCTCAGGGCTCTGTTTTAGGTCCTATTTTATTCTTCTTATTCATGCGTCCACTTAACAAGCATGAGGTTTAATTGCGTTTTAAAGTGTTTTATACTCAGTCTGATAGACAAGTCTCTAAAAATGTCCTGTTTTCAAGCATATTTTATCAAGTCTAAATATTTTGAAAATTCGGTTCATGTGAACTTTTAAAGTCACAGAGATGATTTCTCGAGGTTTTATGTCATCACGCCTCGAGTAATGTCACAGCCTTTTAACCCGCCTGCACAAAAAAATCAATCTATTGACTCGGGACGGGTCTAGAAGTCAGCTGTAAGAGTTTTAACTAGAACCAAAAACATGATCATATCACTTCTGTTTTAAGCATCTTTACTCAGGCTTTAAATGGATTTTAAATCTGTTTAAATTTGTCTTATAAGTCTAACATGACTTTCTTTTGCTGTACAACATGAACACGAGTGTGATTATTTCAGGTGTTTGAAAGAAAAATTGTATGTATGTGTATTTTATCATTATATAAGTATGTTAGCTTGGTGTGAATGCTTGCAGAGTCATATCTGTTTCTTTTTAATGAGCACGGGAAAGGAGATGTATGGCCTTGGAGTTGGGACTGACACTTTTCCGCGGCTACATGAACGCTACAATTTCACTCGCGGGTTGTTTTCCCAACAGTGTGACATTGAACTGATAAGCAGGAACCTGATGATGAACTAAGCTGTCTTTGTCTTCCCAGTACAGACCAAAGCTGCAACCTGTGCCCTATTTGGATACTGTTGTAATGTCTTGCCACTTGTGAGATGATGTTAGTGGGCAGGGGTGTGTGTTTCTTGACTGCATAAAGGATAAAGTCAGAGGAAGCTGCCTTTGTTGTGAGCGGCTGACTCCTTGCAAGTAAAAGATATCCAAGAAAAAGAAGTCCACTATCTCTGTCGTTCTTCTCAGCTGCCTGCGAGTCAGATGCAGTTTAATTTTTCTGACGGTGTTACATAACCTCGATTTAAAGCCGCCACCTGTGAGGATACGACAGTCACCTTCTGCTTGCAGGGATGCAGAAACAGCGCAGAGCCTCTGTTAGAGAAATGTTTACCCGGCGGGGTCAGTGGCCTTCTCAGCAGCATAAACCGACAGGACACTTACCCTTAAACAAAACACTCTGACCCCGAGTTCCAACCACGCCAAATTCTGTTCAATTAGAGCACGTGAATCGCTCTCAAGGTACACAGAGTGGGATCCAACACCCAAGTGACAAGCCACAGAAACTACAACTGCATGTGGAGACACTGGACTTATCGCGGAGCTGTCGTCCCTGCTGCTTCGATTCATCAAACTGATGATTAGTTTGAATCCAAAATAAGATATTTTCTCTCATAAAAAGGAAACAAGTCGGTAAGTTTGACATTATTGGGTGTAATAAGCTTCTGCGAGGCTTAAGTATGGTTATCAAAAGATTTATTTTTTTGAGCTAAAAATAAAAGAAGCGCTCTCATGTGGGATTTGAATGTTGACGTGACAGTCGTAAACTAATTATTTTGCATCTGAACATCTGAAACCCGCTTCTTTTTGACTTTCCCAGATGAGTCGACATGCCGAGCGGATCGGTGAAGTTGCAAAGCATTAAAAAGCTGGGACAGGAAAACCAGAGCTTTGAGTTTTCAGATGAAGGTGAGGGATTAGTTCTTCAATTAGAGTTTTTTTTTTAAAAAGAGATGTAATCAGAGACAAAGAATAAATGTGTTAATTAAACGAAAAATGAAGCATATGTACTTAATTCTTGTGTTGCAGAACCAGCTGGATCCTATATGTAAGTATAAACATTTATATATTCATGATCCGTTAATAACTCTGTGTTAGAATAATGCGGTTAAATTAAATATGAAGGCCTCAGTGATTAAATAAGGATGTAAAATAAGTGTATTTGCTTGATTTCTATGACGCTATGAAAGTTCCCCCCGTTTCACTAGAAATGTAGTTGCTAGAAAGATCCACTATCTCTGCTGAGGTCAAGGACTCGGCACGTGCATTTCTTTTTTTCAACTTCCTGGTCGTTCAAAAGCGTTGAAAAAAAAGAAAAAACACTTCCAAGTGAGTCACTCTTTTATGATTCATGATCCTTTAATGAACCGGGAATTCAGACTAGTCGCCAGAAACAATTAAGTCCCTGAGAGTTAATGCGACAAGGTAACGCGTCATTACTTCTGTTGGCCCTGAAGGTCGTTACACGGCGATTTGAAGATGAGGAAACACGGCGGTGTGTTTTCTGTGTTGAAGCGTCCTTACTTGGTTGTGTTTGTCCGTACTTGGGTTCATTTCCTTTAGAGTTTGTCCTGTGTCCTCTTTTGCAGGTCGATGACAGCCTCCAAGGAGGATGAGAAGTGAGTAAAAAGTGGTTTCTGTAGAATTCACTTTGCAGGAAATCTGACTAACTGTGTTTTATTTTTACAGAGGGAAAGGAAAGGCAGAGGAACCAGCGATAAGAGTCGGCTTCTTCCAGCTGGTAAAAAAAACACTTTCCCAGTTCATATCTGATCTTGTAATCCTGATAAGCGTGTGATCTTTACACTCATGTGCGTCCAGTTCCGCTTCGCCACATGCGACGAGGTGCTGATGATGGTGATAGGCGGCGTGTGCGCGGTGTTGCACGGCTCGGCCCAGCCCCTCATGCTGCTGGTGTTCGGCCTGCTCACCGACACCTTCATCGAGTACGACATCGAGCTGAACGAGCTGTTGGACGAGAGGAAGGAGTGCGTGAACAACACCATCCAGTGGAAGAAGAACTACACCGAGGTGCTGGAGCAGAATCAGACCGGCTGGGGGCTCATGAACAACGCGACGTGGGAGATGCTGACGCCACTGAAGCCGAGGTCATGTGGGTGAGTTGGACTTCTCTTTTCACCAAATCCACGACAACAGTTTCAGTCCTTCTGTGGTTTTCAGATCTGGCATATTTCTTTCAGGATCCTCGACATTGAACATGAAATGACCCTCTTCGCCTTATATTACACTGGAATCGCGTTGGCTGTCTTCTTGCTGGGATACTTCCAGGTTGGTTTTAAAATCTCATTTCTGTCGCACAAAGCCTTTCATCTAAAATTAGATCACTGCGTGTCACTCTCTCATCTACTTCAAACCCAGTCAATTAGCATATGATGATTTGATCCTATCAGCTATGAAATACACCTCCTGCTTCACGGACAGGCTTTGTGCAGAAATGGTGCATGGCATTGGATCTCTGCATACAGTCACCTCTAGCTCTCTCTATTTGACTTTCTGGATGTTTTTCTTGAGATGCTAAGACAAAGCCAGAAACAAACCTCCAAAAAAAGGCTCCAAACTATCCAAACCACAGCTGATGGAGACCTCCCGTTAAAGAGATATTCCAGCGTAAAATTAAGTTAGTTAAGTTACACAAGTTACACGAGTTAGAGACCCCCTCGAGAGATGAATGTTGCCGACCGCTTGCTTCTCTAGTCATTCCAACTTTAGTAATGACCAGAGCTGTAGATTAAAACAGAGTGGCGACACTCCCATAGACATACGCTGTACAGCCCGGCGGACCCCACTTCCGGGTTATGGAACTCGTAATAGTTCCAACATGACCGCCTGTCACGTCGGACGCCGTTAGCTTCTATGGCCACAAGGCAAGCGCTCACCGAGGTTAAATGATAAAATATCAACAAGTTTAATTCCAATACATGTGTTATTGATATCGAGGGGACCCCTTTATATGTAAAAATGTATATCCCAAATGTAATTACGTTATTTTAGTCAGGAATTGGGATCGATTTTTTAGCCACGGCCTGCTAGCTGGACGTCGTCAGCTGTAGAGGCCTGCCAAAATCTATTGTGTGACTGAGTTATGAATCACAGATAAATCATCATCAATCATATGTTGAGATGGTTACTTATGGGCTTTATTTTAGATTTCAGCCTTTATCAGTTCCCGATGTTATATGCAGTTTATTCTTTTTAGACTAACATAAGTGCTATGTAATTTGATTTCTGCTTATGGGATGATAGAGTTAAGGGGCCGCTACTTTTTAAATCCTGTCAGCATTTAAGGCGTATGTTTAACATGGAAAAATGTTATGCAGGCCATGCTGCAAGACCAAAACATTGCACAATTGTTTAAACAGCTTGTAACACCTGTTACTTACCACTTTATTGTATTATTTTCTCTTATTAAAAAGTAACACGTGTTACCAAACTTGTCTTATTTCACTTTTATTTGTCATCCAGCCGCTAAATATACGTACGTGACTTTGACGTGTACACAGTAATCCAATAAGAGTTGCAAATGTTGACTTTTTACGGTTAATTTTAATATTTACCTCTTAAATGCGCGCTCACTGCAGTCTGCCCCGTTGAAGAGCATGGACAGTGCAGGCTGCGTTTGGAACTATGGAGGGGTACATGAACCACGTGACCGCTCCGGCGGCGAGATCTGAAGTTGTCGCCACTCTGTTTTAATCTACTGCTCTGGTAATGACCACACGATATCAATACACAGCAGTCTCAGGAGCCATAAACAAACCTCAACCAAAACGCCACTCTATAGCCACAAATAATGCTCAGAACAGCACCTAACTTCATCAACAGGACATATAGGGTCCCAGCCATAGTACTAGACACCAAACATCTTTTTAACTTTGACTAATTTCTTTAGCAGAGAGACTAAACACAACTCACCTACTCTCTTCCGGCAGCCGCTTGTTTGTACGGAGACCTCAGGCAAGTCCGGGGTGACGCAGCTCAAGGAAGAACATTTATGGTCATTTATTCATGGAAATACAATCAGACCGAGACGCTAAGGCAGAAGAACTACCGCACCTGCAGTGCAAAATAATTAATGTGGTGATTATTACTTAAAGGAAATGGTGAAGAAATGATCATAAATGTTCTTCCTTGAGCTGCATAACCCCTCATCAGTTGATGGACTTGCCCAGAGGTTTCCGTACAAACAAGCAGTTGCTGGAAGAGAGTAGGTGAGTTGTGTTTAGTCTCTTTACTAAAGAAATTAGACAAAGTTATAAAGATGTTTGGTGTCTAGTACTCTGGCTAGGACCCTATATGTCCTGTTGATGAAGTTAGGTGCTGTTCTGAGCATTATTTGTGGCTATAGAGTGGCGTTTTGGTTGAGGTTTATGGCTCCTCAGACTGCTGTGTATTGCTATCGTGCGGTCATTACTAAAGTTGGTATAACTAGAGAAGTAAGCGGTCGACAACATTCATCTCTCGAGGGGGTGTCTAACTCGGTGTTATGGTGTCTTTGACCCTAAATTCATTTTACGCCGTAATATCCCTTTAAAGACCTAAACTACTACTCGTCCTGGTTTTTCCTAACAAGCCAGGTGGTTTATTATGACCATGGTTTCCAGACAGAGAGTCAAATTTAACCTCTCTTTATAGATCTCTCTTTGGGTGACGGCAGCTGCCAGACAGATTAAGGTCATCCGGCAGCTGTACTTCAGTAAAGTGATGAGGATGGAGATCGGCTGGTTCGACTGCACATCCATCGGCGAGCTCAACACTCGTTTGTCAGAGTGAGTGGACTAAGACAACACCGTTTCTATCCGCGGGGGTGAACCAGTCAGATATAATTGACTCCTGTCTGTGTCACAGCGATATCAACAAGATCAACGACGCCACCGCCGACCAAGTCGCCATTTTCCTGCAACGCTTCACCACTTTCGTGTGCGGTTTCTGCATCGGATTCGTCAAAGGGTGGAAGCTGACACTCGTCATTGTCGCAGCAAGTCCACTGATCGGTATGGGAGCAGGTCTCATGGCGATGGTGAGTAATGACCTCTCTTGACCCGTATTGACTCGACCTGACCTGACCTCTTGAGCTACAAATTGGACTGATGTTTCTCGTAGAGTTGACTTTTCTCGACTTTTACTTGCTGGCTTGACCTCTCTTAGCTCAACATATCTTCACTTCCAGCTAAGACATCCTTTTGAACCCGAGGACACAGTTTTGGATGATTTAGTTTGACTGATTTAAGACTATAAATGCAGCACCAAACCATGTTTACAGACAGAAGTGGTTTCAGAGTGAGATTTTAAGCCCATGCGGCGGTTTCCACTATGGAGTAATACCTGATTTTCTGTTTTTTCTTTTTAGATTATGGTATTTAGGAGGAATTAAAGCTTATGCAGTAATTTTTTCTCTGTAGTTTGTGGCTAAGCTAACAGGGAAGGAGCTCCAAGCTTACGCCAAAGCCGGCGCTGTAGCTGACGAGGTCCTCTCCGCCATCAGGACTGTGGCTGCTTTCGGCGGAGAGTTGAAGGAAGTGCAGAGGTAAACTTTCAAAATAAAAGGTGGTTTCCGCTTACCTTCTGCTTCTCGTATTTCCGCAGCTGATCGTCGTTTGACCCTCCTCTGCAGGTATGACAGGAACTTGGTGTGGGCGCAGCGCTGGGGCATCCGGAAGGGTCTGATTATGGGCTTTTTCACCGGGTTTATGTGGCTGGTTATCTTCCTGTGCTACGCCCTGGCTTTCTGGTACGGCTCCAGTCTGGTGGTGGACACTGGGGAGTACACACCGGGAACATTACTGCAGGTATCACACTTACTTTAATTTAGTGATTTTGCAGCAAATGAGAGAATTTGGATCACCCTCCCAGTCATTTTCTTTCTTTTCTTAACATCTGGTGGTTTCATTTTCTTGATTGGAGCCTCTTAGGATTTCATCTTTTACAAATTAGCTTCAGATTTCCCCTTTTTTTTCATCTCAGCTTCAGCCAAGAACCTGAAATTGCATCACTATAACTCACCCTCTTATTCCAGGTCTTCTTCGGGGTTCTGATCGCAGCTATGAATTTGGGCCAAGCCTCTCCGTGTCTGGAAGCGTTCGCCGCGGGCCGAGGAGCCGCAACCATCATCTTTGAGACAATTGACAGAGTGAGGATGCTTTATGCTCTAATTTGTCATGATTTTGATCCTTACAAGGCGATGCATCTTCACAGGAAGCCATTACCTCTTATTGACAAGCCTCATTTTTCAAATGTGTCACTGATAGGAGCCGGAGATTGATTGTTTATCTGAAGCTGGGTATAAGCTCGACAGGGTCAAAGGAGATATTGAGTTTCATAATGTGACCTTCTACTACCCCTCCAGACCTGACGTCAAGGTACACACATGCTTAGAATTCATCAGCGAACATGGTTTTGGTTTTAATTTGACTTCTGAGAACGGTTTAAGAGGTTCCAGGTCTTAGTTTAAGTGGTCTCTCCTCAGATCCTGGACAAGCTGAGTGTTGCAGTGAAGCCAGGAGAGACCACAGCCTTTGTGGGTCCAAGTGGAGCGGGAAAGAGTACGGCTGTTCAGCTAATCCAGCGCTTCTACGACCCCAAGGAGGGCATGGTAGGTTTGACACGAGCCGTTTGTGTCACAGACGGTCATTTTTGGGGATTTCCACTACAGAGTCATGTCTGTTTTTTGCTGCTTTTAGTCGACACATGCGTTGATGTTGGTTTGTTTTCAGAGGGTTTCAGGTGGTAGACGGTTAATTATTCCTTTTCATCTGTTCACATTTAGCCTCGTATGTTTTCTCTGCATTGTTGACCAAGTTCGTACCCTGTAATTGATGTCAAATTGTGAAAATTGACAACCAAAACTGAGGTGCTTTTCAAATCTGAAAGCTTAATTAAATGTAGATTTTCACTGCGTCTGATTTCTATACTATGATTCATGAGTTTCCCGGCATGTTTGGCCCTGAGGGATGTTTAGTACGTGGTGTTCCCTTGATTTCCGTCAAGACTGCCACCTTCTTCCCTGTCAGCTTTTCTTTTTGAGCTGTTTCAAAAATAACCACCTCTCAAGGGATACAAAAGTACATGATAATCTTTCTTCATTATTCTGAAAATGGCTCCCAACTGCCCAATTTTCCTCTACTGGAATTACAGCTGTGCAGACCTAAGTTTCCTATTGTGATCGGCTTTTATGAAGGGAAATAATCTGAAACTAACAGTCTCGCCATTTGCAAGAAGTATATTATCACAACAGGGTACTTCAATAGCTTCATCCATCAACGGTAGCGGTAACGGTTTCTGCGCCCCCTCCATCCCTAATTTTAGGTCACCCTGGATGGTCATGACATCAGAGGGCTGAATATTCAATGGCTGCGCTCGCTGATTGGCATCGTGGAGCAGGAGCCTGTGCTGTTCGCCACCACCATCGCCGAGAACATACGCTACGGGCGACCGGGTGTTTCCATGGAGGACATCATCGCCGCTGCGAAGGAGGCCAACGCCTACAACTTCATCATGGACCTGCCACAGGTGGAGTTTCAGCTCCACGAGTGCAGACACACACACACATTCACACCCAAAAGGCTTTAACACTCTTCATGTAATGTCTAATCCTGACAGAAATTCGACACTATGGTTGGAGAAGGTGGAGGTCAAATGAGCGGCGGTCAGAAGCAGCGTATCGCCATCGCTCGAGCCCTGGTCAGAAATCCTCGTATCCTGCTGCTGGACATGGCGACCTCTGCCCTCGACAATGAAAGCGAAGCTATAGTACAAGAAGCTCTGGATAAAGTGAGTCTGCCCGCTCCGAGCGCTGAATTAGCGTCTCTTTTCATCCCGGCTTTTCAACATTTATGGTTTAATTGTGTTGCCTGGAGGCAAAGCGCTGGGAAAGAGAATCCCCTGAAGCGCTCTTTAGCACGAGAAGGAAGTATTTTGCAGCAATTTCCTTTTTTCTTTCTCTTCTTTTTATTTAAGGGACGACCTCTCGCTTACCTCAGGAAAGAACTCCGCTTTAAAGCCAATGAGGGAGCGCAAAGTATTAAAAATATGAAATCAAACTTTATCTACAAACATGTTCTCCAAAATAAAAACATTAGGGAGGGGCCTGTTTTGAATTTTGATTGAACCTGATTACCGGTCGCACCTTGTCATCCCATCGATTATTCCACAGATAAATTAGACAACAGCAGAAGTTACAGGCTGAATCATGATGTTGGATAGGTGTATTGCTGAGAGAGTACGTGCCGATACCTGATGCAACATCTTTTGAAGTTTTAAAGGCATGGTTGACGATCTGAGAAGCGGTTGAAAAAAACTGAGCCGTTGAGGCAGATTTGAGAAAAGCGTCCCACCCCCCACACACAAACCTCCCCCCTGAACCTGTGTCACCCTCCCCATGACACACCCCCTCTGGCAGAGCAAGAAGCCGACCGGCAGAAGATCCTACGCTAGGTTTAAACAGAATTCACCATGTCAGATTGATAGTGACTAGCGGCAGTAAACGCCAGCTCTGCTCGCGATAAGAGGCGATAAAAAATTACCCGTTCAACAAAAACTCTGATGTCTCGGCGTCTGTTTTCAGGCCCAAATCTTCTCCTCCGCTTGAGGGTTGGCCTGCTGTTTATTGGAGTTAAATTCCTCACTTGGTCATCTCTTCGTCTCCGCCCTTTCTTCTGTTGGCTTGCGTTTTCTTCCCACTTTTGGCGGTGGGACAAGCAGACGTGTTTTTCGCCATCACGGCTCCTGTAGCTAAGCTGCTATGCTACTTTTAGCCGCTCAACGCTCTGAGGAGGGCCGGGAGAGTGGGAGGGGACGAGTCGGAACTACAGGAGAGGGGTGTGTCGAACACAGCGAGGGGATTGGATGGAGAGGCAGAGCAGGAGATTGACCAATAGGAGCTGTCCGGGACGAATGGCTCCCATTGGTCAATGTTTTGGCAGCCCTGTACCTGCTGGGGTGAACGGATTTTTTCCGTTCTTTTTTCTCTTCACTTTGTGGAGATCGCACTCCAGGACCATGATCACAACCAATTTCTCCAATCGTCAACCATGAACAGATACCGATACTAGCTTTGGGTATCTGTTTTTAGGATTTTTCATTAAATTGTTTCTCCGTCAGGTACGTCTTGGTCGCACCACCATCTCCATCGCTCACCGTCTGTCCACCATAAAAAACGCAGACGTGATCGTTGGCTTCGAGCACGGTCGAGCTGTCGAGCGAGGCAAACACAACGAGCTGCTGGAGAGGAAGGGCGTCTACTTCACTCTGGTCACGCTGCAGAGCCAAGGAGACAAGGCGCTGAACGAGAAGGCTCGCCAAAGTAGGCCCAAAACCTCAGAGAGATATCAACTCCAGGATGTTCTGATCTGCTCACTCTGTTTCTGTATTTTTCCTTCAGTGGCGCAAAAGGAAGAAGAATCGGAGAAGCAGAGTCTATCCAGAGCGGGAAGCTACCGTGCCAGCCTGAGGTATCACTCCAACATCTCCTCTTTTGCTTTCTTGTAAAAGATCCATTCACTCGCTCCTGACTGCGCATCTAAATAGGATTATTACTGTCTTAATGTCCCGTCTGGAAGCGAGCAGTGTCGCAGCAGAAACTGGTGCCTTCATTTACTCAATTACCCTTTCAACATTTGGAGCGTTCAGCTGACACTTTCATCGAGAACCACTTACAAACGCATCAACAGAGGTCCTTGATCAGCACCGTAACAAGCGCCCAATAATGAGACTGTTGTTTAGCTGTGAAATCTCCTCCTGCTACTTCAAGTGTTAAAATTCACTTAATAACCATCTACCGGACTCACATTGTTCTTTTCAGAGCATCAATCCGACAGCGCTCCCGATCTCAGCTGTCCAATCTGATCCCAGAATCCTCTGCTTCCATCGCCGGGGAGCTCGGCCCCAGAGCCTACTCCATGTCACAAGAGGATAAATCGAAGGTATGTTCGCTTAAAGGGGACCTGCCACCAAAATTTCATATCCATTTTTATCATTTTTTCATAATCCTTGATGTCCTCTGATCATGTTTGCAACATAATTTTAGCTGAAAAGTTATTTGATGGTTTGTTTTAGTATGCCTAAAAAACCTTACAGGAAAACCAACTGGTTTTGGCTCATTAACATTTATGGTAATGAGCTTTGCTCTGATTGGATCGCTGCTGTGAAGCCTGCTGTGCTCTGATTGGCTCAGCAGTGGAGGTTCGGATTTCGGTTTATCCACTGTTATTATGCTAATGCTAATAGCATATGCTAATGTGTGCTAAAGTAAGGTGCCCAGATGTCTGTAATGATATCCGGGGATATTCGGTGCGGTGGCGGCGGTTGCAGGGGCTGTGTGATCACAGACAAAGTCTCGGTACTATTTAGTAGCAGCGCATGCCCCTTGTAATAACCCCCGTAAGAACTGTTGTTCAGGACTGCTAACTAAATTCGGCTACTGTAATAACCGTTATTCGAGCCCACACGCAACATTTTTGCTCTCATTAATGAAACGCTTAAATCGGGGACATTTTCGGGGACAGCTTTTGCCGGGGACAGATCATCCAATACGGGGACTGTCCCCGGAAATCGGGGACGTCTGGTCACCTTATGCTAAAGGCTAAAAACGGCAGGTATTAAACCATATATTTTAGACCCCGAGTCCGAAGAGGAGGTGGAAGTTGAGGAAGAAGCCGGAGATCTCCAGCGGTGTTTTCTCATTCATTCTGCCCGGCTTTAAGTTCATTTTCCCGGCAGTGAACCGAAGGAAACACCGATCGTTTGGAAGAGACCCATAGCGGATACAGCGGTAGCTGGGTCTCGCTCTGGCTGTGACTGAGTACGAGAACGAGAGAGTGGGCACGGCTCACCGAGGACGCGCTCGTGAATAATAATGAGCAAGGTCGGCGCAACGTAACACCGACCTGCTTTTTCAATTGGCCTGGTTTACTCGTTCCTTTATTTTAAACCTTTACAGAATGCAAACGACGTAACGGTTTGTTTTCACATGTACAACATAAGACGAACATAATATGGAACTTATATGACACAAAAAACCCCAAAAATTACATTTTTATGGCAGGTCCCCTTTAAATGCTTCAGCATGCGTGGGTAAAAGCTCCAATTTAACGCTGCTAATGTGTATTTAAGAACGCCATCCCAGAGGAAGAAGAGGAAGAACTCATAGAGCCCGCCCCGGTTACAAGGATCCTAAAGTACAACATACCTGAGTGGCCCTACATGCTTTTTGGATCCTTTGGGGCGGCGATTAACGGAGGGGTCAACCCCGTCTACTCCCTGCTCTTCAGTCAGATCTTGGCGGTAAGTTTTATGTCATTTGCAAATGTGCGTACGCCAATGTCATTATGATCACGCCTATGTCCTCTGTGTGTTGTTAGACTTTCGCACTGACGGATACCGTGGCTCAGAGGAGGGAGATTGATAACGTCTGCCTGTTTTTCGTGGTCGTTGGCGTGGTCTCTTTCTTCACTCAGATGCTGCAGGTAGAGTCTGAGACTGATTGCTTTAGTGCCTCTGCCTTTACCCCCTGCTGCTGTTCAAGGTTAGCACAAAGTCACAACAAACCCCGCTTCTGTTTTGGAAAATGTATACCTTCCTCAGACGCCCCGCAGAGCTGCTATAACACACACCGACTTTTGATTTTACCCCCCTGATGAAAAACACAATTTTCTCATATTACCAAACATTTCATTATGTTTAAGATCGCTGCGGTGGGAGTTTAGATTCAATAAAAAAAGATACGCTCCGTGTGCTCGCCTCTCCAGGGTTATGCTTTCTCCAAGTCTGGGGAGCTGCTGACCCGCAGGTTACGGCGGCTCGGCTTCCACGCCATGCTGGGCCAGGAGATCGGCTGGTTTGATGATCACAGGAACAGCCCAGGGGCTCTGACCACCCGTTTGGCGACCGACGCATCACAAGTTCAAGGGGTGAGTTTCAAAACAACAATTTAATCACTATTTACAACATTTTAAGTCCTAACTCCTCTGTTTTAACTCCTGCCGAAAAGGCTACAGGCTCACAGATCGGCATGATCGTCAACTCTCTGACCAACATCGGCGTGGCCGTCATCATGTCCTTCTACTTCAGCTGGAAGCTCACGCTGCTCATCCTCTGCTTCCTGCCTTTCATCGCTCTGTCGGGAGGCTTCCAGGCTAAGATGCTGACCGGGTTCGCGAAGGAGGACAAGCTCGCCATGGAGGCCGCTGGACAGGTCAGATAATAACTCAGACTCGTTTTCGTTCACTGACACTCTGGGAACTTAAAAAATCTCAGTAACCTCACGAAAATTTGAGATCAGATTCGTCTTCAAACAGGCAGCCTTAAAACAGTCTATTCTAGTCTCGAGGTTTCGGCTCCTCAGCCCTGCAGCTGAACTCATCTCTCTGTACAGTAGCGTTTTATCAGCTGTACCCGTACTTTGGCGCGTTAGGAACGGCGCTAACAAGGTCAGGTTCGATTCTATCTGGGGCCTCCCGTGCTTCAAATGCAGTTATAGTACTGAAGCACACGGCGGATATGAACCTCCAGGTTTGGTAGGAAAGTTAAAAATCAAAGAAAAAGTATTTAAAAGTCAATTTAGTGTGAACTGCCTTTACACTATCTTAATTATCCCGATGCAGTAAACCCCACCCATCCAAATAAAGTGGATTAGATGAAAGTTTAATGATCCCTGTGGGGGGGATTGGCTCAGTGCAGCTGCATAAAACAGGATATAGATAAGAACAGAGCAAATGCTTTATCTTTATCTTATTCTCCTCCACATTTTAGGAAAACCGCTCGTCTTTGTTTTTTTTTAACTGTTTGAATTTTAATTTTATTTGCAGATATCCGGCGAAGCGTTAAACAACATCCGCACCATCGCAGGTCTGGGGAAAGAGAGGAATTTCGTGGAGATGTTTCATGCCCAGCTAGAGGCGCCGTACAAAGCGGCCCTGAAGAAGGCGAATGTTTACGGAGCCTGTTACGGTTTCGCTCAGTGTGTCGTCTTCTTGACTAACTCCGCCTCCTACAGGTTTGGAGGGTACCTGGTGCGACAGGAGAGACTCCATTTCAGCTTGGTTTTCAGGTAAGAGACATCAAGCTCTTATTAAAAACCATTACCAGCTGTGTTCACCGCCCTGACCTCTCAGAATAAAGACTAAACCCAGAAATTTAAACCTTAAAGCTCCTATGAGGAGTTTTTGACATTCATGAAATCGACTGAAATTCAAATTGATGCTTTTTTATAAAACACAAAAGCAAAAAAGTTCATCAGCGACAAGATTGTTGACTTAATATTGTGACTTTTAACACCTGAAACTGGTGTAAGGGGGTAGGTGTCATATGAAATATTGTCAATAAAAAATTCCAAGTTCATTATAAAGTTTGGACATACATTTTAAAGCTACTGTGAGTACTTTTGCCTTTTTGTGTCATGAAAAGGCCTTTGTAAAAATTTCAGTCTATTTCATAAGGATAAAAAAATTTTTACACAGGAGCTTTAATTTCATTGTATTTCATGACTATAAAAATTCCCCACAGGAGCTTTAATTTTGGTCAGTTTTATGACTATATAAAAATAACCAATAGGAGTGTTAATTTAATTCTGTTTCATAATTTAGATTAAAGCTCCTGTGAGAATTATTGCATAACTATAAAAAAAACTTAACAGGAGCTTTAATTTTGGTTTGTTGAATAGCTATATAAAAGAAGCTCACAGGGGTGTTTATTTAATTCTGTTACACAACTAAAATTAAAGCTCCTGTGAGATTTTTATCACTTTTATATAAAAAACTCTTACGGAGCTTTAATCTCAGTCTGTTTTATAACTATCAAAATCCCTCACAGGAGCTTTAATTTTGGTCAGTTTTACAACTTTATTAAAAGAAGCTCACAGGAGTATGAATTCAATTTTCTTTCACAACTAAAATTAAAGCTCCTGTCAGATTTTTTTTCACTACTGTATAAAAACTTTTAAGGAGCCTTAATCTTAGTCTGCTTTATAAGTAATTAAAAATTCCTCACAGGAGCTTTAATTTCACTCTGTTTCATAACCTATCAAAAGTTCCCTACTGGAGCTTTAAGTTTAAAGTGTGTTATAGGCCTATTTATATAAAATTCCTTACAGGAGCTTTAATTTTATTGATTTTCAAACTGGATAAAAACTACTTACAGGAGCTTTAAAATAAGAAATAAAGTGTCACAGAATCATTACACTGGTAGACAAAGGAGAAAGGATTGTGCTCTGTGGTAATAGAGGTGTAAAAGGATTGATAGGTCAAGTTACATCACATGTTTTTCTTCCAGGGTGATCTCAGCCATCGTGACCAGCGGCACGGCCTTGGGCAGAGCCTCTTCTTACACGCCAGACTACGCCAAGGCCAAAATCTCAGCCGCTCGCTTCTTCCAGCTGCTGGACCGTGTGCCTCAGATCAGCGTCTACAGCGATAAGGGAGATAAATGGGTATGAGAACATATGCCCTGGTTATGTGTTACCTGCTCTGCAGCCTGAGTATTAAAAACGAGCTCTGCCTGCATATTTTATTAGGAGATGATCCAGATAAAAACTCCTTTATTGCTTTGCTCATTAAATTTAGATTAGACGTGACGGAGACATGTAGACAAGAGGAGAAGACAAGAAGAGGTTGTTACTCATTAAATCTCAAACTGCACCTGCAAAAGGGGGAATAAACAAAAAACAAAAGTTCACAGAGCTTATGAAGGAGACAGAAATCCCTCTGAATTATTTAAAATTCTCTCTGACTAATCAGCATTAAATAAAGCTGAACAGGAAGTGGCATCACAACAGAAAACTCTAACCTCTGCTCCCTCCCTCTGCTGTGTTTGCAGAATAACTTCCAAGGGAACATCGACTTCATCGACTGTAAGTTCACCTATCCCACCAGGCCAGACATCCAGGTTTTAAACGGGCTGACTGTGTCGGTGAAGCCCGGACAGACTCTGGCCTTCGTGGGAAGCAGCGGCTGTGGGAAGAGCACCAGTGTGCAGCTGCTGGAGAGGTTTTATGATCCTGACAAGGGCAGAGTGGTGAGGAGAGCACGCTGCTTAACCCTGCATGTTTACACTGAATGTGTAGAATAAGTCGTTTCACGGTTATTCAGACGATTGTAATCGTAATATTTTACAGCTTTACACCGAGGAAATGTGACTTCAGGAGTTTTGATGATCAGTCTGATTGGGGGGTGTTACTTTAACAACCGAGTTAGACTCCCCCTCGAGAGATCAATGTTGCCGACCGCTTGCTTCTTTACTTATAACAACTTTAGTAATGACCGTAGATAGCGATACAGAGAGCCACGTGTTCAACCAAAACACTACTCTATAGCCACAAATAATGCTCAGAACAGCAGCTAACTTCATCAACAGGACATAAAGGGTCACAGACATAGTACTAGCCACCAGACATCTTTTTAACTTTGCCTGATTTCCAAAAAGTTTTGATATAGTTATTTTAAATCTGCACCCTGTAACTCATGTTTCTGGACTTCCTGTTGAGACGTCATTGTGATAATAGGAGCATTAATGCATGATAGATATACAAAGCATTTTAACGCATGCATGCAATTAAGTTTCATGCAAGGAAGTTGAATCTAGTGAAGTTAGTTTGAATTTTTGAAGAAGTGGGAGTTGCTATTAGGCCAGAATGTGGGACTATGTGTGGTGAAGTTGTCGTGTTTTGGGTCGTGTTTGAGGTTCTTATTTCATAAAACCAAAATACTTTAGTTTCGGTTAAATACAGACCTCATGCACGCTTCTGCAAGTAAACCTACAAATAAGATGGTTGTACAAACAGCTGATATAACAACACACCAGCAGATGTTGACCTTTACCTAAAGGTCAGATCTTTGATCCAGTCTGCTGAGTGTGTAAGACTCTCTCAAGGCTGGCTTGTACTTTGAGTGTCATTGCACAAAGTGAAATCTGTAATTCCTCAAAGTCAAAGACTAACTGCTGGACATCCAGAGCACCATGTGATTGAAGTATTTCCGACTCTCATATCACGTCAGTTCATTGATCAATCAGACGTTTATGCTGACTTTGTGCTTTATCTTAAAGACGGGCCACTCTGTCCAGGATGGACTTTTGTCTTGGTGCCAGAAAAAATCCCTGCCAAGATTCAAACGGCCTTAATTGAGTTGGAAGTGGTTCGGAAGCGCGATGCCCCGATTCCTCTTCTGAGATTTTAAAAGGACAGAATCACCTCTGCGTAGTCGGGAGGAAATTACAGCAGAGATGGCGTTATGATAGCTCATTAAGCGGATTGTATTTCCAGCCTTTTGATTATGATATTGCTTTCCACTAATGGTAAAATCAATTGTTTCCCGCAGCTGATTGATGGCCACGACTCCACGCGAGTCAACGTGCCCTTCCTGCGCTCCAAGATTGGCATCGTGTCCCAGGAGCCCGTGCTGTTTGACTGCAGCATCGCCGAGAACATCAAGTACGGGGACAACATGCGGGAAATCAGCATGGATGAGGTCATCTCGGCCGCCAAGAAGGCGCAGCTCCACGACTTTGTGATGTCACTGCCAGAGGTAGAGCGGTTCACAAACCAGCAGCAGTCAGACGATCAAACGATCGATTAAAGGCAGCAGACAGACACACACATGAAGCACACACCGATAACAAGGGAGACAATGAGTGGCACACACACACACACACACTGGGTTTGACAGGTGTGTGTTCACATGTGAATGAGAAACAGGTGAGCGTCAAGCTGCTCATGTGCGTTTCCCTCCACTAGGTGTCCTCAGTGAGTCGACAATGACCCACTGATTAGACAGAGGACTAATCAGTTCGAGGATGTGTTCAACATCACATTCATCAGCTTTAAATTACGACCAGACAAGAATAAAAACTCATTAAATCAACTTTTTTTTTGGAAGAGAAAAATAAACAAATTAGAAAACAAAAAAAAGAAACACAGACACAGTTTAGAGAGAAAGCGTGCAGAGGTTGAGTGACAGAGGTAAACATGTGATTAACCAAGTACTGAGCAGAGATTGTTCATTAACTTGGTAAGAGCCAAATGCATGCAAACAACACCTACCATGTAATGATAACAGCATGTCTCTAAACCTTCACTTTAGCAGCTCACATCATTGACTTAAACCAGGTTATCATCTGTAAAAATGTTTACGGTCGCTCATCACTCAAACAATTATAGTTGTTCAAGACTCTTTATAGGAGTTAACATCTCTTATAGCCAATAGGTGGCGCAATCGCTGTTACAAAACTACACTTTTAGTCTTGCTTTTAAATTTTATATTTTTATCTTTAAATTTTTATCTATTTTGCTGCTCTTATTTTAGTATCTTTTACTGTTGTTTTTATCTTTATTTTATTTATCATTTCTTAAATTTCATTCTATGTTTCTTTGTTTTTACATTTTAACCTAAACCTCCAGTGTTTCCTAATCTTGCCCTTCTTAAGTTTATGCATTTTAATACAGTTTCTGTTGCGTAAAACACTTTGTGCTATATAAATGAAGACTGATTGATACATAGGTGGGTGAGCTGAGGCCAGAACCATCACAAAAAAACTGTTTATAATTTTAACTTTTTGATAAATCAATGAAACACTGAGCAACTTTGGACTCCTGAGAGTAGTATGTTGAAACAGTCGACATGCAATTGAACAAAAATACCCATCTTTGGAGGACTAGGTCTTAATTTTGGACCTATGTACCAGGAATTGCAGAAAAAACTAGCAAACTGTTGCGTTCACCAGCTCAGGTGATGTTGCATGGATTGCAGGACAGGATTAATACCTTAAATCCCATGAATTTATGACTCTTATTGGGACCAACTTACTTTCATTCTTGTGAATCTGGCAGCAGAAAGCATCATATCCTGGCCTGCATTATTGTACATTTACAACTTTATTCTTTAAACCGTTCAAAGAAAAAGCGAGTGAAAGAAAAGGGAGTACAAATAAATTTCTTAAGATGAGCCAACTGGCAGGTTAGATCCACTGATTTGCTAATAAAATCACAATTTAGACACAAAAGTAATAGAATAACACTCATCTCAAAATCATAATGGATGTTTCTTTGGTGTTTTTTTAACTTTATAAACTGAAACTAAATCACAAAGTGAATCACAGCCTGTCAGCCCCTCTGTGGATGTTTTTTTTACTGTACTTTCTGTACTTCTCTGACATCCTGATGTCTCTGCGAGAAGCTCTTATCAGGAAGTAAGTCGATCCGGCTGACCCGTTGTTTACTTCTAACAGGTCTTGGGACCCGTCTGGACCGTCTCCAGCTTATCTCCAACCAAAATTGTAGCCGTTGTTAAAGTTTTCCAGCTCAACTTTGCCTGATATGAACTTAGTTTGACCTCGGGCTGTTTTTTTTAGATACAGTTTGAAGTGAAAATGAAAGGTGAGAAAGTTTGGGCACAACTGATGAAAGCTAACGTAAATAAAGAGTTTAGAGGAGGAGGGTGAAACTGAGAGAGACAGAGACAAATGTGTCTGCGCGATGTTTCGCTTCTGTTGCTTATTGCTTTCACACAAAACACCCGAACGCCCCATTCTACAATTTCCTCGGATGTTTCTTTACAGAGAGTTTGAGAAAAGTTTTAAATCTGCTCTAAAAGTTCGCTCTCGTGTTCTTAAATCAGTCAAAGCCGCGTCCTCTTAGGTTGCTCCAGTTCTTCCTAATTGGTCTACTTTAGGTTACAGTCGCCTCAGGGGTTAGAGTTAGTCCTCTAAAGTCTTCAGTCCTGCTCACTTTTGATCTTTTTTCTCCTTCCTGCTCCAGAAATACGACACCAACGTCGGGGCGCAAGGCTCTCAGCTGTCCCGTGGTCAGAAGCAGCGTATCGCCATCGCCCGCGCCATCATACGTGACCCTAAAATCCTCCTCCTGGACGAGGCCACTTCCGCCCTGGACACGGAGAGCGAGAAGGTAGGCCCTATTAAAATCCGATCAGCGTCTTTATCAAACTGCCCCACCTCAACCCTCGCCCTCGTCATCGCCGCCATCAACGGCGCCGCAGCTGCTTGATATTCCGCGGGCACGGAAAGCAGGCAGAGCAGGCAGTTAATTATTATTATCATTAACATCATTATCATTCATCATGTCTATTATTATCAGCAGAGCTCACAGTTCATAGAAGCGCTCCAGTAGAGCCTCTTTAAGCCGAGTCTGGCGTGGAGCTCAGATGTGTGAACCACGCTGAGGAGCAGAGAGGCCTCCGCTGCGCTCATCCAGCGAAGCGTTCTAATGATAGTAATCAACCCGTGATTGTCAAATTGCTATAATTGTGAGACTTGTGTGGAAGAACTGATGAAGCCTCCCGTCTATCTGCGTTTGAGTGTGTGCGTGGCTGTCAACGCCGCTTCATGTGTGTTTCTTTTTATCACAACAGACGGTGCAAGAAGCCCTGGACAAAGCCAGAGAGGGCCGGACCTGCATCGTCATCGCCCACCGCCTATCCACCATCCAGAACTCGGATATCATCGCCGTAATGTCGCGGGGACATCTGATGGAGAAGGGGACGCACGACCAGCTCATGGCCCTGAAGGGAGCGTACTACAAGCTGGTCACCACAGGAGCGCCAATCAGCTAACTGCTCAGGGAGCGAGGCGGCCAATCAGAGAGGCAAATGAATGTCAGGAGTAAGCGAAGTAGGGGAACGCCACACTGAAACTACGGAGTCTTCAGGGGGAGCTTGAGTTACCCATAGTATTTATTTTTGCGTAGGAATCCTGTCATGATGAGGGTCGCCTGATTTGAGGGGAATTTTTGTGTTTTCCAGTTTTTAAGTTGTTTTCGACTCTTTTTTTTAACGTTTTTTAATTAAAAAAATTAAATCATTATGTACAAACCAACAATCAACAATAGATCTTGTTACCATGGTGATAAAGGGCTCATATACTGTTGCGTTGGAGTTACCTCGGAAGCCAGATATCGGGGCTGAAAATGACGTCACATCTGAGTTACAAGGGTTTCAGTTAATAAGTCGGAAGACAGCAAAATTAGAAGCGGAAACAAGATGGATAAATCTACGAAAGTAGGACAAGGACAAGGCAAGCGCTAAGATAACTTTCGTAGATGTAGCAATCTTACTTCAGGCCACCAATTTTACCGATTTGGTAACTCGGGTGTGACGTCATTTTCAGCTCCGACATCTGACTTCTGGGGTAACTCGAACGCAGCATAAGATCATGTTATGTTGTCAAAACGCTTTGATGAAGTTTTCTTTGATGTACTAATTTTGAGACCATGATGTAAATGATGAGCAAACTGCAGACCAATAAAAAAGACGAAAGTTCGAAGCCCCTCCTTCATCATCATTGGATGATTTTGATGTCGGTGGATGTCATGAAGAAGCCAGTTTTCAGCTTATGATTACTGATCCAAACTAAAGGTGTTCTATGACAAGGTAGCAAAACTCAACGGAACACCTGTTAGTCATCAGCGTATGGTGCGAGTAAATCAATCATTTAGCCAGCTAGCTTAACGGTCTACATCCACCTCCTTTCAGACTAACGTTCGGACCCGAGTTCGGTGAAATGACCCTCCATGTTGTCCTGTTGATGAAATGTAGAGATGGTTTAAATCAGTTTGAATGCTTAATTACTTGTGCGACTGTAATTTTGTGTGGATGGTGCTGTTTTTTTTTATGCTGTGTAAAATGATAATAAAACTTATAAACTTGTTCTTTTCACTGTCTTAACCTGCACTCCCCTGCAGGTGTTTTCAGTTCGGCTAATCAAACGTCCGCCCGCGTTGACGGCGAGACACTGATGATTCGTGACACTTGTGGACTCAAAGGGCTAATGAGATTGACAAAGGTGTGTGTTTACAGGCACACGAGTATCACAGGGATGTCAATCATGCAGCCTCAGCCCTGAAGGCTTTTCATCAGACTGTGAAATCACCCAAGAGGACATCATTAATGGACCTCGGGGCGTAAAGTGGCTCTTATATATTTATATCTTTCATGTCCTGTGAAAAAATAACATATTCATTTAAATTCTTATATCGAGCATTACATTACTTCACTTCAGCTGAGCTAAGTGTGACCTTTCCTCCCTTTTTGGCAGCTCTGGGTCTCAGTAGTACGCGTCTAAATGAGAGAAAATAGCTCCTGCTTTCAACAGCATTAGCACATAATGACAAAATAACTTAATGGAAAAACAAGGGCGCCCAGAATGGTCACAGTGATGGATTAGGAATGTCATGCAAGGTTCAGGATCAGAGGAAAAACGACTGCGAATCACATCCCTGCCTGGTCCAGAATACGCATTAAAACGCTGGCGTGTTTTGAGGATCCTGGTATTAAACGGGCTACAAAATGTAAAATCAAAGGTACGATTGTAAACGGGGGATTTGTTTCTTTTAAGCTGTCAGTCATTTTTTAAAATAACAAGATGCTTGGCTTGTAATAACACTGATAGGCGCCGTCAGTCATGCTCAGAACAAGCATAGGGAAGTACAGCAGCGTTAGCACCTGCTGCTCTGAGGCACATGTTGGGATAATGCAGACTGAGCTTTCTGCGACGTGAAGATAATGCTGGATGGCAGCATTTCAGGGCTAAGCTGTTTATAGCGCAGAGCCTCCATAGGCCTCTCTCTTTTTAGTTTTCACTTACATACACTAAACCACGGAGCGGTCTGAGAGCCTCACATGCATCAATGGGACCCTAAGCAAAATTTGATTTTAGGGTCCTCTATTTCTGCCAATAATATTGATTGTTGATCATTCATTCACCTACTACAGTATAAATTTAATGCACCTGACATGTCTTTACACATTTAAGGGGGTGGCCTAGGTAGTAACATAAATAATACCAATGAATGACTGATGAACGATGTTCAGGGTGCCACATGTGGTTTTTAATCTCAAAATGTAACACATTCAGGATGCTCAGTGCACACTGCACAGCAGGAGGCACATAATGTAGCGGAGCTTTGACATATCGATTTTTCTTAAGTTTACTGTGTGTCCACTTCTGACCAATCAGATTGTGTGTTGTTGCGACGTCTGATTCACCGGTATATCCAACATGGCCGACCGGCTGATTGTTTACGTGTCGGAGAACAGAGTGATTTTTGATAAAAAAACACAAATATTACAAAGATAACGACCTGAAGGACGACTTGTGGAGAGTCATAGCGTCGGATTTCTCATATGACGATGGTTTGTGTGCTTTAACAGTTTGATAAACGTCTTTGTTTTAACTTTCATCTGTGCTAAGTAACTTTAGCTCGTAAGCTAACCTGTTCAGATACAACATACCATACGCATTTTCACTGTCACAGCACCATTAGTTCTCTGTTGTTACCTTACGTTTATGGATTATAGTTTAATGTTCTTATCTGGTACTGGCCCCGACTCAGTTCATGCTATCATGACAGACAGACATCTCAACACTAGAGTCTAATCAGAACTGAAAACACTCAGTCTGCTGTTGTGTCAGTCTTCTCGCTTCCACCCGGGACGCGTCTTTTTCCCCCCCGAAAAGTCGCAGAATCGCATCAGGCTTGATGTGTATAGTCAGGCGCGTCAAAATTCGCCTAAAAAAAATTCGTAATTTGGCATTGTTTATTTGCGTCGTTCCCGGTGTGTAAGGACCTTAAGAATCATAGGCCTACAGCAGCAGCAGCACTAAAATATTTTTACTTTATTTATTTTTTTACAATAATATATATTTGATCATGCAGAAAGCTTCACTCATACATGCAAAAAATAAAAAATAATTCAAATATATATTTTTTTTTATTGCTCTTGGGGGCCCCCTACTGGCTGTGGGGCCCTAAACAAGTGCTTAAGCTATGTTCACACTGCAGGTCAATTCCGATTTTCTAACCATATGTGACACATGTCTGATTTTTTCATGTAAGTGTGAACAGTGCAATTCTGATTTTTTCAAATCCGACCCAGGTCTCTTTTGTATGTGGATATAAAGCTGATATGTATCCGATGTGACTGCAGTGTGGACGCTCGGGTCGCATTCATCCCACCTATACGTCATCAAACAGGCGCGGAAAGCAATTTGTGCTTTGTGCGCATGCGAGTCACTTCACGGACACATTCCATTCACATTAGATGCAGCATTCGTTGTTGTAATGTGAACAACCGCACAAAAAAAATCAGATTTCACAAAAAATCTGAATTGTGCATCATAACCTGCAGTTTGAACGTAGCCTTAGTTTGCTTATGCCTTGGGCCGGCTCTGCTCACACGGCTACTTAAAAACTCAGAGACAGCCTGGATTCAAACAAAACCCTTTAATCCCCCAAAAGCCCCCTGATCCTTGGATTCAGGTAACGGGGTGTTGACGCCACCACTCGTGACAGCCGCACCTTGAAGAGTGCAGATGTCAGAGACACTCCATCAGTTTGTACTAATATGTGATCACACCACGCTGACCTCTGGGAAATTGAGTCTTTAATCACGACATCTCCGCTCTCACACTCCTGGTGAATTAGCATTCCTCAGATGCAATCTAATCTCACAGGCTTCTCCCGCCAACTCGATCTGCGAGAGGACAGTGTTTGACATTGCGCCGCGTAATGTCAATGCGATGCTGATTGATGGAAAGAGGCGCCGCGGGCTGACTGATGCGTCTCCGCTGGCTGGGAGTGTGACGGGCGAGCTCCTCTGTGTGTGTTTTGTATGATCACGGTGTGTTCACACAAATAGGGTGACGGGGAGAACAAGATATCACAGGTGGAGCTGGATGTGGAGCGTGAGTAAGAGTTTCCTTCACCTGCATGTAATCGCTGACAGTTCATTAAAGCTACTATAGGGAGTTTTTTGATGTTTACGAAATCGGCAGAAATTTAAATCGGGGTCTTTTAGTAATGCACAAAAACAAACAAGACCATTAAAACAAGATCTTAAACTGTAATTTTTATTGTATTTACATGATTCAATTTAAGATTTAAGTATGTGTGGGCGGAGCCTGGCGAAACCAGTGTTTCATTAAGTTTTCTAACGATAACATCTGTTCATTTCACCTCATATCTTGTCTGATCTTCCTGATATCCTCGCCCTAACTCCCAGGAGGGCAGAATATTGATTTTCGGGTCAAAAAAGTCACATTAGCTTTCTTTTCATTGCAGGTGTAACCACGTCTTCCTCTTATAATTACGCCTTTTCTTAAATTCCCATGAAAATAATTTGTTCGACTGTCTTTCTGATCTTGACTCGCCGTGTCTCTGAAGGATTTAAAGCGCTGACAGTCAAGAAGCCATTACAGCTCGCTGAGGGGACAGCCGGCAAATTGGTTGGCTCGCAGGAGCCGTAAAGAAGATGGAGGAGACTCTTGTTTTTCGCCTTGTCAATAGCTGGCCTCGGGGCGGTGGCGTCTTGAGTCAGAATTATAAAGCGGTAGGGACTCGGGAGAAGGAGGAGATGGAATTGAAATGAGTCTTGGCTTCAGGTAAGAAGGAGACTAAAGAGAAATTTCCGTGTTTGATGTTCGGTTTGAGCTCCAGGTTAAACTCCAGCTGAGAGGGACGAGAAGTTTGTGTTCTTTGGGAAGCTCAACCGCACTGAAAGGTTTGACTCTGAAAGTTTTGTGGAGTAAAATATAAAAATCCAATTCTGAAAATACA